TATGACTTGGATCGTTCAGTCACATCTATCTCTAGTTTCTCATCATAAACCCACCAAAGGGTATCTGGTTATCAAACAATAATCCTTTTGAAATTTCGTTATCAGAGATAGATCCCAGATTTCTTTTCCAAGTCACAAAGTCCATGCATGTTCTATTCATGTTCTCTGCATGTCCTATTCATGTTGTTCTCTGCATGTCCTATTCATGTTGTTCTGTGCATGTTCTATTCATGTTGTTCTCTGCATGTTCTATTAATGTTGTTCAAAGCATGTCCTATTCATGTTGTTCTGTGCATGTTCTATTCATGTTGTTCTGTGCATGTTCTATTCATGTTATTCTGTGCATGTTCTATTCATGTTGTTCTGTGCATGTTCTATTCATGTTGTTCTGTGCATGTTCTATTCATGTTGTTCTGTGCATGTTCTATTCATGTTGTTATGTGCATGTTCTGTTCATGTTGTTCTGTGCATGTTCTGTTCATGTTGTTCTCTGCATGTCCTATTCATGTTATGTGCATGTTCTATTCATGTTGTTCTGCGCATGTTCTATTCATGTTGTTCTCTGCATGTCCTATTCATGTTGTTCTGTGCATGTCCTATTCATGTTGTTCTGTGCATGTTCTATTCATGTTCTGTGCATGTTCTATTCATGTTGTTCTGTGCATGTTCTATTCATGTTGTTATGTGCATGTTCTATTCATGTTGTTCTCTGCATGTCCTATTCATGTTGTTCTGTGCATGTCCTATTCATGTTGTTCTGTGCATGTTCTATTCATGTTGTTCTGTGCATGTTCTATTCATGTTGTTCTGTGCATGTTCTATTCATGTTGTTCTGCGCATGTTCTATTCATGTTGTTCTGTGCATGTTCTATTCATGTTGTTCTGTGCATGTTCTATTCATGTTGTTCTGTGCATGTTCTATTCATGTTGTTCTGTGCATGTTCTATTCATGTTGTTCTGTGCATGTTCTATTCATGTTGTTCTATTCATGTTGTTTATGTTTTTCTATTCATGTTCTGTTTATGTTTTTCTATTCATGTTCTGTTTATGTTTTTCTATTCATGTTCTGTTTATGTTTTTCTATGCATGTTCTCTTGTTGTTGTTCTACTTAACATTGTGTCATACCTTACTTTGAGTCATACTTTACATTAGGTTATACTCTACATTGAGTCACACTTTACGTTGGGTCATACTTTTCATAAGGTCATACTTTACATTAGGTCATACTTTTCTTAAGGTCATAGGGTCATACTTTACACTGAGTCACACTTTACATCATATCATACTTTACATTGGGTCATAGGGTCATACTGTACAATGGGTCATACTTTACATTGGGTCATACTTATCTTTGGTTAATAGGGTCATACTTTACATTAGGTCATACTTTACATAAGGTCATACTTTACATTGAGTCACACTTAACATCATATCATACTTTACATTGGGTCATAGGGTCATACTTTACAATGGGTCATACTTTACATTGGGTCATACTTTACATTGGGTCATTGGGTCATAGGGTCATACTTTACAATGGGTCATACTTTACATGGAACATACTTCACATTGGGTAATACTTTACATTGGGTCAAATTTTACATTCGGTCATACTTTACATTAGGTCATAATTTACATAAGGTCATACTTTATATTGGGAAATACTTTACATTGGGTCATACTTTACATTGGGTAATAGGGTCATACTTTACATTGGGTAATAGGGTCATACTTTACATTCGGTCATACTTTACATTGGGTCATAGTGACATACTTTACATTGGGTCATACTTTACATTGGGTAATAGGGTCATACTTTACATTCGGTCATACTTTACATTGGGTCATAGGGTAAATACTTTACAATGGGTCATTCTTTACATTGGGTCATAGTTTACATGAGGTCATACTTCACATTGGGTAATACTTTACATTGGGTCATACTTTACATTAGGTCATACTTTACATTAGGTCATACTTTACATAAGGTCATACTTTATATTGAGTAATACTTTACATTGGGTAATACTTTATATTGGGTAATAGGGTCATACTTTACATAAGGTCATACTTTACATTGGGTAAGAGGGTCATACTTTACATTCGGTCATACTTTACATTGGGTCATAGTGTCATACTTTACATTAGGTCATACTTTACATAAGACCATACTTTACATAAGGTCATACTTTACATTGGGTCATACTTTACATTGGATAATAGGGTCATACTTTACTTTAGGTCATACTTTACATAAGGTCATACTTTACATTGGGTCATAGTGTCTTACTTTACATTGGGTTATACTTTACATAAGGCCATACTTTACCTTTGGTAATACTTTACATAGGATCATACTTTACATTGGGTCATACTTTACATTGGGTCACACTTTACATTAGATCATACTTTACATTGGGTCATACTTTACAATGGGTCATACTTTACATTGAGTCACACTTTACATTAGGTCATACTTTAAATAAGGTCACAGGGTCATACTTTACATTAGGTCATATTTTAAATAAGGTCATACTTTAAATTGGGTCATACATTACACTGGGTCACACTTTACATTAGGTCATCCTTAACATTGAAACATGCTTTAAACTGTAAAACATGTTTAATTCTCACTATTCACAGATTTCTATGAGACTACTACTTTCTTGAAACTACAGTTATATTTCAAGCCACAAAAACATGTCTTACAAGGAGGACAATCCAGCAGGAGACACTTGAAACATGTTGCAACTTAGTAACATTGTGTAAATACACACGTTTACATACAACACAGGGGACTGCAGGCTAACATCAGCTGGTGATATACCTAAGTTAACACACACTGTTTGGGGAATAGCTGCAGGATTAATCAGACAACCGTGACTATGAAAGATATATTTTATCCCCCACCATTGTGCAATCTGTATTGCTTCACAGGGGGGTGAAATTAACACCTGACAGACGATCCAATGTTTAAGGTATTCTCACGCCATATAATTACTTGTATATAGTGCTAGCTGAATTCCCAAGACCAATATGTAAGTAATCTTTATAAGCGCCCCCTAATAACTACGACAGAAATGTTGTATGGCAGTCTGCATTCTCTTGTGTATTTTCCAGATATTTATACAGAAAACAGAAGTGCTGGGATATAATAATTGCCTAGTAACTATGATTGAATGTAGTTTCATTGATGCTTGAACTACATTCACTATTTCTCGATCTCTGACCAATAAAATTAACTTGCTGTGTATCGTTTTCATAAGCGCCCTAAACTTGTCAATTTTCTAAGAACCCTGGCAGTTTATTACAGCAAATACAGTATGTATTTCTTATTGTGGTTTTAGCAATGGTCAGTGGAATCCGTAAACCCAAAATAAACAATTGTAGACCTATAACTTGTAACGGGTTAGCTGATATCCAAAGACAAGTATGTCATTAATCTTAATCAGTGCCTCCTACAATGACAGAAAATCAACAAGACAGTCTGTATTTTCTAGTGTATTTTACAGATATGTTTATGGACAACGGCAGTATAGAAGGGCTATTTAATTGCCTAGTATCTATTATTCAGAAAGTTTGAGTTTCATGGATGTTTAAACTAACTTTTTTCACTACTGCTTGATCTTTTAATAATCAACCTACTTTGTCAATTTTCTAAGCGCCCTGGGTGCTTATTTCAGTAAATACGGTGTGTCATTTCTGCAGGTGCAACTGTTGCCCAACAAGTACACCACAACGCCCTGTCTGCATGGTCTAGTCAGGGGTGGAATGCATTGCAGTGCCAAACTTGAGGCAAAGTCAGAATGTAGAGTTGTGGCAAATATATCAGTATCTCCTGTTTACTGTGGACATTTTCTTTGTGCGAGAAAGATCTATAAATACACAGCACAGTTATAGAGTTGTTGATTAGAAAGCCTAGCAACCACTTTGTCTGTATATGCAGAGAATAGCATTGTTTAAGGGATGGCATAATTATGAACATCTGTCAAGTTAGCTTGACAGGAATTAAACCTGAAGTCCATCTCCCATACATCAAAGGCAGGCTTACAGGAATGGCAATCACTGCTTCTTGAACTCACATAATAGTCCTGTAAATGTCAGTAGAACTTGATTTTGTGATTAAATCTAAAACAGAAATATCTGGTGCAAGCTATAAAAGTAAAATGTATTTTCAGAAAAGAGCTGAAAAAGTCAGGGTGGGGGAGGAAGTACATCATCACATATAGACTGAACAATACTATGTAATTTCTTTGTATTTTATCAAATTAATGGTTCAATACATTCATATAATTTAAGTAAAAAACTTCTTTTTTTGTGAATCTGTCATTTGAGACCTCTATAATTAAAAACGAATTCATGTCCTTTTTAATATCCTAAAAATATTTTATGAAAAATATAACCAAAAAATCGTCAAGAGAATTTCCGTTGCAATTTGTAAATGACAGCGGAAAATAACCGAACATTATTGGACTTCAGCTGATAAGAAGCTATCTAGTTTCATTAACACTGAAATAGCACATGTGGGTTTTATTTATTAAAAAAACCATTACCGTATGTAAATACCATAACGCACTATCCAAAACTTGTAGCTACTGACATTAACGCAAAACAAAGTTAAGTCTAGGTACGCGCCTGGACTCTCCTTCATTATACAAGCGATGCACGCCTGACTAACAAATCGGCTGAAGGCGCCGTAATTTTACAACGGTAAATCTTCCCTGACAGCGCTACGCTTTTAACGGGAAAAAGATGTACATATATAATACGTTAAGAACATGTATTAATAATTAATTAAACTGTTATCGATTATATTTAATATATTTAACGACCTTTCCATTTCAAACCTTGCTGCACATATCGAATGTCAAACTTGACAGCGCGATTGACAGGTCTGGTACCGGCGGCTAACACTGTTGTTATTTACAGCACAAAGCATAAACGTCATTATAGCGGTGCGGTGTTTAATTTCACGTGCGCACGTGCAAACTGTACATACCTGTCTCTGCACATGCTGAACCTTTTGATCATGCTTCTTCGGCGCCGAGTTAAACTGGAAGACGAGCCAATTCCTTCCGAACATGAAAACATCGTAGATCACCGAGACAGGCAGGAGGAATAGGCAAACGAACACCCATCGGTAGTGAATCAAAATATATTCTAGCCCTCTGTATTTAATCCAAGACAATGACAGCAAGGCAGGAACCGCCAAATACATGATGAAGTTTAGGGGTAAATCCATGACTGCTTCTTCCCAGCACCCCGTACAGCCAGACCAGTGAAATGAGTGAGGTCAGAGGTCACAAATGCCGGTGCTTATCTGACGATGGCTTGACCTGCCAATCACACAGCAGCAGTATGAACCTATTCTGGATTTGTGAAACCAGAATAGGTTTGATCGACGGAGTTATGTCCCCTATTAGGCGCGTAATGGGTTTTGTATAAAAGTAATATTTTGAAACGAATTATAGTCGTGTATGCGATTTGTATTACCCTTTGTTTTCTTTTTGGAAGGTTTTTCCAAAAAATGGTTTGACATATATACAGATGTCATCACTTTTATCATTTACCTTGCGTATGGAGTGTAGCACAATATAAGTACACACATTATCATTATCTATATCACAGGATGTATTCGCCGTGTTAAAAGTGGCATGGATATAAATAATATAGAGCTAATGATTAGCGGAGGCGGCAAAAATGGCACAGTATATATGCCGGGATGCGCCTCGTATAATCCGTATATCTTTAATGTGTGAGAATACTTAACTATATTAAATATTTATAAACCATATAATTATCACGAAACCTAACCGTCAGCCCCTCGCGGGCTTGTATTTACACCATATATACGGTGTGTGTCACGTGTATGTCTGGGGCTGGTCACAAACCTTTAATGTACTGAGCCCCAGTTGTCTATACTAATATTGTCGCACCTGGCTATGCGGAGTTGTTTTCCTTAGCAGCATGTCAGGATCAGCTAGACCTGAGTTCAAATCCTTGGTGTGCCAACAGATATTACGACGTGACAGCTTAATGTGACGCAGGTCTCAGACATTTACCACTTTGGTGAAACCCATGAGCACGGACTGGTATGGTGCTGACAAACCTAGAAACATAATCGGTGCGAACCGGGATTCGAACCCAGGATCATAGGTTTCTGTGATGCCCAAGGGACGCAAGTCTGCACAGCGCCTTAGACGACTGGGCCACCCGGAGGTACATTATTAAGTCATACATGTACTGTTGTCGAATACGACCAAGGCCATGAGTAGTACGTAGTTTTCGCGCGATACGACCATTAATTACTTTGCACACAAATATAAAGAGTTTTTACGGTGGCCCATACCACCCATTGGTCAGATCATTTTTCCCTGTATACCTCTATAATTTATCTGACGGCCGCCAAATACTTTTCTACTAAAAATATAGAGGCATACAGTGAAAAATGTTCTGACCAATGGGGGGTTATGGGCCACCGTAAGTTTTCAATACATGGCACAGCCCAGAGGCCATATATCGTTATATGGTCTCTGTACAAAGGGGTGTTTCTGTGTTTTAGTGTAATCAAGTGAACACTACCCTTTAGATTTTACGTGCGCTTTATGTAACTAGTATGTTATCGGAAAACCTTTCAAAATTGTCGTCGCCACTTGAAATAGAAACCGGAAATACCGCGATTATTAATAAACGAAGATAGCTGCGTGTGTTCTAACAGGTATAAAGTGAAAACAAGCCATTAAGGACTGAGACTTACAGTAAAGATACTGCAAAGTGAGCTTTTCAAGAAATATCAATTTGCTGGCGATCAACACCATCATTGAGCTTTGATCACGTAGTCACAATCCGGGTAAAGGTCGGCCTACTATATGTAGTAGCGTGTGCGGCGGACGTTCATTACCACATGAACTGAAAGAAAAAACATGCAAATGTAGTATTCAAAGCTGAGATGCACACACTGATAAGTAAAGCCGGAAAGAACATGTTAATATTTTAAAAGTATTAAAATACATGCGGCTGTCTTCGTTAATTAATAATCGCGATATTTCGTGATTCTATTTCAAGTGGCGATGACAATATGCATGTTAACACGGTGTATCTTATCATTAACCACGTTGACTATGTAGCCATAAGGTAATGTGTACGTCGTCACTACGAATCGCGTAAACACCAACACAGCGACCTTAAAGTCTAGCTAAAATACGCAACCAATATTGATTATGACTAGTTGAATATTTATATTTTAACACAGCGTCTGTGAGAGATTTTTTTTTGGGGGGGGGGGGGGGTGTTTGCTGTTTAACGCCACTCTCAGCAAAATTCTAGCTTTTAACGGCGGTCTGTAAATAATCGAGTCTAGACCAGACAATTCAGGGATTGACAGCGTGTGCATCGATCTAAGCAATTAGGATGCGATGTGTACTCTGGCTCCAGGCTGTCACGTGGTTGTCGTTTTGCGATTTTCCTATCTTTTCAACAAACCGCTGTACCCCATTTTTTCCACACAAATCAATCCCAACCCATGCAGAAATGACCAGTTCATTTTTTACATTAATTGTGTATGGATGTCAGCAACACTCTGTCAGATATTTACGATTTTACTACTTTTGCGTTTCTTTTTTTGCATAGTATACAAGTATGGTTGTGAGAGAAGTTGTCATTAGGTTACATTGTGTTGCTAGATTATCAAGAATGTGTGAAAGAATGTTTACGTCCTTTTTTAAGTAAGGTATTTTAACAATATATAAGTCAAGACTGCATATTCATCAACAGATAGTATTCGCAGGAGTGACGAATTATATAAATGAATAGACGTATGTATCATCTGATTTGACATCTCCTAAACATAAATTACAATAACTAAACTGACAGCCAAAAGAAACTTTACCACTTCAAAAATGAAATTGCAAAAATTCAAAAACACAAGTTCAAACTAAATCAATGCAAAACACATCGTCCAGACACAGCAATGCTATGTGCAGAAAGCGATACATGTACGCACGGCAGTTGTTGTATTTTTTGGTTTGAAAAAGTGAAAAACACGTGCCGCTCCGGCAGCCGAAACTACACGTGCAATAAAGGAACATAAATGATACGGACGGCATTTCAGACACTCACATTGATAAATACAAACAAAACAACAACTAAGCACAGAAGAACCACGGTTGACACCCGGGCAACGCGAACGGACCCTGGGTATATATGATACACATGGGAGCTGCCCATGCCCACATTGCTAGAACTTTTGGTTGCTTCCGTGTTGCTGTAACTAACCTGATGCAACGTTACAGACAGACCGGGCAGACATCAGACAGGCCAAAAATAGGCAGACCCAGGGTAACTACGTTCAATGAAGACCGGTACTTGCGTACTTTGCATCTCCGGAATCGAGTCCTGACAGTGACGTCATCAGCGACGAATGCCTTAGGGCATATGGTTAGTCGACAGACAGTGGCCAGGCGACTCGGAGCTCAGTGAATTTGGGCAGACAAACCTTACAGAGGACAGTTACCGACAATGCAACATTGTCGTCAGTGATTCAGATAGAATTGTACTTCGTTGACTGCGCCGTGACTGGCAGAGGGTCGTCTTCACTGATGAAATCCGGTTCTGTCTAATCAGAGCTGATGGAAGACAGCGTGTTTACCACCGAAGGGGAGGACGAACGGCGCCATGTTGCGTTCAGGAGGTCGTGCCGTATGGTGGAAGGGGTATTATGGTGTGGGGAGGAATTTGTAGGCAGGAGAGAACACCCCTGTCATCGTTAACGGAAATTTGACAGCTCAGTGTTGCATGGATGACATTCTTCGTCCGATTGTGCTACTTTTTCCACGTGGTGTCCTTTATCAGCATGACGACGCCAGACCCCATACAACCCGAATCGTACAGAACTACCTTGCAGCCAACAACGTCAACGTGTTGCCGTGGTTTGCACACTCCTCAGCCCTGTCCCCTAAGGAACACCTCTTTGATGTCATGGATCGCCGTGTTCGACAGCGACCACATCCTACAGCCAGCCTACAAGAACTGATCCAGGCCCTCCAAGAAGAATGGCGACGTGTCCCACGTGACGTCATCAGGCGTCTGACTTTATGGGTATCTTGTTGCAGATGGTGGTAATTGAACCTGACTGATTTTTAGATATATGTGTGCCCTTTGTCCATAACGGTGAAAACTTGTTTTGGCGCCCACCTCAATTCTGGCAACTGTCGTGCCAATATCGGATGCTGTTTAAATGTTGATTTCGTTGAGATTTTGATCTTTTCAATACATTTTACTCCATGCATATATCTTTTGTGTTTTGCCGCTGGAATATTTGCCGAGTATGACGTTTAACAATAGACAAACATTATGTTACTGGTGTCTTGCATTAGCGGAAAATCAAATATCTGAATATTTTCGAAACAGTTACATTCAACATCCAATTGAGGCGCACGTAAAATCTCTAACTTCGGCCACAGTCCAAGTAAGCATAGCTGCGCTCCTCTTCCTATATTTATAAACAGAAAACATCTGCATTATAAGAAGGAATTGACATTTATGTTGTGGACTATAAAACAATAATATAGGGAATGCATTGATTTTTCTACTGCCACATTCTCCTGTCTGTCTAACATCCGAGAAAGGGTTCTGTTCATCCATAATTCTGATAAGACGTACGATAAGAAGACAATTTGCCAAGGGTCTTTTGTTTTTCCTGTGTGTTGAATGAGTTGGATTGAACGCCGCTTTTAACATTATTCGACGTTTACCACTTCGGTGAAACCCGAGAGCACGGGTATGATGCTGACAAACCTAGAAACATAATCGGAGTGAACCGGGATTCGAAACCACAATCATAGGTTTCTCGCGTGCCAAAAGGACGCAACTCTGCACAGAGAATCGCGGCGCCTTAGACGACTGGGCCCCCTGTATATGTGTTGAATCGGTGCACCAGGTTTCCTTTCTGATATACTCAACAACAAAAGATCCTGTGACACCAATATTTTAGTGTATTTTTTAAACAAGTAAAGTTTGGTTTTCAATATTGTAGTACATGTATGGAAAAAAGTCACTAAAATGCAACTGCTACAGAAAAGCATGCATTCCATGCAAAAGTTGACTTTTATGCACGCCCCATGTATTTCACGACCCAAGAATGGGTATAAAAACATGTGCGTTAACGGGATTCCATATGCATTCTTTAGCATCGTGCTGACAACAACCACTCAGAAAAACAACAAAATTACGCAATTATTCAACATTACGAAATGCCACGCCTGTCCGAAAATGAGCGTCTGCGAGCCATTGGTATGCTTGAAGCGGGATCGAGTCAACGGGATGTTGCAAGACAATTTAACGTCCACAGAAACACCATTTGGTATTTATGGCAACGTTGGCAACAGACGAATGCAGTCAGAGACCACCCTCGGAGTGACAGGCCACGCGTAACCAATAATCGAAAAATCAACTAGATTCGAACAACACACCTACGAAATCGATTCCAGCCAGCAACAGTGACTGCAAGAAGCATCCCTGGCCTTCGACGAATATCTTCACAAACCGTACGTCGTCGCCTCAGATGTGCAGGGATTGTCGCCAGAAGACCCGCCAGACGTCCCATTTTGACAGGAAACCACCGTCAAGCAGCGTCTACGCTGGACGGCCATGCAGTGGGGACAAGTTCTATTCACTGACAAGTCTTGTTTTCACCTCAGCCACAGCGATGGACGGATTCGAGTGTACCGACGCCGAGGTGAACGTTACGTCAATCATTGTGTCATGGAAGAAGATCGATTCGGGGGCGGCAGCGTTATGGTATGGGGTGGGATTACAGCAAGACAGAGGACCCGTTTGATAGTGGTAGAGGGAAATCTCTACCGCGACGAGATCATCAGCCCTGTTGTTCTACCGTTTTTGCGTCGTCATGGCCCAGGCATTACCTTTCAACATGACCACGCCCGGCCTCATATTGCTCGACTTGTTCAGGTATCTCTTCAACAAAACAACGTGAATGTCATCCCCTGGCCGGCTCGCTCCCCTGATCTCTCACCAACCGAGCACATGTGGGATGAGATGGATCGGCGCCTTCGACGTCAACCACGTGTTCCACAGACACTCCAGGAACTTCGAAACATGCTCCAGCAGATATGGACAGATTACCCACAGGACTCTGTGCGACGCCTGGTCCATTCCATGAGACGAAGATGTGTTGCTTGCATCGCAACCAGAGGTGGACACACACGCTATTGATTTGTAAATTGACATTTTGGCATGTTCATTTTTTTTTAATGAAATTACACATTTTCTGAAGTCAGTATGGCAAATTAACCCATTTGAACACTAACAGGAGTCTTTTGTCTGTTGCAAACCGAAATTGTTTCAGATTTGGTAAAAAAACATAACTTTGCATTAAATCTTTTAACAAGGCATGACACCCTACACTAGACTATAGGTCTGTGACATCGTGTCATATAAAACAGGGTCCACTGGTTTTACTTGTCATTACCTGTTCAATTCAGGATTTCTTCCCAAGTCTCCTAAACATAAGTACAAAAATAGTGTATGTCCGAAAGAGCCTTACAGAAAGGCCCGATGAAATATTTGACGTTTGAAATTATGTACTTTCTTTCTTTCTTGTTTAACGCCGCACTCAACAAAATTCCAACTAAATGAAGGCGGTCTGTAAATAATCGAGTCTGGACCAGACAATGTAGTGATTGACATCATAAGCATCGATCCACGCAATTTGAATACGATGACATGCATCAACCAAGTCAGCGAGCCTGACGACCCGATCCCGTTAGTCGCCTCGTACCACAAGCATAGTCGCCTTTTACAGCAAACATGGGTTGTGGAAGACCTATTCTAACCCGGATCTTCATTGGTACATTACTTTCAACTATTGAAAACAAAATACTGTTTGACACAAACAATGTCTGGATTATATAATAACACAGTTCTGTGATGTACACATTGGAATTAACCACAATACTCGTCAGTAGCATTGCAAATGTTATGAATTGTTATCTAAGTGTAACATGACCAGCGTATCCGCAGTAATAACACGAACCTGAAATATAAAAAATAAACATAGAAAACTTCAGTTTACCAGGCACCCTGCAGCTACATACATTGATGTAATACTCTTGCACCCGCATCCCGTCCATAATTATAACCCAACTTCCTTATATCCAAATATAGTTCCATGCTCACGTAATGATACAAAAGGTTGGCAGGGTTATCTTCAACGAACTTTGGGCGACTTACGACCCTGATATATTTTACTGCCACTTCTCATTTCCAGAATAACATGCAAAGTCGACTGATTAGATTTATAACCGGTTTTGCATTCTCTGAAGTTGATAGAAGTACACTACAGCAATATGATGATCTAGTTATCGTGAACAATGAGTACCTGGGTGAATATAATGAGTACCTGGGTGAATATATATAAATATACACATTCCAATTTCGGTGTTACAATTCCACCTTTTGAATGAATATCTATAAATAGAACATTGTTGTACCATGTGACAGATTTTCCCGCCAGTATTCCATGTGAGGCAGGAAAGGGTTTGTCAACACTGTGTGCTCGGGCTAAGTAATAGCACAAGTGGTTTAAATCTGAAAAGACAAGCCACGATGTGGATCCAGGTCCGAAGCATAGATGGGAAGAAGACTGTTCGTGTGGATGACCTGTCAAAATTGACTAAAATAGAGGAGCTGCGTCAAAAATTAGTGGATCCATTCGAAGCCCCCGTGGAAACACAGCGTCTTTTTTTTCGAGGAAAACAGGTTGCTAAATTTGCTTCAGAATTGACTTGATTGCAATTGTTTTCTTTGCAAAATAACTGTTGATCTACTTTTATTGACTTTGCGCGTATGCAAAACGAGTATTGCTAATTTCCTTCTGGAAACTTTATTGTTAAGTCATTAGAATTATCGAGATCAGATTATTAATAAATATGTTCTGGTCAAACAAAGTTTTTTACGTTAGAGCTACCCAATTGTAGGTTTATGTGGATATGTGAAAATCATGGGGAAAACAAGCGCTTCAGGACTCGAGTGTCAGGTCGCACTGCCCTTGGGAGCGTCATGACCTCAGGTCATTTTGAAAACATTTTATTTTGATGCTGACTGTGACAATTCCTTTGAGGGAAATTGTCGCCTACATCATCAGAATAAAACAGGTTTTTGAAAGATTTCTTCACTACTGAGAATCATTTATTCCTTAAAACATGCTAATGTTATTCTGCTGTAAGCCTAGATCTACTTGTCCTGGACAATGGTTGATCAGGATATGCCTACTTTAGACAAGAACCAGTTTACTGCTACAGTCCACACAATGGGGGATCATTGCTCTGTGGGTGGCAGGCGGTTTAACGGGTCCACGTTGCCTTGAGGGTATACTGAAGGATCTTAAGGTGTTTTTTAATTGGGATGCCCTGTCAAAGTTTTTGTCATCATTTATGTGAACAAAAGCATTAATTATTTTTATGGGTTCATTTCCCAAAACATTGACTGATCATACTGATTGTCATCCTCAATGCAAAGATTCTTTTTAAACTTAGTAATGATGGAAGAAGAATGCCCTATAAAAAATGTGATAAAATCATGAAAAATGTCCTGATGCCATTTGTTTTATCCATGCTATGTGTACCTGAACACTGACATATAATGTGACCACCAGAATGGCTTCAATGCTGACAAGACTGAACGAGCTTATCATGTAGCGTCCAACAGATAAAATTTTCTTAAACTATCTTAATTTTATCTGTTGGATGTAGTGTCTTCCAGGGTAGAATAGGTCTTCAGCAACCCATGCTTGCTGTAAAAGGCGACTATACTTGTCGTAAAAGGCGACTAACGGGATCGGGTGGTCAGGCTCGCTGACTTGGTCAATACTTGTCATCGATCCCAATTGCGTGGATTGATGCTCATGATGTCAATCACTGGATTGTCTGGTCCAGACTCGATTATTTTACGGACCGCCGTCATATAGCTGGAATATTGCTGAGTGCAGCGTAAAACAACAAACAAACAAAAAATGTAGCGTCAGTTGAGCTACAGTGCCGTGCCACTGTTACAAGATTCCTGCAAAGTGCATGTTTTCAAACTGCCAACACTTTGTTGCTTCAGCTTGTTGATGCCCACACCCTGTTCGACTATGGCGTGAATGTGAACGACTTGATCCAGTTGCTGGTTACTCCAGGGATCAAAGCGGCGTCAGATCCCGCGGACAAACACAGTCAGAGCTCTGGCTACTCGAGCGCCGGAGAAGATGGAAACAGCTCGGATAAGGAAAACCAGAAGGTGAGATAAAAGAAACCATGCATTTTGTGTTACCATGGTTACTTACAACTGACATGTAACAATTAGTTGAAACCTCATTAAGCCCATGACAGTGATGCGCCAAGTTGTTTTTGCATTAGTCACACTGATGGCCCCCGTGACGTTCCAATGGGTACAATGTGTAAGGCCAGTGAATGGGCACAGGGCCCAAAGTAGTTCCACATTTACTCCTGGGAGCATCATAGATTCAGTTATCTAGTATTGAGCAGAGCTCCAGATAAGCTGCGTATCTGCGTAAAATACGCATCAGAAATGCAGAAATACACAGTAAAATAAAATCCAAGCATATCAAATATGAAACGAACATTACAGATACGCTACAAAAATAAAACTTGTGCGTATCATCAAAATATTGTGAAGCAACCCTGCGTATTCGATTAGCAAATCAGCAACTTATTATCCCCCGCCGCGCGAAAGCGCGAAGCGGGGGATATAGTATTCACGACCGTCCGTCCGTACGTCGCACCTGTTTGTTGCCGCGATATCTCAAGAACTAAACACTGGATTGTCTTCATATTTGGAACTATGGTGTATATACAGACTCCGCAGACACCAGTCGGTTTTGGTGACCTTGATCCCATTTTCAAGGTCACAGCAGACAAATCTGCTTTTAGAGTTGGAAAACGGTGTTGCCGCGATATCTCAAGAACTAAACACTGGATTGTCTTCATATTTGGAACTATGGTGTATATACAGACTCCGCAGACACCAGTCGGTTTTGGTGACCTTGATCCCATTTTCAAGGTCACAGCAGACAAATCTGCTTTTAGAGTTGGAAAACGGTGTTGCCGTGATATCTCAAGAACTAAACACTGGATTGTCTTCATATTTGGAACTATGGTGTATATACAGACACCGCAGGCACCAGTCGGTTTTGGTGACCTTGACCCCATTTTCAAGGTCACAGCAGGCAAATCTGCTTTTGGAGTTGGAAAACGGTGTTGCCGCGATATCTCAAGAACTAAACACTGGATTGTCTTCATATTTGGAACTATAGTGTATATACAGACTCCGCAGACACCAGTCGGTTTTGGTGACCTTGATCCCATTTTCAAGGTCACAGCAGGCAAATCTGCTTTTAGAGTTGGAAAACGGTGTTGCCGCGATATCTCAAGAACTAAACCTCTCGATTGTCTTCATATTTGGAACTATGGTGTATATACAGACACCGCAGACACCAGTCGGTTTTGGTGACCTTGACCCCATTTTCAAGGTCACAGCAGGCAAATCTGCTTTTGGAGTTAGAAAACGGTGTTGCCGCGATATCTCAAGAACTAAACACTGGATTGTCTTCATATTTGGAACTATAGTGTATATACAGACACCGCATACACCTGTCAGATTTGGTGACCTTGACCCCATTTTCAAGGTCACAGCAGGCAAATCTGTTTTTGGAGTTGGAAAACGGTGTTGCCACAATATCTCAAGAACTAATCGCTGGATTGTCTTCATATTTGGTACTATGGTGTATATGGCGGGGGATATTTCGTCACTCTGTGACAAATACTTGTTTTGAAATTATAAACGGGCATTCCGTCAACCTTGCCAAACTCCACGATGACAGTTACATCATGACCATTTGCCATCACACTTTCTTGTGGAAGTATCGTGGTATTTTTGAGTCCTATAAAGATCTCGAACCTACACGACACCAGTTTACAGGGACTAGATGAATTGTGTTTTTAAATATTTAACTTAAAAACCCACATGTGTAAAAACAAGTGGGAAACAGAAATTTGAATACCCAGATAGAATTACTGATACCCAATGATTTTAAAATGCATGGGTAAAATACCCACAACACCAAAAGCTTATCTGGAGCTCTGGTTGAGGCAAGTTGACTCCCACTGTATGATCATGGTCAAAGCTTTTTCAGGGACCAAGTTACCATGGTTACTACCATATTCGACGTAATAAGCACCCACAGCGATATTGGCTAGTGAACAATCCCAATTAGCACCCCTATTGATTGATCAATAAACACAAGATTTATTCGTGTATAATACGCACACGTGTGTTATATGCTCCCTTAATTATGGGCAATTAAATTCTTGAAAAATATATCTGTCGTGTATAATATACACAGACTTTTCTTTTGTATAATTTCAGGCTGACAGCATAAACCACGAAATTCATGATCTTTCAACTGTTTCTTTTCATCAAAATTTTATTCTAATAAGGGCCCCCTATTTCTAATTTTGAGAGCGCCCTGGGGGCTTATTACATCAAATACGGTATGTCTTAACCAGTATATTAGATTAATGATTTCAGGTTACCAATGTTTGGTTGTAGCATGTTGTGTTTACAGATGATATTTAGTCTTTTACCAAAACAAAGCATGGAAAAGAGAGACAATCTTGCGATGCTACAGTCAATTCATGAATTTTGAGATCAGCAAATAAAGTGAAAGAGCGAGCTCAATGGTTGAGATATCGGCCCCGACCGACTACATTTGCCAAGAGTAGTGATTGCCTGAATTTCTTTGGGTTTTTTTCAACCGAAGTGGGAAGTTTTTTAATGACTTTGAATTTGCATTTAGCATGTTTAGACAGTGAAAAAAAAAATCAATTTCAGTACTGGCATAAATTGTAATATTCCAAACTAGCATCCTGACTTGCCTTGCTAAGAGAAAGGATCATCAATTTGTTTGGCTGCCCTTTTGAAAATAAACCCACATTTTTTGTCACTTGTTGGCCAGCTGGCACTTCATTTCTTTTTTTGTTATGGGGACAGAGTTTGTCCATCCCTCTTACAATCCGTCCTCCGTTTTCAATGGGGACAAATTTTCTCAAAAACTATTTAGGTTGGAGAAGTGAATATTTACACCATGATGTTATTGGTTTTGATCTGAAATGAATTTGATAATTGGCGTCTAAAATTCATTTTTACAGAGTTAGGGCCCTTGCTCCATACTCTTCAGCTTCTAAGAGACTGAGTTTCGGAAATTGGTGCCATACATTATTTTTGTTCACAGTAACAGCCTTTGGTTCATGTTTTTGTACTTAGTGAAGTGTCTGCAATGGAGACATTTTTTCTCAGAAACTGAAGTTCTATTAACATGATTAATGAAACTTTGCAAGCTTATCTGAGAGATACTTATCAAGACTGAGTTCCAAAAGTTGGTCCCTTCAATGATTTCTTTCCAGAGTTACATCCCTTGCTAGATGTTTCATTTTATCCCCCGCCCAAGCGAAGTTGGCAGGGGATATAGAAATGGGTTCCGTGTGTGTGTGTTGGTGCGCACCCATCCCGAAATCGTTTCCAGAGCATAACCCAGAAACCGTTAAATATTTCTCTACGAAACTTTGCATGTCTTTCAGACTCATGCTGAACTGGTGCCTTTTGCTATTTAGGAATTTTAGACATTTTTATTTTTTATGTTTTCATGGCAACAAGTTGGACTTTGGTTCTGTAGGGTAGAGTTTGTTTCCGGAGCATAACTCAAAACCCATTCAATACTTTCTAACAAAACTTTGCATGTTTACTAGACACATACTGAACTGGTGCCTTTTGATACTTAGCACTTTTAGAATTTTTTAATTTTTTTTACGTTTCCATGGCAACAAGTTGGACTTTGAAAACAATAAGGGTAGGGTTCGATTCCGGTTGAAATTTTCCACATCTTTAGACACGTGCTGAATTGTTGCCTTTTGCTATTTATGAATTTTAGAAATTTATATTACTGGGCATTATTTCGAGAAATATTTCCTTGCCAAACATTGCATGTCTATATATAAAGCACATACTGAACTGGGGCCATTTGATATTAAAGAGTTTTAGAAATGTTTATTTTAGAATTTCCATTGCAGCTATTTTGACATGGGCTAAGAGAAATGTTGGGTCAGTTACCAGGTTTGGGACCATAACGTGTTAAAATGGGCGGGGGATATAGATGACTTTGTTGACTGTACGCATGTTTATTTTTTCATCCTGCCTTCAATGGGAAACTACAAGTACTATGTGGAGACACAAAATTCTAATCTGCCCCGTGGTGGGTAACAGGGCTAATGCTGTTTTCTTGTTGACTTGAGAGGACACTGAGCTAACATCGTCTCTCTCTCTCCCTCCTCAGCCTCCACCCCCCAAGCCAGAGACCGCTTCTAGTAGCTGCGAGGCAGAAGACGAGGACTGCTCAGACAGTGTGTACAAGGTGAGACGTGTGTGTTATACAAGGTGTGTGTGTTGTACAAGGTGAGACGTGCGTGTTGTACAAGGTGAGACGTGCGTGTTGTACAAGGTGAGACACGTGTGTTGTACGAGGTGAGACGTGCATGTTGTACAAGGTGAGACGTGCGTGTTGTACAAGGTGAGACGTGTGTGTTGTACAAGGTGAGACGTGTGTTGTACGAGGTGAGACACGTGTGTTGTACGAGGTGAGACGTGCATGTTGTACGAGGTGAGACGTGCGTGTTGTACAAGGTGAGACGTGTGTGTTGTACGAGGTGAGACGTGTGTGTTGTACGAGGTGAAACGTGCGTGTTGTACAAGGTGAGACGTGCGTGTTGTACGAGGTGAGACGTGCGTGTTGTACAAGGTGAGACGTGCGTGTTGTACGAGGTGAGACGTGCGTGTTGTACAAGGATGGTGGTTGTGACTGGGGCATATATTGAAGTCTGTGCACTGGTGAATTATCAAGTGTCATGTTACGGGGCTGCAGGCCAGCAAATAAGTCTTCAGCGTGTTTTCAACCATAACCATTTATAGTGTACTCAAGAAGTTTAATATAGTGTTGCCTCGGGCCTTGACTGCTACTCAATGATGGTATCTCAAATATTGCTCCCCGTGAAGATCCGGGGTAGAATAGGTCTTCAGCAACCCATGCTTGTAAGAGGCAACTAACGGGATCAGGGGATCAGACTCGGTGACCTTGATGCATGTCATCGTATCCCAATGGCGTGGATCGATACTCATGACATCAATCACTGTATTGTCTGGAACATACTCCGTTATTTACAGACCGCTGGAATATGGCTGAGTGTTGTGTTAAACAACAAACAAACAAACATTGTGCAGGTTTCAGATTGGCTGACATTGCACCAGTGAGGAATCTTGTTTAAAATAGGTCCCCAGCACACTGCTGGTCGTAAGTGTTACTAAATGGATCGGGTGATCAGACTCTGTGACCTGGTTGATTGTATGTCATAGTTATGTTGATTGATGCTGATGTCAATCACTGGATTGTTTGGTCCAGGATTGATTTACAGACCGCTGTCATGTACCTTGAACTTTGCTGAGTGTGATGTTAAAAACAAACACATCAGATCAGGCACCTCGGACATTGATTGGCAACCAAAATGACCTTTTGAAGATTATTTTTTAAATTTGGTAATGATATAGAAGAATGTCCTATCAAACGTAGATAAAATCAAAACTATCCCCATGCAGTTTATCTCGACTTGTCACTAGCTGGTCAACCAACACGAGGAAAGGTATTGAATTAATGGTACAATCGGGCCCAGTGTTGATTTGAGAAACATGACCACATATAGCTTTTAGCTTCAACATATGGTTTTGGCGTTGTGATATTTTCAATCTCATTTCTTCCCAGCTTGGTGATGTCGTTGATGCTCGAGACGTTACCATTGGGGCATGGTTTGAGGCAAAGATCTTGAAAATTCGAAAAAAGAAAGATGACAAAGAAGAGGACGGTGGTTCATCAAAATCAGACACTAGCAAAATCTCCGCATCCACGTCACGGACTATTCTGGGTGAAAATGCGGAGTTCAAAAGTATGTTGGAAAAAGACAAGACAAAAGTGAATGCTAAGCATGAAGTGATGGATTGTGGTGGAGCTACCACGCCCGTAAAACGAGACGACTCTGATTCACAGGAGGGAGAGGGTGGGAGGGAGGTAACGAGGGAAAATACAGACACAAACACAGAAGATGCTCCTGGAATAACAGACTCTAGTGAAAATTCCAAGGAACGTATAAAAAGTGAGAATGACACAAATGTTGAAATGAAAGGTGTGGATGAAAATGCAAATGAAAAGTTGGAATCTTCCAAAGACATTATCAATCCAAAGACAACTGATGGATACGTGTATCATCTAATATTTGAAGGGTAAGTTGCAAGAAAAACAATTTTTTTGTCATAAGTTCCCAAGTTGTACGCTGTATTGGGTACTCTCAGATTAGATATCATCTGGTTTTTTGGCATTTTTATTTTTCCCCATTTCCATGGAAACAATTGAACTTAGCCTCAAAAGTGTGGTGGTAGGTGTCGTTTCGGGAGCAGAACTAAAAAACTATTCATCATTTTTCATCCAAACTTGGTACATGTATTAATCAAGGGCTGAAATGGTGCCTTTAGCATGCTTAGCTATTAAGGAATTTTAAAAGACATAATTCTTTCCTGTTTCCATAGCAACAAGTTTGACTTTGACGCTGTTCATAGTGGTGTGTTTGTCCGTACCATATCTCAAATACCAGGTTGTCAACTGGTACCTTTTGCTATATAGGGGTGTTTAGAATTTATGATTTTTTTTCTGTTTCCATGGCAACAAGTTTGATTTTGACTCTGTTCATAGTGGTGCGTACCTGACATAGAAATACAAAATTCTGAATCCCAATTCCATGGTATAGTTTTGATAGCTCAATGGCTACTCATTATATACAGACAGACACATTAGATAGAAATGTTCGACTTACGTAACAGTCAAAGATTATATATTTTTTTCAAATTTGTGGGGGATTTGTCATCTTCTGATTACCATGATCACTCTTGTTAATTTTATTCAAAATTTCTACCAATATTGTTTACATAATTTTTCTAGAAATCGTGTGAAGTTATCGGTACATCACGCCAAACTCAGTTATTGTAACTAATACTAGTTGAAAGTCATATTTGTTGTAGATTGACTATTACATGTCAACAATGTTTCCGCAACCACGAGAGTGTTGACACTGACAGGTCTAATTGTTCCATTGATATTGTTATTATTATTATTATTATTCCCATGACTCGTTTTACAGGAGGTTTTAAAATAGACACCATCAGTCCGTCAATCCATTCAAGATGTTTCCGGGCCAGATCTTGAAAACATTCAATATTTCATCACCAGACTTGGCACAAAGAAAGGTCCAGTGGTGAACTGCTGCCTTTTGATAGTTTGTGATTTTCGCGAATTTTGTTTTAGTGTTTCCATGACAAACACTTTGACTTAACATGCTTTAGCTGGAAATGGCGGTAGTGCTTGTTTCTGGAGAAGATCTTGCAAACCATGCAATATTTCTTCACCAAACTTGGCACCTAGATAGGTCTAGTGGTAAATTGGTGTCTTTTGATAGTGTGGGTTTATATAAACAAAACAACTAGTTGACATTCACAACAAGTTAATAACCATTGTGGGGAATATTGATGAATTTGTCTTCTTGTTTTCAATATATAAAATTAACAATGATTAGGCTAAAAGTAACTGCTCATTATATACGGACAGACACATTAGATAGAAAGTATCTCAACTTAGACTTATGTAACCATGGTAACAGCCAGATGATTTGTTTTTACATATTTGTGGGGGCCAGGGGGATTTGTCATCTTCTGATGACTCTTCGTTCTCTCCTCATAATACTTGATTTTTTTTTTAAAATAGTTAAAATACACAATCCCCTAGACATGCTAGAGGGTGATGTGCATTATGTTGTGTGCACACTATACACAAGAAATTATACAATGTTTGTTTAGAACTGAAGACAGACTCAAATCTTGTTGTTATGCCATGCGGCATTGGAATACACCCTACTCTAGTCTATACCGATACAGTACTCTACCACAGCTGACAGCCCCGAGAAGATCTAGGGTAGAATACGTCTTCAGCAACCCATGCTTCCATAAAAGGCGACTATGCTTGTCATAAGAGGCGACTAAAAAGGATTGTGGGGGGGTGGGGGTGTCAGACTCGCTGACTTGGTCGATGCATGTCATTGTATCCCAAATACATGGATTGATGTTCATTATGTCAATCACTGGATTGTCTGGTCCAGACTCGATTATTTACAGATCGCTGTCATTTAGCTGGAATATTGCTGAGTGCGGCGTTAAACAACAAACAAACAAACCACAGCTGAGATATTACACATGGTCAGAGGATGTTAGTTAAAATCAAGAAAAGGAATTCCTCAACTTTAACTACAAGTGTGAGCAAAAGAAGAGAGTGAAGGTATTAGTGTATTTAATGTTTCGAAAGATCATCATGATCATGTACGGAAATATATCTTTGGAGTGGTATCAAATTGTGAAACCGCATCATTCATCCTAAATATGGGTCCCAGTGGATGTATTCTGTATTTTCTTCAAGGTCAGTTTAAATGTTTTTGCATTTGGCAGGGTTGGCAGGGTTGGCAAGGTGGTTAGGATGCAGGATCTAGTGTCGAGGATAACAGTAGTCATGTCAGCGTGGGCAACATGGGCAAAGGACCATTTAAACGTGTTAAAGGTCTTATGTGGTTTTAGGAGTATGTGTTGCTCAATCGTCTTAGGTGCCACAATTGCTGTGCTTTTCCATTTAATGTATTATTGACATCCACACAGTGACAGTGTTTCATGTTGATACAGGTATGAGGAAGATGTGGTCGAGGTCAGCTCCAATAACATCAGACCCCGGGCCAGGGAAAGGGTGAAGTTGGGCGAGATCAAGTGTGGAGATCACGTGCTGGTCAACTACAACTACGATGACCACGCAGAGAGGGGGTTCTGGTACGACTGCATCGTCTCCGGGAAACGAGACACACGAACAGTCAAAGAACTCCTAGGAACTGTTTTCATCGGGTGAGGATCAGGGCCAGAGTGAAAACCATCACTTAACAGTGAATGTATTAAGCTTCATATTTGTAAATAATGAATAGTCCTTGACAAATCAGTGTCCATTAATTTTCTCAACTAGATTTGAACAGCAGCTAAAGCATCAGAGTCTACAGATCATTAAATTAAATTATGCTTTTCATGCTGCTCTATGGGAAGTCAGGCAGCCTTGTGGTTAATGCAGTGGCTTGTCATGTCAAGGACCTGAGTTGGATTCTTCATGTTGATTGACTTCTTTCAGTGCTGACCTCATGTTGATTGACTTCTTTCAGACCTGACCTCATGTTGATGGACTTGTTTCAGCGCTGACCTCATGTTGATGGACTTGTTTCAGCGCTGACCTCATGTTGATTGACTTGTTTCAATACTGACCTCATGTTGATGGACTCCTTTCTGTGCTGACCTCATGTTGATGGACTTGTTTCAGCGCTGACCTCATGTTGATGGACTTGTTTCAGTGCTGACCTCATGTTGGACTTGTTTCAGTGCTGACCTCATGTTGGACTTGTTTCAGCGCTGACCTCATGTTGATGGACTTGTTTCAGTGCTGACCTCATGTTGATGGACTTGTTTCAGTGCTGACCTCATGTTGGACTTGTTTCAGTGCTAACCTCATGTTGGACTTGTTTCAGTGCTGACCTCATGTTGATGACTTGTTTCAGTGCTGACCTCATGTTGGACTTGTTTCAGCGCTGACCTCATGTTGATGGACTTGTTTCAGTGCTGACCTCATGTTGATGACTTGTTTCAGCGCTGACCTCATGTTGATGACTTGTTTCAGTGCTGACCTCATGTTGATGACTTGTTTCAGTGCTGACCTCATGTTGATGACTTGTTTCAGTGCTGACCTCATGTTGATTGACTTGTTTCAGCGCTGACCTCATGTTGATGACTTGTTTCAGCGCTGACCTCATGTTGATGACTTGTTTCAGTGCTGACCTCATGCCCCTTGAGGATTGCAAGGTTCTATTCGTGGATGAGATCTTCAGTATCGAGAAGCCAGGCACTCAACTCAACGAGACCCGGGATGCTGACAATCCAGCGATATCACCTGCTAAACGTATGTCCACATTAGACCTGCATTCAGTTCCAGACATTGTGCATGGCGGAAGCTGTCTTCCATGTGTGTGCTATATATAGATGTCTCCTTGAGCCAGACTGGCTTTTGTGAAACGGTAGTACATACACCCTCTATCAATCAATACACTCTAGATAGAGGCCCCCTTGTCAGAAAACATCATGGCATATACTGCTAGTCATAAGAGCTGTCTAGAATAATTGAATTAAAATGTGTTGTCACAAACTCTAACATGTCTAATGCATGTAGGTGTCTTGTATGAATATGTATGTATTATAAATGACAGTTCACGGTGACCTGCTTTCAATGTCTTCACAACTGCAATAGTTTCATTGGTATAGTAAATTCCATGCCCATATAATTCATACTTGCTTTATATGCCGGATGTTCCTTTGTAATGTTCTTGAAATACTTGCAACTGATATTCAAGGTCAAATTCACTTTCAAGACCATAGTCTCAAACATGTATTATCTTCACAATAATTCTGGAAGTGTTCATTGTATTTTGATTAAATTTGATACATATCATCCTATATGTGCGGCATTGAAGTGGTACAACTTGGGGTGACCTTGAGTGAAGGTCAAGGTCACTGATGTGGTCATTTTTAAGGTAGCTCTGCTTGTTTAGTGAAACAATCCCTGTGCTTGTAGGATATAGTTTGTAAGAGCCTATGCCTTTGTTTTCAACAAAAATAGAATCAAGCATGTGATTGGCTCAGATTGAGGTCAAGGTCATTGAGCCGAAAGTGCATAGAAATGTTCTCATTGAGGTAGCTAGATGCATCAGAGGTTCTGTTTAAAGTTATCTTGTATTAAACTTGTGTTTTCCAAAACCGTTAGTGATACTATTAAACCTGAGGTGCATATGCCTTTCTTTTTGTGTAACTACAGACATGGGATTTTCTCCTCTTAAGCTGTCTTGCATTAGGAGTGTTTTCCCTGACCAGAAGTGATGTCATTAAACCTGAAGTGCTTTAATATGTTAGTGTAGCTTGAGGCACAGCACTGATTTGTGCTGCTTTTGACAGCATTAGGATTACAAGATGACTTGACATGGTATTGGTGAGGTCAGCTGCCACCTGATTTGGTCAAAATGTTTCATGATTTCTGGTGGAAGCGGTGTTTGGCATTGAGTATGGGTCTGCCTCTGTCTTTGCATATAATCAAACACCTTTCTTGTTGAATAACGTGGAACAGAGAAATGGTGAAGGGTGAAGTTCGTCACATTTTTGTAATGAGACGAATGTTTGGCAGGTAAGAACAAGCCGGAGTGTGACCATTGCCATGACAACCCCCGCAGGAAGTGTAAACACTGCGCGTGTTGCGTGTGTGGGGGGAAGGACAACCCAGACCGGCAGATCCTGTGTGACGAGTGCGACCAGGCGTATCACCTCGACTGCCTCAATCCACCCCTCCAGACCGTGCCGGATGATGATGAATGGTGAGGAATGGGCTGATCTCGGGATGGTAGTGGGCCTGCTTCACAGTATGTTAGGCGTTAGTGGGCCTTGTTCACAGTATGTTAGGCTTTAGTGGGCCTTGTTCACAGTATGTTAGGCTTTAGTGGGCCTGCTTCACAGTATGTTAGGCTTTAGTGGGCCTTGTTCACAGTATGTTAGGCTTTAGTGGGCCTTGTTCACAGTATGTTAGGCTTTAGTGGGCCTTGTTCACAGTATGTTAGGCTTTAGTGGGCCTTGTTCACAGTATGTTAGGCTTTAGTGGGCCTGCTTCACAGTATGTTAGGCTTTAGTGGGCCTTGTTCACAGTATGTTAGGCTTTAGTGGGCCTTGTTCACAGTATGTTAGGCTTTAGTGGGCCTGGTTCTCAGTATGTTAGGCTTTAGTGGGCCTTGTTCACAGTATGTTAGGCTTTAGTGGGCCTGCTTCACAGTATGTTAGGCTTTAGTGGGCCTGCTTCACAGTATGTTAGGCTTTAGTGGGCCTGGTTCTCAGTATGTTAGGCTTTAGTGGGCCTTGTTCACAGTATGTTAGGCTTTAGTGGGCCTTGTTCACAGTATGTTAGGCTTTAGTGGGCCTGGTTCTCAGTATGTTAGGCTTTAGTGGGCCTTGTTCACAGTATGTTAGGCTTTAGTGGGCCTTGTTCACAGTATGTTAGGCTTTAGTGGGCCTGCTTCACAGTATGTTAGGCTTTAGTGGGCCTTGTTCACAGTATGTTAGGCTTTAGTGGGCCCTGTTCACAGTATGTTAGGCTTTAGTGGGCCTGGTTCTCAGTATGTAAGCTTTAGTGGGCCTGCTTCACAGTATGTTAGGCTTTAGTGGGCCTTGTTCACAGTATGTTAGGCTTTAGTGGGCCTTGTTCACAGTATGTTAGGCTTTAGTGGGCCTTGTTCACAGTATGTTAGGCTTTAGTGGGCCTGGTTCTCAGTATGTTAGGCTTTAGTGGGCCTTGTTCACAGTATGTTAGGCTTTAGTGGGCCTTGTTCACAGTATGTTAGGCTTTAGTGGGCCTGCTTCACAGTATGTTAGGCTTTAGTGGGCCTGGTTCTCAGTATGTTAGGCTTTAGTGGGCCTTGTTCACAGTATGTTAGGCTTTAGTGGGCCCTGTTCACAGTATGTTAGGCTTTAGTGGGCCTTGTTCACAGTATGTTAGGCTTTAGTGGGCCTGGTTCTCAGTATGTAAGCTTTAGTGGGCCTGCTTCACAGTATGTTAGGCTTTAGTGGGCCTTGTTCACAGTATGTTAGGCTTTAGTGGGCCTTGTTCACAGTATGTTAGGCTTTAGTGGGCCTTGTTCACAGTATGTTAGGCTTTAGTGGGCCTGGTTCTCAGTATGTTAGGCTTTAGTGGGCCTTGTTCACAGTATGTTAGGCTTTAGTGGGCCTTGTTCACAGTATGTTAGGCTTTAGTGGGCCTGCTTCACAGTATGTTAGGCTTTAGTGGGCCTGGTTCTCAGTATGTTAGGCTTTAGTGGGCCTTGTTCACAGTATGTTAGGCTTTAGTGGGCCCTGTTCACAGTATGTTAGGCTTTAGTGGGCCTTGTTCACAGTATGTTAGGCTTTAGTGGGCCTGGTTCTCAGTATGTTAGGCTTTAGTGGGCCTGGTTCACAGTATGTTAGGCTTTAGTGGGCCTTGTTCCCAGTATGTTAGGCTTTAGTGGATCTGGTTCACAATACTGTATCTTTGTCATTGAGTAACCTTTGGCTTTATTCATCAGTAGTTCGAACCTGAATGTAAGCGATGTCATTTCATCCTGTGAATATAACATGGATGATTAGAAAATATTTCTTTACTAGCGAAATATCAACAGACTAGAAGGTGCAACAATTTTCCCCGTGTTATGGGTTTCACATGTTAAAAGAAACTTTTGTTATTTTCTCATTACTCAAAAGAACAACTGTAAAACATCCTCCCCACTTATAAAAGACGACTTTATCTTTGAAACAGGCATCATCTGAGTATTTACACTGTCTGTGACGCGACACCCCTTGTTATAGCGCGAGTAATCGCGATAAACCTGGGCGTCCAAAAACGTATGATGTCTTAAAACCTATTATCCGGCGATACTTGCCAGCTTTGTGCATGTTGTACACTTGAGATAGGAGGGAGAAGCATTAGCTTTCTAGGTTGGTAAATAAACAGCCCTAGAAGTGACTGGCTGATGTCTTGGTCCACCAGGTACTGTCCGTCGTGCAAGGTGGACACCAGCAGCGTGGTCAAGGCCGGCGAGAAACTGAAGGAGAGCAAGAAGAAATCCAAGATGGCATCTGCTACTTCTAAAAGCAGTCGTGACTGGGGAAAGGTATGATAAACTTAATAATATTTCCCCACTGACGTGCTCCAGTTACAGGTGGAAAATTGCATTCATATTTTTGTATTTGTATATATGTGGGATGCGGAACACCTGTGTTAGTTTTATGATCTTGCAGGAGTACACCTGTAAGAGGGTGTATGGGGTTTGTCTGTAGGCTGGAAAAGTAACTCTGAAAACATGTCCTTACTAACATACCCAGCAGAGAGACAAATGTCCACTTGCTAAAGTCATTATCTCGAAGTGTTGTTCCGATGTTGATTGAACTGTTTTTGTTTCAGGGTATGGCGTGTGTGGGACGGACAAAGATGTGTACTCTTGTCCCGCCAAACCACTTCGGCCCTGTGCCCGGTGTGGAGGTCGGCATGATGTGGAAGTTCAGGGTACAGGTATGTCTTGACTGAAGTGTCCGTGGCTTCTCATGGTCCCCGGAACACAAGTGACAAGTTGGAACTGTTTAAACTATAGCATTCAACCCTTTACACATAATGTACATGGAATTGAAGCCTTAGATTACAACATTGATAGAATGGAACCATTGAAATGATATCTGCATCGTTTTGAACCCTTTTAAACAAAATGTTCATAGAATTGAACAGTTCTCAAATACAAGGATGACACCCTTCAAATACAATGTTGATAAAATGAACCCTTCAAATTCAACATCAATATGAACCCTTCGGTGATATGTGCATAGACTTGAATTGTTCCACAATTGAGGTTAGTTACATCTTGAAATGTTGCTTAATTCAGAGCATTTCTGAGGCTGTATCTGTATAGTATAAGATGTTGCGTCTGTCAGGTGAGCGAAGCAGGCTGTATCTGTAAAGTATAAGATGTTGCGTCTGTCAGGTGAGCGAAGCAGGCTGTATCTGTATAGTATAAGATGTTGCGTCTGTCAGGTGAGCGAAGCAGGCTGTATCTGTAAAGTATAAGATGTTGCGTCTGTCAGGTGAGCGAAGCAGGCTGTATCTGTATAGTATAAGATGTTGCGTCTGTCAGGTGAGCGAAGCAGGCTGTATCTGTAAAGTATAAGATGTTGCGTCTGTCAGGTGAGCGAAGCAGGCTGTATCTGTATAGTATAACATGTTGCGTCTGTCAGGTGAGCGAAGCAGGCTGTATCTGTAAAGTATAAGATGTTGCGTCTGTCAGGTGAGCGAAGCAGGCTGTATCTGTAAAGTATAAGATGTTGCGTCTGTCAGGTGAGCAAAGCAGGCTGTATCTGTATAGTATAAGATGTTGCGTCTGTCAGGTGAGCAAAGCAGGCTGTATCTGTATAGTATAAGATTGTTGCGTCTGTCAGGTGAGCAAAGCAGGCTGTATCTGTATAGTATAAGATTGTTGCGTCTGTCAGGTGAGCAAAGCAGGCTGTATCTGTATAGTATAAGATGTTGCGTCTGTCAGGTGAGCAAAGCAGGCTGTATCTGTATAGTATAAGATTGTTGCGTCTGTCAGGTGAGCAAAGCAGGCTGTATCTGTATAGTATAAGATGTTGCGTCTGTCAGGTGAGCAAAGCAGGCTGTATCTGTATAGTATAAGATTGTTGCGTCTGTCAGGTGAGCGAAGCAGGCTGTATCTGTATAGTATAAGATTGTTGCGTCTGTCAGGTGAGCAAAGCAGGCTGTATCTGTATAGTATAAGATTGTTGCGTCTGTCAGGTGAGCGAAGCAGGCTGTCATCGTCCCCATGTTGCTGGCATCCATGGCCGCGAAGATGAGGGAGCGTACTCCATTGTGTTGTCGGGAGGCTACGAGGATGATAAGGTATGTATGTCTGTCAGTGTGCTCAAGAATCCCAAACACTAATATTTTATACAAGAGTTATATTCATGTTTTTATATCCCACACTGACTTGATTAAGATGGGGGATCGAGAGTGATGCTAATGTAACGTGTGTGATTCTTATGTAACGTCACGTGTGGGATGATAATGTAACGTGTCATGCTAATGTAACATGCAGCAGTAGAAACTAACATCTTTAGTCCACTAGTCCTTATGATGATAACACTAGCAATGTGATGCTAATGTAATGTGTGTGATGCTGATGTAATGTGTGTGATGCTGTTGTAATGTGTGTGATGCTGTTGTAATGTGTGTGATGCTGTTGTAATGTGTGTGATGCTGATGTAATGTGTGTGATGCTGTTGTAATGTGTGTGATGCTGTTGTAATGTGTGTGATGCTGATGTAATGTGTGTGATGCTGATGTAATGTGTGTGATGCTGATGTCACGTGTGTGATGCTGTTGTAATGTGTGTGATGCTGTTGTAATGTGTGTGATGCTGATGTCACGTGTGTGATGCTGATGTCACGTGTGTGATGCTGATGTAATGTGTGTGATGCTGTTGTAATGTGTGTGATGCTGATGTAATGTGTGTGATGCCGTTGTAATGTGTGTGATGCTGATGTCACGTGTGTGATGCTGTTGTAATGTGTGTGATGCTGTTGTAATGTGTGTGATGCTGTTGTAATGTGTGTGATGCTGATGTAATGTGTGTGATGCTGATGTAATGTGTGTGATGCTAATGTAATGTGAGTGATGCTCATGTAATGTGTGTGATGCTGTTGTAATGTGTGTGATGCTGTTGTAATGTGTGTGATGCTGTTGTAATGTGTGTGATGCTGATGTAATGTGTGTGATGCTGTTGTAATGTGTGTGATGCTGTTGTAATGTGTGTGATGCTGATGTCACGTGTGTGATGCTGATGTCACGTGTGGGATGCTGATGTCACGTGTGGGATGCTGATGTCACGTGTGGGATGCTGATGTCACGTGTGGGATGCTGATGTCACGTGTGTGATGCTGTTGCAGGATGATGGAGATCAGTTTACGTACACAGGAAGTGGAGGTCGTGACCTTTCTGGCAATAAGCGCACAGCAGAACAGTCGTGTGATCAAGTTCTAACGAGGATGAACAAGTAAGTTCAATGCGTTTGAAACGTTCCTGTCTGCTCACACATGTAGCATATGGACCAAGTTCATCTGTTGGGATTCTGTTACCGAGATAGTAAACTACAGTTAATCTCTTTATAGCCCTGGGGAATTATTTTGATAAGTTGGAAATGTCAAGGTCATCCTTAAGGTCACTTTATTTGCACAGAGAGTTTAACTGGATGTGATGATGTAAGACAACACTGATGGGATGCCAGGTTGGCGTTGGTCCCCAGCCATCTGTGCTGGTCTTAGGGGGGACTAGTGGATCGGCTGGTGAGTCTCAGCAACTTGTAAGTTGCATGTCACCCTACCCCATTGCCAGGGATCGCTGCTCGCAGTATCAGTCATTGGCGTTCTGGTCAAGACTCATTACAAACAAGTCCCGTTAATCCAACATGGTTGGTTGCATATGGACAACTACATGATAGATAATAATACAAACAAGTAATAAAATAATGAAACATGCGCATGGTTATGTTACGTTGTCAGCGATATATGTTTTCTAATCACGCAACCTCTAAGGCTTACCACAAAACACAAAACAAATGTTACGGGAAAAGCATGGCCTGGAATGGAAGTCGCCAGTTTGAAATTGGTACCGCAAAGCTCAAGAAAGCTGCTTTCTTAGTGGCTAATGACAACTTCCTGTAGTTTGGTAATCTAAGCATGTGATTAATCCAGTTTTGTTTATTTAAAGCATTAATTGTTTATTGTTAAGCAAGTTTGTCTCTGCAGCCGTTGTAATATGCAGCTGCTAACCGACTTGTCTCACATCAAAACACGGGCTGTGTACTCTCGGGCAGATGACCATGGAGTACACTGATCACTGTGTTGGATGAACAAGACTGATTAATGAGTGATTTCGGTAATTCATTGCAAATTAGGTGTGTCAGAGTCGGAGTGCGAGACTGTCGGATTCGTGGGTCTAAATAGCACTGAATTAGTCAGTTCCCATCATTAGTGGCGGATAAAGACGATTGTCGGATTAACAAGTGTTGGATTAACAGGACTTGACTGTATTCCCCCCAAGCAGCCAGTTGTAGTTGGCTGGCATTTCCTGTCAAGGTGGTAGGTAGTTATACTGTTGTTTGTTGTTGTTTTGCGGACCAACTTGCTTAAATCTCTGCAGATAAGTTTTGATCCAATGAAAGTAGTGTTTTTTTGTTTTTTACTTCATTTGGACAAGATATGAGAATCTTTTGACAATAGGAGGAGTTATGTCGTTAGATTGGAAATGCATATAGATTCTTTATGATTGGCGTAAGGGAGATAATTCTCATTCTGGATGTACTTGTGTTCTGATAGCATGTGAATCATATCGGGGAAGTTGACAGTTGTAAGTATAGAATGTTACTTTGTGTTGTGTTGTCATAGTGTTATCGAAATGATTGTGTGGAGGTGATTGTTTGTCAGTTGTATAATGAATTCTAACAAATAACGTTAACTTGAAGCAGAGAGCTCTGTCTGTCATTATGTTAACTGTCTGAGGTACTGGATCTGGTTGTGGTTGAAGAAGCCATGTATTTCCCCAAAGGTAACAGGACATAGCTGGAAATGCATGGTGGTATGTCAGGATTCTGGAGATAGTGGCAAAGGGCTGTTCTATTACTGCAGGATGCAAACACCTGTTAAAGTTTATATACTGTTACTTTGAGGCATCTCTGCTTGGTGCTATGTTGATAGCGTCGACTTGAAACTTCAACATCCCATCTTTTCATTGTTGACAGCTTCGACTTGAAACTTCAACATCCCGTCTTTTCATTGTGACAGCGTCGACTTGAAACTTCAACATCCCGTCTTTTCATTGTGATAGCGTCGACTTGAAACTTCAACATCCCATCTTTTCATTGTTGATAGCGTCGACTTGAAACTTCAACATCCCGTCTTTTCATTGTGATAGCGTCGACTTGAAACTTCAACATCCCATCTTTTCATTGTTGATAGCGTCGACTTGAAACTTCAACATCCCGTCTTTTCATTGTGATAGCGTTGACTTGAAACTTCAACATCCCATCTTTTCAGTCATTTTATGTTGATGTTAATTTGATGTCCGCTGAATGCTTATGCACTCAGTATGCTGTATGTGCAGAGCCTTGGCCAAGAACTGCAACGCACCCATCAACACGAAGACAGGTGGAGATTCCAAGGAGGGTTGGCGAGACGGGAAGCCAGTGAGAGTTGTCCGCAACTGCAAGGGAAGCAGACACTCCAAGTATGCACCGCTAGATGGCAATCGTTACGACGGTATTTACAAGGTGGGTGCGCATGTTCAAATATTATTCGTTGTCAGGTGTTCGTGGACCTAAGGCTATTACAGGGATGTGAAATCTCTGCGGAAACGCGGAAAATCGCATTTTTTAAAACTGTAGTCCTTGGGGAAAAAATCATCTTCCTCGTAAAAATATATAAAAAACAATCCGAAAAATATTATCGAAATCCGGACAATCGTCTTAGGTTTTCGGACATCATACGTTTTCAATCACGAATACTTGCACTGTAACAGGGGGGTATGGCATCACACATAAATTTTAAATACTCAGATGATGGCTCGTTTTCAAGATAAAGCTGTCTTTTAGCCTATACGTAAATGAGATGTTTTACAGTTGTTAATGTGATTAGCGAGAAAACTATGTTTCTTCAGCTTGCCTCCAGACCCCCCTAGACTTTTCCTGTATTTTCAAGAAAACCTGCTCACATCCCTGCTATTACCAAAATGAAATAAGGCGGGTTGACATCTTGTTATGAAAGAATCGCCTCAAACATGTACTATAGTTTCAAGATTTGTGACTATGATGATTTACTAAGTTACTATTCATAGCAGAAGTAAATGGCGTTTAGAAGATTGCTTGTGTCTGGTGAAGGTTGACTAATGTGTCGATCATGTTGTCTGCAGATTGTGACGTACGTTTAAGTGACTGCTTGTGGCGAGTGCACGTTAAATGATGTATCGACCATGTTGTCTGCAGATTGTGAAGTACTGGTCGGAGTCTGGCAAGTCAGGTTTCTTGGTGTGGCGCTACCTGCTGCGTCGAGACGACCCCACACCGCCACCCTGGTCTGCCGCCGGCAAGAAACGCATCAAGCAGATGGGATTTGAGATGCAGGTGAGAGCTTGGCAACATCATGATGCATTTCCTTGATGTATGTTTGTGAAATGTCAGCATCTGTGAAGTTGAGTCCGAATGTAGTGGTAGTTTCTACAAAGATATGGGTGAAATCAGAGACCCCATGTGGACGAAGTCAACATCTTGCATGCAAGGCCAGACCTTTGTTAAGACTTGGTTTACGAATCTGCCGAAAAATAGAACTGTGAAAAGCATACTTATCCTGCATTACACACGAGCCGTCCCAGGACTGATGTCTTCCTCGCTACCGTAACAAAGCTTTCAAAGTCAAGGGGGAATGACATTTTACTATAAAATAAATAGGGCTGTAACCATGGTAACGATTCATCGATACTTAGGCATGTTAGGTACACCTGATACTTGGTACCTAGTATCATCAGTCCGTATTGTGATACCAATCGTATTGCAAGATACCAAAAATAAACTTGCTGTTCTGATTCATTTCAGTACCCGGATGGTTACCAGGAGGCTCAGGCTCTGAAGGAGAAAGAGAAGGAGGAGGCTGCCGAGGCCACGCCCAAGGGCAGAGGTCGCAAGAAGAGGAAGGCAGAGGGTAAAATACAGAACTAAGTTTGAGAACAGTGCCCCAATGTTGTACAGACAGACAGACAGACGGATGAGCAGCGCGTGGGACAGGCTGGTCATTGTACACTAATGGCCGTCCTCATGCTAACACCCTCTCATATGTCTGGCCCAAACTTGATTACGAGTTAATAAGCTACTGTGATACAGCTGAACTTTTGCTGACTGGCGTAAAACAACATTCACTCACTGAAGGTAGTGTTAACCTAGCCGTTTATTAGAAATAGTGAAACCTTTGTATTGGAGCTGATCTAATGTTTAGGTTCCCCAGGGCTATTGAACAGCTGATCTATGTTTAGATTTTCCCCTATTAAACAGCTGATCTATGTTTACTTCCCCCTATTGAACAGCTGATCTATGTTTACTTCCCCCTATTAAACAGCTGATCTATGTTTACTTCTATGTTTACTTCCCCCTATTAAACAGCTGATCTATGTTTACTTCCCCCTATTAACAGCTGATCTATGTTTACTTCTATGTTTACTTCCCCCTATTAAACAGCTGATCTATGTTTACTTCCCCCTATTAAACAGCTGATCTATGTTTACTTCCCCCTATTAAACAGCTGATCTATGTTTACTTCCCCCTATTAAACAGCTGATCTTTGTTTACTTCCCCCTATTAAACAACCGATCTATGTTTAATTTCCCCTATTACACAGGTGATCTATGTTTACTTCCCCCTATTAAACAGCTGATCTATGTTTACTTCCTCCTATTAAACAACCGATCTATGTTTAATTTCCCCTATTAAACAGCTGATCTATGTTTACTTTCCCCTATTAAACAGCTGATCTATGTTTACTTCCCTCTGTTAAACAGCTGATCTATGTTTACTTCCCCCTATTAAACAGCTGATCTTTGTTTACTTACCCCTATTAAACAACCGATCTATGTTTACTTCCCCTATTAAACAGCTGATCTATGTTTACTTCCCCCTATTAAACAGCTGATCTATGTTTACTTCCCCCTATTAAACAGCTGATCTATGTTTACTTCCCCCTATTAAACAGCTGATCTATGTTTACTTCCCCCTATTAAACAGCTGATCTTTGTTTACTTCCCCCTATTAAACAACCGATCTGTTTAATTTCCCCTATTACACAGGTGATCTATGTTTACTTCCCCCTATTAAACAGCTGATCTTTGTTTACTTCCTCCTATTAAACAACCGATCTATGTTTAATTTCCCCTATTAAACAGCTGATCTATGTTTACTTTCCCCTATTAAACAGCTGATCTGTTTACTTCCCTCTATTAAACAGCTGATCTATGTTTACTTCCCCCTATTAAACAGCTGATCTTTGTTTACTTACCCCTATTAAACAACCGATCTATGTTTACTTCCCCTATTAAACAGCTGATCTATGTTTACTTCCCCCTATTAAACAGCTGATCTATGTTTACTTCCCCCTATTAAACAGCTGATCTATGTTTACTTCCCCCTATTAAACAGCTGATCTATGTTTACTTCCCCCTATTAAACAGCTGATCTATGTTTACTTCCCCCTATTAAACAGCTGATCTATGTTTACTTCCCCCTATTAAACAGCTGATCTATGTTTACTTCCCCCTATTAAACAGCTGATCTTTGTTTACTTCCCCCTATTAAACAACCGATCTGTTTAATTTCCCCTATTACACAGGTGATCTATGTTTACTTCCCCCTATTAAACAGCTGATCTTTGTTTACTTCCTCCTATTAAACAACCGATCTATGTTTAATTTCCCCTATTAAACAGCTGATCTATGTTTACTTTCCCCTATTAAACAGCTGATCTATGTTTACTTCCCTCTATTAAACAGCTGATCTATGTTTACTTCCCCCTATTAAACAGCTGATCTTTGTTTACTTACCCCTATTAAACAACCGATCTATGTTTACTTCCCCTATTAAACAGCTGATCTATGTTTACTTCCCCCTATTAAACAGCTGATCTATGTTTACTTCCCCCTATTAAACAGCTGATCTATGTTTACTTCCCCCTATTAAACAGCTGATCTATGTTTACTTCCCCCTATTAAACAGCTGATCTTTGTTTACTTCCCCCTATTAAACAACCGATCTATGTTTACTTCCCCCTATTAAACAGCTGATCTATGTTTACTTCCCCCTATTAAACAACCGATCTATGTTTATTTTCCCCTATTAAACAGCTGATCTATGTTTACTTTCCCCTATTAAACAGCTGATCTATGTTTACTTCCCTCTATTAAACAGCTGATCTATGTTTACTTCCCCCTATTAAACAGCTGATCTTTGTTTACTTACCCCTATTAAACAACCGATCTATGTTTACTTCCCCTATTAAACAGCTGATCTATGTTTACTTCCCCCTATTAAACAGCTGATCTGTTTACTTCCCCCTATTAAACAGCTGATCTATGTTTACTTCCCTCTATTAAACAGCTGATCTATGTTTACTTCCCCCTATTAAACAGCTGATCTATGTTTACTTCCCTCTATTAAACAGCTGATCTTTGTTTAATTTCCCCTATTAAACAGCTGATCTGTTTACTTCCCCTATTAAACAGCTGATCTATGTTTGCTTCCCCTATTAAACAGCTGATCTATGTTTACTTTCCCCTATTAAACAGCTGATCTATGTTTACTTCCCCCTATTAAACAGCTGATCTATGTTTACTTCCCCCTTTTAAACAGCTGATCTATGTTTACTTTCCCCTATTAAACAGCTGATCTATGTTTACTTCCCCCTATTAAACAGCTGATCTATGTTTACTTTCCCCTATTAAACAGCTGATCTATGTTTACTTCCCCCTATTAAACAGCTGATCTATGTTTACTTCCCCCTATTAAACAGCTGATCTATGTTTACTTCCCCCTATTAAACAGCTGATCTATGTTTACTTCCCCCTATTAAACAGCTGATCTATGTTTACTTTCCCCTATTAAACAGCTGATCTATGTTTACTTCCCCCTATTAAACAGCTGATCTATGTTTACTTCCCCCTATTAAACAACCGATCTATGTTTTGACTCCCTCTATTAAACAGCTGATCTATGTTTAGACTCCCTGTATTAAACAGCTGATCTATGTTTCGACTCCCTGTATTAAACAGCTGATCTATTTTTAGACTCCCCTGTCAATACTCCTAAGAAGTCGAAGGTGTCAGAGTTCAAGATCGAGTCGGAGCAGATGGACCACATCAAGGAGGACAAGCTCAACGAGAAGCTGTGGAAAGAAGTGATGGAGTCCGCCAAGGAGGGGCGGCCGGTACGTTGGTCACATCTTGGCACACAGCCAACACTTACAGCCCAAACTCCATACTGTATAACACGGCCATAGGACCAGGGCCCCGTTCCACAAGGCAATCTTAGCATTAAGTCCTTTGTAACTCCCATACTTTAACCAAGACTTTTGATAATCATAGAGCTAAGATCGCTTTGTGCAACTAGGCCCAGGAAGGGAGATTAGTTACCTGAAGAAGTTTCCTGAATGTTCCTCTGTGACATTGCTGGAATATTGCTAAGAGCGGTGTATTACAGTAAGACCATACTCACTGCTTCATGTTGAATGTGTCCTGAGAGCTTGTGGACATCTGTCCACTTAGGGTGGGTGTTATCTGTTCTGAATTCTGGGGAAAGATGAGTGGAGACTATGCTGGTGGTTAGAACATTTACATTCCCCACAGGTAGAGAGTGTGTGAAGCTTTAGTGTCCAGTGCCATCATATTGAAAAAAGAGGTGTGAAACCCTTCTCTCACTCACGACATGTTCTTCCAGAAATTCATCCAGAAAATTGAAGAGACCTTCATTTGCATCTGCTGCCAGGACGTGGTTGTCAAACCTGTCACGCTCGAGTGCTGTCACAATGTCTGTAAGGTAGGTCGTCAACGTCCCTGTCACGCTTGAGTGCTGTCACAATGTCTGTAAGGTAGGTTGTCAACGTCCCTGTCACTCGGAGTGCTGTCACAATGTCTGCAAGGTAGGTTGTCAACGTCCCTGTCACGCTCGAGTGCTGTCATAATGTCTGTAAGGTAGGTTGTCAACGTCCCTGTCACGCTCGAGTGCTGTCACAATGACTGTAAGGTAGGTTGTCAACGTCCCTGTCACGCTCGAGTGCTGTCACAATGTCTGCAAGGTAGGTCGTCAACGTCCCTGTCACGCTCGAGTGCTGTCACAATGACTGTAAGGTAGGTCGTCAACGTCCCTGTCACGCTCGAGTGCTGTCACAATGTCTGTAAGGTAGGTTGTCAACGTCCCTGTCACGCTCGAGTGCTGTCACAATGTCTGCAAGGTAGGTCGTCAACGTCCCTGTCACGCTCGAGTGCTGTCATAATGTCTTTAAGGTAGGTGGCTGGTTATCAAGCATGACACTGGCTGGTGGTCGCGGTTGAATCATGACACTGGCTGGTGGTCGCGGTTGAATCATGACACTGGCTGGTGGTCGCGGTTGAATCATGCCCCTGCCATGACACTGGCTGGTGGTCGCGGTTGAATCATGCCCCTGCCATGACACTGGCTGGTGGTCGCTGTTGAATCATGCACCTACCATGACACTGGCTGGTGGTCGCGGTTGAATCATGCCCCTACCATGACACTGGCTGGTGGTCGCGGTTGAATCATGCCCCTACCATGACACTGGCTGGTGGTCGCGGTTGAATCATGCCCCTACCATGACACTGGCTGGTGGTCGCGGTTGAATCATGCACCTACCATGATACTGGTTAGTGGACGTTGTAAAGGCCCTCCCTATATATATTCTGGTGTTGTAAAGGGGGCAGCTGCTACGAGAGAAGGTCGTAATTATTTGAAGTCTTGCCAACATGTGACAAATTTAGTGGAAATTATCAGGGCATCATTCAATTGCAAAGCCATTATTTCATTCTTTGTCTCCGTCTTACAAGGCTATAATATAGGTCATTGTATTTCAACTAAGAGGCCACTTCTAGGGTGTTAGGTTTGTCTTGCGCTGCCATTGTGGGTGTTGATGCCTTCTGCTGTCCTCTCTTCCAGTCCTGTCTTCAGAGATCATTCAAGGCGGAGGTCTACTCCTGCCCCGCGTGTCGCTTCGAGCTCCCTCAGAAATACAACATGCCCATCAACACCAGCCTCTCCACCGTCCTCAACCACTACTTCCCTGGCTACGAAGCTGGACGATGAGATCAGGGTTAACCCTTTTAAGGATGAACACGAACATGTGAACCCTCTCTATGTCAGAACCCAACTGATCAGGAAGAATGGAGTAGAATTAGGCATTATATGGTGGAGTAAGGTGTTTTCAGCTGATCAGGAGTCATAGCACCGTGCCAATATATTGCACTTAATCATGCAGCATTTACAGGCCTATTGAACATGATGGTGTCCATCCCTTACTGGTAGTATACAGCTGCTATACAGCTGCTATAACTATATTGTTTTACACAATTTGTGTCAAGCTTAGAGATGCATTTATTAATAATACAAACTGAAGTCAAATATATCTACATTTATATAGGTCTTATTTCAGATAAACAATAGTATCCAATGATATTCCGAATGTTATTCCTCATCTGTTTTGTTCTAATGAATGAATTAAATAATGGTATTCATTGGTTGAAGTATTGTGGTAGTCGTGTCAGTCAAAAGTGCTTATTAGTTCCATGTTTTAGAATAGTTAGGCAGCTTAAATTAAGAATGAAATGGAAGAATGTATATATTTACATAATCCTGGTTTTATCACGTTGTATTGAATTTAGATTTTATTGACATTCCTATTGGATCACATGCCATATTTACCTCCAAAGTTTATGTGTTTTATGTTTTTATTGACATGTTTAAGGCATATATCTTGAAAGTAGCCATCTAGGAAAGAGATAAATTCACAAACTTGATTTATTAAATGGAATTTTTATTGACATCTAAGTATGGAACCTACAACCTCCGATAATGACGGGTTGTTTGCTGTGAGGAATTGAATTGATCTTTCAAGAGTTGAAATGTGAAATGTTAAATGTTCGTGAACAGTACTAATGAAGTTAAAAGATGGTGCTTGTCAACTAGTCCATAAACTTATACCTGTTTTATTCAGATAAAGGAACCTCCATATCAAGTGGGAAACTCCTCATGTTTTTTGTTTATAGAATTCACTTTCATTTGCATGCATTGATTTTATTCCTGAAACGCACAGATGTACATAATTTCTGTATTTTGTAACTTTTATCCCATTATTTTTCATTCTATATAATAGTACATATATTCAAATTAGTCTCATACTCGGTGGTTTCATCTGTAGTGTTTTTACTGAGTTGTCTCCCTTGAGCGTAATGGCCGGTAATGTTCAATAGCATTTACATGACTTTCTCATTGTATACTACAAATGTATCATTCTTTTTGTCAGGGAGTTCTAGTAGAATTACAATTGACTTCTTTAGATATTCTACTCAAAAGAAGTTAAGGGCCACCTGTTTCGTTCATATTGCCATGGTGAACATGTCCCTAAACTCTGTTGAGTAATATTCTGTACCACTACAAATGTATGAATTAAAAATAGGAAAATTAATGTCTGGATTAATAAAATACAAATATATACACCTGCTACATGTTTTTGGTTGGTTTTGGTTTATGTCATCTTGAGAGTATTTTTAGAACTATTAGAATCAATTTGTCACATTAGATATTGCTATGAAGGAGATTGAATTTTTGACAAGTATCTGGTGCTTTTTGTTCAAATCGTTTTGAATCAATTTCTTTAATAAATACTTCTAAACAGGTGATAGCATTTTCAGAGGAGCATGGTTTATTTTGTATTCAACCAATATATATTTCTTGAATCGGGTACTTAAAGGTATTGGCATTCTAGAAGTTGGTGAGTAAATAAGAAAACGTACAACTAAAAGGATAACAACCTCTTGTTTATTGCATTTAGCAATGTTTCGATGTAGATTGTTTCACCGTTATCTGGCACTCCAGCTTGACAATGGTGGAATACATAGCGAAACATTGCTAAATGTTGTGAACCAGAAACTGTTATCTATTACGTCGTATGTTTTCCTATGCTTAAAGGTAAACTTGAAGTTCGGAGAAGCTATTTTTGCGTCTTGAATCTCAAATCTGGATCATGAAGCTGTTAGTTATTATTATTTCCCAATTTTGACCTCATTTATTTTGAGTTTTGTGAACCACGTTCCTGCTTCTGACATCACATGCCTTGTGTTTGTGGGGTTTTCAGGTCAAGTCTTGGTGATGATGTGCTCAACATTTTATAGAGGTATATGGAATGTATGATCCTTTAATTAAAAGTGCATATTTTTTATGCTAGTTTGTGTTAAATAAACTCTTCAAACAGCTGTCACATCTCTGTTTTCATCAGGTTTGCTGTTGAATTTTCCATACTTGTGGCTCGTTTTGGGAGTACTCTATGCGCTGAATTGCTGAATAAGTACTTTTCACTGTGAACTTGAAGTCTGTTACTATGTATAAAATTGCATTTCCAGGACAATCTCGTCCACCATTGCATCCCATTATCTCCAACAGGAAGTGTTGCTGTTAGGTGAGGTCACTCTTCTTTTTTAACTTTCTTAAAAGATCCACCAACTGTAAATTTTGTTGAAATGGGATATATTTTTTTCTTCTTAATTTGCTGTCTAGTTTATCCCACTGATAGCATATTGCACCAATAAATATTTTCTAAGCAAGGACCCATATAAGTTAACATATATTAAGCATAGGGTGAGTTAGTGAGTGAGTTGGGTTTAATGCCAATTTTAACATTCCAGTTATATTGCGGCATGTCAGCTTAAAGTGGGAGGAAAGCCCGAAGTGATGCAGGTCTTGGACGTTTACCACTTCGGTGAAACGCACAAGCACATGTATGGTGCTGACAAAGCCAGAAACAAGAAAACAGGTGAATCAGGATTCGAACCCACAATCATAGGTTTCTGGCGTGCCCAAGGGACACAACTCTGCACAGGGAATCGCGACACCTAAGACAAGCGGGCCACCTGTGACCCCAAATTAAGCATGGAAGTCAAGTCATTTTTGTTAGGGAACTGATAGTATGTATAGATCACAACAGTATTTCCGCTTGATAAAGATACAGCCGTGTTGTAGGCTCTCCTCCCACAGTAAACCATTTCTTTTACCACCTCACCTGAAGTGGAGGAGAAAACTAAAATAAAAATTTAACGATTTTTTTCTCTTTTTTTCAAACCTACAACGGGTATTGTCCAGTAAATATCCTTAGAGCAAGTTTAAGAAAAAGTGTGGCCTTTGAATTGATGCCCAGCAACCTATGCTGGTTGCCAGGGACGACTGAATAGATCAGGTGGTCAGGCTTGGTGACTTTGCTGATGTGTCATTGCCCCACAGAGGGCGGGATAGTTCCCTGGAATATCAGTCTATGGTCTGTCCGGTCTAGATTATTTGCAGGCTGCCATTGTACAGATGGAATATTGCGGAGCAATGCATTAAAGAACAAACACACTCACTCATTACCGTTCAGGTATTCAGGATGCCTCAGGTGAAGGGCACGGCACGAATTACTGAAGCAGAATATGGTTGCGTATTTTGACAATCCTGTACTGTAGAATTCATTATCAGTTGTGACTTCGATCTAAAAATAATCATGGCGATCTTAAGATCAAGTCATGGAGATGGGAAATACCATGACACCCAGTTGTCAGCGCTGTGCCAAGACCGCAGGTAGCAGACCGGGAGATGGATCTTGAAAAGTGAAACAATAGGTAGGGCTAGATAAAGCTTTGGAGACTATTACAGTGATGTCAGTGTGTGTCAGCTTCATGTGGAGGAAGCCCTATAGGAAGCAAGTGCTGGACGTTTACCACTTGGGTGAGACCAACAGTGGGGTGTTGTGCTGCCAATCCAGGAATATATCAGAGTTTTGTTTGTTTGTTGTTTAACGCCGCACTCAGCAATATTCAAGCTATATGACGGCGGTCCATAATCAAGTCTGGACCAGACAATCCAGTGATTAACATCATGAGCATCGATCTACACAATTGGGATACTGTTGGGTTCTCAGGGAGGAACGACAAACGCGGGAGTCGGGAGACGAGCCTGCCACTTGACCGTCTGTTTATTCAGACTGTCGCATGTTACATAACAGCACGTGATTGCGCTTACCTGCAACTAATCGCATTACAAGAGCGGACATCTTATATTATATTATACACTAGCTAGTTTAAAACTACTGCGTTTCAATTACAGATATTACATCCGCCCCTCCTAAATTTAAGTTACTTTGAAACCAAAATAAGGAACTTCATAAAGTATAAGTAACTTAACAATGTACACTGACTCTTGTAAAGTACTAATAACCCTGAGAACTTGACAAGTCAGTCATAATGAAAACATTGTTAAAGTAGAAAGTGAAATTCAACTAAACTGAGCTTTTTTTCGACACATAATAATACTGAAAACCTGCTGAAGTATTATAGTCCTGATACAAGTAACTGTAATTCACAGCTAAATCAAATGCCACCTTGACACATAGTTCACTGCAAATGACAATCACAGTTCACTCAAATGTCACTTTGACACAAAGTCCCTCAGATAAGACGGTTGCTGCTTCACTCTTGTTGAACGACGAAGTATGGGTGCTACAGGCGATGTCACTACTGGCGTTTCCTCCCCCGGTTCAGACATATCTGGTACACTTGAAACATCCCCTTGGACACTTTCCTCATGGGAATCTACCTGTGATGTGTCAGGTAAGTCTGATTCATACTCCTTCCTTCGTGAAGAAGGAGTGTCTGAACATTGAGTCACGTCCCATTGGGGTGAAGATAAAGACATCCTGCGTCTGACATGATCCACATGCCTTCTGACCAATCTTCCATCCGTTAACTTGATGATGTACGACAATGGACCAGTTACACTATCAACTTGTCCACTAATCCACTTTGGACCTGAAGCAAAGTTCTTAACCCACACCGAGTCATTCACTTGGAATGCCCTACATTTCGTTAGAGCTGACTGATCCACAAGTTTTCTCTGGTTCTTTTTCACCTTTGAGGCAAGGTTTGGAAACATCAAGTCCAATCGCGAACGCAATCTGCGTCCAAGAAACAACATTGAAGGTGATACACCAGTTGTAGACTGTGGTGTAATTCTATAAGAAAATAGTAACCTATGTAGTTGAGTTGCAACTGTGTCACCAGTTGTCTTCTTTAATCCATCTTTTATTATTTGAACCGCCCTTTCTGCTAAGCCATTCCCAGCCGGGTGATGAGGGGATGTTGTCACATGTTCAACTCCATTTCTGGACATAAATGTAGCAAATTCTTCCCCAACAAAAGCTGTAGCATTATCGGTTACAATAATTTCTGGTATGCCATAAGCTGCAAACATCCAACGCAGCTGGTTTATGGTAGCCTTTGCATTTGACGACGACATAGGTGCACATTCGATCCACTTGGAGTAGGCGTCAATCACTATAAGAAACATGTTACCCATGAATGGACCAGCATAATCCATATGCAGTCTTTGCCAAGGTTGAGAAGGATACTCCCAAGGGTGTAGGGGAGCTACACTCGGACAATTCCTGTCTTCCTGGCAGGAATCACAACTGTTTACTGTTGTTTCTATGTCAGCATCTAGATGCGGCCACCAAACATAGCTTCGGGCCAAGCCCTTCATCCTGGTGATTCCTGGGTGGGACTGATGCAACTCTGACAATATGACAGATCTGAGTTTCAATGGAATGATGACCCTCGAACCTCTCAATAAGCATCCACCCATCACACTGAGTTCAGAACGAACTCTGTAGTACGGCTCATAGTGGTCATCCAACTTGTCACGCTGCGGCCAACCTCGGATCACAAATTCTCGAACAATAGACAATGTTCGGTCCTTGCCAGTCTGGATACTTATGTCTGTCGACTTCAGAGGGCATGTGTCCAATTCCTGAAGCATTAAGACTGTCATGTCTTCCATAGGCTTCCCTGAGGCGGTGGCAACCTGCTCAATGCGTCTGCATTGGTATGCTGTGTACCTTTCCTGTGTACAATTTTATAGTCATATGCAGTCAACAACACTGACCATCTCTGAACTCTTGGAGACACCATCTGTGGCACTGGATTATTCTCATTGAATAATGACACCAACGGCTTGTGATCTGTCACGATCTTGAAATGACGTCCATAAACATACTTATGAAACTTTCGCAGTCCAAAGATCACACTCAGTCCTTCACGATCAAGTTGAGAATAATTCTGCTCCGCCTTAGTCAGTGTCCTTGAAGCAAAACTTATAGGTCTCTCCAAACCATCAGGCAGTTGGTGAGCCAACACAACACCTACTCCGTAGGGGGATGCATCACACTGCAGTAAAAGTGGTTTGGAGCTGTCAAAATGAATCAAGACATCCGAAGACTGAAGCAAGTTCTTCGACTTCTCAAACGCTTGTTGTTGAGATGTACTCCATGACCATTTCACTTCATTTTATAGCAACTTGTACAAGGGGGAGAGAGTGTCAGGCAGATTTGGTAGAACTCTATGGTAGTAGTTCAGAATACCAAGATAAGCTCTCAATTCTTTCACATTTTCAGGGACCTTAGCTTCCTGAATTGCAGCAATCTTTTTATCCACTGGATGCAAACCTTCACTGTCAAGTCTATATCCAAGATATTCAACTTCATCAGCCATAAAGACACACTTGTTTCTTCTCAAACGTAATCCTGCTTCTGACAATCGATGAAGTACTTCATCCAGAATACGAAGATGCTCACGGTCGTCAATTCCAGAGTTTATGATATCGTCGAGATAACCCGCTGAGTAATCGAGTCCCTGTAGAATACTTTCAATCATCCGTTGAAAGATAGCGGGTGCCGAAGATACTCCAAATGGCAATCTTGTGTACCTAAAGAGTCCTTTGTGGGTGTTAATCACGATAAATTTTTGCGATTCTTCATCCAAGACTAACTGTTGATACGCATGACTCATGTCAAGTTTGGTGAACTTTACACCCCCAGATAGCTTCGTGCACAAATCTTCCAACGTCGGTATTGGATATTGCTCCAATTTTGAAAACTGATTCACTGTCAGTTTAAAATCTCCACAAATCCTGACAGAAGAATCAGGTTTAATGACTGGCACAATGGGACACGCCCACTCAGAATGCTTGACTGGCTCAATAATGCCTTCACTCAGCAAGCGATCAAGTTCAACTTCTATCTTCTGACGTAATGCATACGGCACAGATCTAGGTTTGAAAAACTTCGGAGTTGCATCTTTATCCACGTAGATGTGAGCTTGGAATCCCTTAAGTGTTCCAAGACCTTCCTCAAAAACAGCTGAGTGTCGTTCAAGAACATAATTAAGTGTCAAATCTGTAGATTTCATAAGGTTCACCGAAACATCCCTCAGGTCAAAGTTCAAAGGCTGTACCCATGTACGAGCTAGAAGATTGGAACCGTTACCCTTGGCTATGGAAATCGGTAAGGAGTAAGATCTCTCCTCGTAAGATACTTCCACAGTAGTATAACCGTTCAAATCTACTTCCTGTCCTGTATAACTTCGCAGGGGTACTTGTGACGTGTACAATGTCGATGACTGAAGGCCAATTCTTTGAGCCGTCTGCTCATTCACAATGGTCACTGGGCAACCCGTGTCAACCTCAAACGTCACTGGTGTGCCATTAACATCCACTGTAATGTAGTAGGGGTTTGGGTAGTTTGGATCACCTTTAGCTGAAGGCTGAGTACTAACATGAAATAGTGAGTTCTCAAACAAGTCTTCCACACTAGCACTGCTGTTACCTGGGCCACACGAGTTCACCTCACTCACTACAGCATTCACTTTCCCTCTTCTCTTAAATTTAGCCTTAGAATTCTGTTTCTGCGGAATTGATTCTTCTGACCTGCAGACTCTCACAATATGGCCACGTTTTCCACACTTATGACACTTCTCATTCTTATAAAAACACGTGTGGAGCATGAGTAGTTTTTCCACATCTAAAACAAGGTTTGTTATTTCCAGATCCAACATGAGGCCTCTGGTCTTTTGTAGATTGCGCTGATGGTTTACTGCGAAACTTGTGTACTGAATGTCCCACAGTTTTATCACCCTGAAGATCCTGTAGATTCTTGTCTGCCGCCTCAATTGCGTTAGCAATTTTCAATGCACTACTAAATGTTAGAGCAGTCTCTGACAACAACTTTTTCTGAATATTGTCATCACAAATACCACACACTAACCTGTCTCTCAACATGGCCTGTAAAGACGTTCCAAAATCACACCCGTCAGTCAACTTTCTCAATTCGGCAACATAAGCAGCTACACTTTCACCAGCCTTCCTATTCCGTGAATGAAATTTAAATCTCTGTACAATTTCCGATGGTTTAGGCGTGAAATGTTCTTTCAATAAAACCACCAGCTGGTCAAACGTTTTCTCGCTAGGTTTCACGGGCTGAACCAATGCTCTTATCAACTGGTAAGTTTCAGTTCCACATGACGCTAACAGTATGCTTTTCTGTTTGTCTTCGTCTGTAATTCCATTTGCCACGAAAACATGTGTCAGTATCTCACACCATTCCTCCCATGTCGACTTCTTTGGATTAAATTCAAACAATCCACAAACAAAACCGTGGTAGCCATAATCTCTGAGCTGAAGATAGTGACGGTTATAATGCCTCAAGAAGAGCGAAACAAAAGTCAATGTTCATCTATACCGCTTCTCCTACTTCACACTGACGGGTGAAACAAAGTTCAGCAGACCACATGCTCTTGGCTAACACACTCGTCGCAACGAACACACCTCGTCAATGTACCGTCAAACAGCCAGATAAACGTACTAATATTCCTTTACATATTCTTCATAGCTACCTGGGATCCCATCCTCGTCGCCAAAATGTTGGGTTCTCAGGGAGGAACGACAAACGCGGGAGCAGGGAGACGAGCCTGCCACTTGACTGTCTGTTTATTATCCCCCGCCGCGCGAAAGCGCGAAGCGGGGGATATAGTATTCACGACCGTCCGTACGTACGTCCGTACGTCCGTCCGTACATCCCACCTGTTTGTTGCTGCGATATCTCAAGAACTAAACACTGGATTGTCTTCATATTTGGAACTATGGTGTATATACAGACTCCGCAGACACCAGTCAGTTTTGGTGACCTTGATCCCATTTTCAAGGTCACAGCAGGCAAATCTGCTTTTGGAGTTGGAAAACGGTGTTGCCGCGATATCTCAAGAACTAAACACTGGATTGTCTTCATATTTGAAACTATGGTGTATATACAGACACCGCAGACACCAGTCGGTTTTGGTGACCTTGACCCCATTGTCAAGGTCACAGCAGGCAAATCTGCTTTTGGAGTTGGAAAACGGTGTTGCCGCGATATCTCAAGAACTAAACACTGGATTGTCTTCATATTTGGAACTATGGTGTATATACAGACACCACAGACACCAGTCGGTTTTGGTGACCTTGATCCCATTTTCAAGGTCACAGCAGGCAAATCTGCTTTTGGAGTTGGAAAACGGTGTGCCGCGATATCTCAAGAACTAATCGCTGGATTGTCTTCATATTTGAAACTATGGTGTATATACAGACACCGCAGACACCAGTCGGTTTTGGTGACCTTGACCCCATTGTCAAGGTCACAGCAGGCAAATCTGCTTTTGGAGTTGGAAAACGGTGTTGCCGCGATATCTCAAGAACTAAACACTGGATTGTCTTCATATTTGGAACTATGGTGTATATACAGACACCGCAGACACCAGTCGGTTTTGGTGACCTTGACCCCATTGTCAAGGTCACAGCAGGCAAATCTGCTTTTGGAGTTAGAAAACGGTGTTGCCACGATATCTCAAAAACTAATTGCTGGATTGTCTTCATATTTGGAACTATAGTGTATATACAGACACCGCATACACCAGTCGGTTTTGGTGACCTTGACCCCATTTTCAAGGTCACAGCAGGCAAATCTGTTTTTGGAGTTGGAAAACGGTGTTGCCACAATATCTCAAGAACTAATCGCTGGATTGTCTTCATATTTGGTACTATGGTGTACAGGCGGGGGATATTTCGTCACTCTGTGTTCAAGGTCACAGCAGACAAATCTGCTTTTAGAGTTGGAAAACGGTGTTGCCGCGATATCTCAAGAACTAAACACTGGATTGTCTTCATATTTGGAACTATGGTGTATATACAGACTCCGCAGACACCAGTCGGTTTTGGTGACCTTGATCCCATTTTCAAGGTCACAGCAGGCAAATCTGCTTTTGGAGTTGGAAAACGGTGTTGCCGCGATATCTCAAGAACTAAACACTGGATTGTCTTCATATTTGGAACTATGGTGTATATACAGACACCGCAGACACCAGTCGGTTTTGGTGACCTTGACCCCATTGTCAAGGTCACAGCAGGCAAATCTGCTTTTGGAGTTAGAAAACGGTGTTGCCACGATATCTCAAAAACTAATTGCTGGATTGTCTTCATATTTGGAACTATAGTGTATATACAGACACCGCATACACCAGTCGGTTTTGGTGACCTTGACCCCATTTTCAAGGTCACAGCAGGCAAATCTGTTTTTGGAGTTGGAAAACGGTGTTGCCACAATATCTCAAGAACTAATCGCTGGATTGTCTTCATATTTGGTACTATGGTGTACAGGCGGGGGATATTTCGTCACTCTGTGTTCAAGGTCACAGCAGACAAATCTGCTTTTAGAGTTGGAAAACGGTGTTGCCGCGATATCTCAAGAACTAAACACTGGATTGTCTTCATATTTGGAACTATGGTGTATATACAGACTCCGCAGACACCAGTCGGTTTTGGTGACCTTGATCCCATTTTCAAGGTCACAGCAGGCAAATCTGCTTTTGGAGTTGGAAAACGGTGTTGCCGCGATATCTCAAGAACTAAACACTGGATTGTCTTCATATTTGGAACTATGGTGTATATACAGACACCGCAGACACCAGTCGGTTTTGGTGACCTTGACCCTATTGTCAAGGTCACAGCAGGCAAATCTGCTTTTGGAGTTAGAAAACGGTGTTGCCACGATATCTCAAGAACTAATTGCTGGATTGTCTTCATATTTGGAACTATAGTGTATATACAGACACCGCATACACCTGTCAGATTTGGTGACCTTGACCCCATTTTCAAGGTCAAAGCAGGCAAATCTGCTTTTAGAGTTGGAAAACGGTGTTGCCACAATATCTCAAGAACTAATCGCTGGATTGTCTTCATATTTGGTACTATGGTGTACAGGCGGGGGATATTTCGTCACTCTGTGTTCAAGGTCACAGCAGACAAATCTGCTTTTGGAGTTGGAAAACGGTGTTGCCACAATATCTCAACTATACTATGGTGTACAGGCGGGGGATATTTCGTCACTCTGTGACAAATACTTGTTCAGACTGTCGCATGTTACAGAACAGCACGTGATTGCGCTTACCTGCAACTAATCGCATTACAAGAGCGGACATCTGTTGGCCTGTCATAATATTATACACTAGCTAGTTTAAAACTACTGCGTTTCAATTACAGATATTACAGATACGATGACATGCATCAACAAAGTCAACGAGCCTGACCACCCGATCCCATTAGTCGCCTCTTACGACAAGCATAGTTGCTTTTATGGCAAACATAGGTTGCTGAAGACCTACCCCGGATCTTCAAGGGTCAATTTGAGAGTAGTAGACTTGAGTCTTAAGTAGAATGAGTCGCACACTGTCTACAGATGGACTACTGATAGAGGAAGGAACAACAGTTAACAAAATATTTGTATTTGGTTGAACATACATTTTACAAGTGCAAAACGCAAGGATTTCATTCTGTATTGATTGCACATGGTCATGGTGAATCAAATTATATATATCTGTTTCTGCTTAACATACACCAGATTCACTACTACACCAGTTGATGCATCGAATCACTCTGGGGAAATATACTGGCCTATGATTGGCTGACTGAATGTCAAGGTCACTTTATTTGAATTGCTCACAGAAGTCCCCTGACCCATCTTCCTTCCCCCAGCTTGTTCCTGGTGTGAATCTCTCAGTGGAGGTCAAAGAGTGATCAAAACCTTCCTGGCCAGATTCAAAGTCCTCTTACTTCCATCAATCAGTTTCAACAATATTCATTAAGTTTTAATGCATGGATCTCTTGCTAATTTCTATGACCAAAATGAGTAAACTTATTGAGTTTATTTCGCAACAGTTCAATGGAGAAAGCTGAAAGTATAATGTAGGGTATCTATGTTGACAATTTCAGTGAAGCCCGGACAAGACCAAGGACCTCAGTCTGGTTTATTCCAAACCCCCAGCAAGCTAACCCAAGAAATGAAAGCCTCTTGAAATATTTTCCAGCATTTGATTGGCCGACCTTTATGGTAAGGTCACAGAAAATCTTTATAACACCTACATTTTCCCTGTGTTTTATCTGATCGATTTAACACAGGACACATCTGTCTCTTCCATATTGCAAAACACAATATTTCCAGGTTTCTATGACAACCAGAATAACGTCCCAGAGCCCACTTCCTGTGTTTGGTGAACATCTTCACGAAGACTTGAGGTGTTACAGGAGACCAAGTTTCCGCAAGCCCTCGAGTCCAGCCAGTGTGTCGCCTGTAAACACCGGAAGTAAGGTAACTGGAGTATACAGTTACAGATGTACACCAATCTGAATCCATCCCCTGAGTTGTAAAACAAAGTGACAATCAAATAAGGACTTACAATCCACTAATAGAGACGATCAGACCTTTTCTTTCACTTCCTAAGACCACCTGGGCCATCGTACAGTGAAAATTAATGTAAATAACTTCAGCTATCACTAATTAGAAGTATCACTACTTACTGGCGGAAAAATAATTTGCTGATACATTTGATCTATAGAAACCGAAATCATTATGAAACTAACAAGGAAATATTACAGATACATTTTTTTTTGTAAACATATTCAATTCCAACCCAGTAACTCATCAAACATGAAAACAATAAACACAACTACAAACATCTTGTGCTCCAAGTGCATATAATGGAGATCTGTCAATGCAAAGACGTATATACACATAGTAGACAATTAGAACGGTCGTGTTTTTATTACATACATGATAAAATCGGCAATACATCAGCGGAACATGAAATGCACATGACGTTCTCGTGGAGTAAAATTCTGACACGCGCTATTTTCCAGGTGTTTGGGTAACTAAAGAAGTCGATAAACTAGGCATTGCGCAAGCGCCAGATGGCCAAACATCGACCACTCTCTCCTCAAGGCAGGGCGTCTTTCACATGTGTTGTCGATTGACTCGGCCTGCTTGTGCAGCCCACATCACCAAAGGCTACCGCTGCAGGCTTCCCATCCTATCTATATACGTCTTTGGTCTGCACTACCTCATCACATCATTAACAAGAGCTGCCAGAAGGGGTGACTAACGGAATCGGGTGGTCAGGTTCGCTGACTTGCTTGATGCATGTCATTGTATCCCAATTGTGTGGGTCGATGCTCATGATGTCAATCACTGGATTGTCTGGTCCACATGGTCCAGACTCGATTATTTATTAACGGACTGCGTCATTTAGATGGAATATTGCTGAGTGCGGTGTTAAACAAAAAACAAACAAATTTTAACTGCCCAGGGTACCCTAGATGAGGTCTACAGATACCTGAAGACCGATCTCACTGTTCCCAGCAATCCAATGATTTGGACATAGACAAGCAGTGACGGATCAACTTAAAAGCTGCTGCTGACACAAGCTAATCGGTGGTATACATCTCACAGTGTACAGTATCTACCTTTAGGATTGTACTCTAAGCCGATGTAGCCCTGGTATCCGAGACTCTCCAGGACTTGGAACACATATGGGTAGTTGATCTCGCCCGGACTGTCCGGCTCATGGCGGTCCGGCACCTGGGAGATCTGTATGTGACCTGGAAACCATGTCAGTTGTCATGGTAACATGGATTGATCAGAGTTGTGTTTGATGCCGCCTTCAACAGTATTTCGTATATTGGCGTGTCAGTTGTCATGGTAACATGGATTGATCAGAGTTGTGTTTGATGCCGCTTTCAACAGTATTTCGTATATTGGCATGTCAGTTCAATGTGGAAGGAAACCAAAGAGATGGCCTTGAACGTTGAACTCACTGGTGAACCTGATGAGCACAGGTATGGTGCAGACAGAATCAGGGAGTCGAACCCATGACATGCACATGCAATCTTCCCCAGGCAAGAGACTTAACTGGCTGTAAAAGTCCTGTTTCCACCCTTGCCGAACGAGGCTGGAATTTCTGGGCTCGATCTTTGTGGCTTAAACGAGTTATGGCCCTTCTTTGTCCCTCCTATTGACCAATCAGATTCCACCTCTCATATCACTTGCACTTGCTTCAAACAAAACAGCGGCACTGAGTGAAGACGATCTGATCGATCAAGATCTATTTTGTAATAAAACAGGTCTTACTTCATGTCGTGCATCAAATTATGATCACCGTGATTAAAAACATGAAAAGATTGGGAAAATATCTGTTGACACGGTACACATGCTTTGCAGATCCTGCAATCTACCGAAATCTACATGCAGTTTACAAAGCGGATGTCGATTTTGTTACGCGATTTTGATTGGACTTTGCACAGACTCGTTAGTCTAGCCAAAATATAACTCCATGTACTGATGCTACAGGTAAACAAGATTACTGACTCACTCAGACTCAGTTTCTGTGATGGAGCTGGAATATTGTGGGATGGAAACTAACAAAAGAACATCTACTAGCCCGAAGAGTGATAACATTTAGCCGAAAATGTTTGAAATTATACTAGCCTTTATGATACCTCTAACATGAACAGAACTGGTCCGGGCTAATTTCCATCCCTTTTAAACAACATTCACATTCAAGTTAAGCCAGTGTGATCCTCACACAGATCACCAGTTCTTCTCTATAACCAGATGATCCTCACACAGATCACCAGTCCTCCATAGGTAGACCCACTTACCGATGTATGGGAACATTTCCTGCAGGTTCTTCGTCAGGTTTCCGTCCATGATCTGTACATGAAACACGTCCTGGACAGAAAGTGAAAAAACATAACGATCCTGCTTTTCCCAAACAACTAAATGCCATGCAAGACAGAAGACAGGACAATATGTGATCAAGAATTGGGAAGAGACCTTGGAATACTGATTGCTGAACAAATGACAAAATTAACACCTGTTTGAACATGCTACCTGCTTGTTACTCTGTGCCAAATTACTTTTTGTTCAGACTTGTTATGCCTGTACACTGATGCAGAGTGAAAGTGGGGTAGCCTAGTGGTTAAAGCGTTCACTCATCTCGCCGAAGACCTAGGTTTGACTCCCCACATGGGTACAATGTGTGAAGCCCATTTCTGGTGTCCCCCACCGTGATATTGCTGGAATATCGCTAAAAGCGGCGTAAAACCATACTCAATCAATTAATGCAGCATGAAAGCATTGAAACATAAGGAGAAGTTAATTCCTGACCACCATTGATACATACTATTCAAAAGAAGTTAAGAACACCCAACTCTTTTATATTACTTTAGTTATGTGAAAGAGACGGTTGTTCCTTAACTTGTTTTGAGTTGTATATATATTGAATTATCCATACTATGAGTTGTACTATGCTGGCCACATGACTTTAAAGTAGTACTCCCAGGACCACCTTCCCGAGGCAAGAGAGTTAACTAACTTTAAAAGTCCAGTTTCCACCCTTGCAGAACAAGGCAAGAATTCCTGGGCTCGATCGTAGCGCCACCAGTGGCTATTACGAGTTATGTCCCTTCTATGCCTCTCCTATGGACAAATCAGATTCCACCTCTCGTATCACTTGCATTTGCTTCAAACAAAATGGCTGCGTCCAGTCAAGATGATCTGATCGATAATCAAGATCTATATTGTGATAAAACGAGTATTACATCGCAAAGTGCATCAAATCACATGAGCACCTTGATTAAAAACATGAAAAGATTTGGAAAATATCTGTTAAAACGAGTTGGTGGTACAAATGGTTTGCAAATCCTGCAATCGATCAGAAGCTACATGACAGTTTACGAACCGGATTTCGATTTCGTTGCTCGATTTTGATTGGACTATGCATAGACTCGTCAGTAACTCCACAATACAGCCTAGTTCAGCAAGGGTGGAAACTGGACTTTTATAGTCAGTTAGTTCACTTGCCTCGGGAAGATGTTCCAGGACGCACTTAGATACTTACAAACTGAAGTTTTAAGTTGGGGTGGTTTAGTCGCTTCACGTATTCCAGCCCTAGGGAGCGAAGATCAGGTTTACAGCATTTCATTCAGGTTCTCAACATATCATGCAGTCTAACAATATTGACACAAAACTGTTTAATGTGCAACTTGTAAACTCTATTCAAATTATTATTATTTTTTATCATCATCATCATCACTATTACTTTTATTATTGTTGTTGTTACTACTTTTATTATTGTTGTTATTATTATTATTCAGCAACTATTTTTTACCACTGACTTCTAAACCTAACTGCCAAAATATCCCACTACTTTTGCAGCTGATGTTGCAGATATGTCCTGGTGTCAACAAGAGAGTTGTGTCAACAAGAGAGTTGTGTCAACAAGAGAGTTTTGTCAACAAGAGGGTTGTGTCAACACACCTTTGTGAGGGTCGTACAGGAAGTAGTCGGGGACCGAGATTCTGTTGTTGACCGGCTCTATCACAGCCAGGATTCCTTCCTGGAAACACAAGACAACTGAGCATAGACGAGTTGAGTGGCTAGACTTGGGCGTACGATGAGGTGATGATACGAACAGTGCACTGTCTTTACCTGGTTGTACATTCAACAACATACACTGTAAACAAGCAGCACAGACAGTGACACATGCAGCACATACAGTGACACATGCAGCACATACAGTGACACATGCAGCACATACAGTGACACATGCAGCACATACAGTGACACATGCAGCACATACAGTGACACATGCAGCACATACAGTGACACATGCAGCACAGACAGTGACACATGCAGCACATACAGTGACACATCCAGCACATACAGTGACACATGCAGCACATACAGTGACACATGCAGCACATACAGTGACACATGCAGCACATACATTGACACATGCAGCACATACAGTGACACATGCAGCACATACAGTGACACATGCAGCACATACAGTGACACATGCAGCATCTGGTATCAACTATGGGTGTTCAGCTTTACAGCTTAGTGCTGACTACGACACCTACCTTCTGTAACCTGTCCGCTGCATATTGGAGATTGTCTAGGAATGTCTCCTCCATGACCTTATCATCAACTTGACCTCTCTTGCCAGCCATCAAGTGCATTCTGTAAAAACACACAAACCATGCCATCTTGTTATCAGATCTCAAATTATTATTCTTAATGTTCAAATATCTCTGACAAAACTCTTAAATTCAAGATGGCACTCCCCGGGTGCGTCTTCTTTCATGGCCCTCCTCGAGGATACAATACTGCCAAAGTTCTTTATACTGAAAATAATATCAATGTAGGGCTGGGATGAGTCTAAATTTACTACCCTTTTTCCAGTAAAAACTGGTAGTTAACTAATTGAAGATCACAATCCAATATTTCAACAGATGAAAGTGTGATCTGACGTATCAGAACAGTACAGATAGATGAGGCTCTACAATAACTTCACTGGAGCAACTGAAATCTAGTATTAGAATGTCCATAAAGTCTTCTTGTACGTACAATACTCAAAAGTCAACTATATATATATATATACCTTTTACACTCCAAAGCATTTGCATATTGTATTGATAATTCCAGTTTCTCTCTGAATTCTTCTTTTCTGCTTGGAAGTGCAGCTATTCCAAGGTCACCCTTTGCTAAGTCACCTGCAGGAGAAAACATTCACATACAGAATAAATGTCAAGTCATTGGAAAAGTCCCTGACAGTTCGTTTAGAGTTTTGCCAATGGCTGTGAGAATTAAGCTCATTAGTTGTATTTTTTAACTTGTCTTAAATACTCTCTTTTAAAAACCATCTCAACTGTTCATTACTCTCAAATCTTCCATTTACGTTAGTTTCAATAAGAATATGAAACTTTTGGTTTGCCAATTTTTAAAATATAAGCAATATTAACTAATATCAATGTAACATTTATATATGATTATTCATATATATTTTCATTCATTAATAAGCACTTCATAAATTTGAAAGACAAATCTGTTCCAAATCCCAGTTGAGAATGTTGACATATTAATTGTCACAAATGGATCTACCTGGGTAGGCATTGATAAGCACTTGCTCTAGCCCCGCCCCTTTTCTAGCAGCCGCCATCTGATCTGCTGGGACGTCATACGGGAACGTGCACTCCACAAACTTGAAACCTGCATCTTTTGCAACCTGATACCTGTCAGCTAAATTTGGCGTTTCCTTAAACATGAGGGAAACATTGGCTGCGATTTTCAGCGGCATACTGCTTGTCGTACGGTGCAATGTTCTTACTGCAGCCACGGCAAAGCCAAACGTAATCTTAGCAGGCAGCATGTGTTTCTGGGTCAAAGGTTGTATTCATATAGGTCAAGGACGCTTAACTTCTCGCGAGATTCGTTTGTTGTCATGGTAACGTGTGTGACGTACTTAAACAAGATGGCGGAAACATAGCAGGTGCGTGTTTGTAAACAAGTTAAAAACAGTACATTGCATGACAGTTTGACTGTCACACCTCGTTTACAAAAGGTTTAATGAATATTAAAATCTAAGACATGAATAACGACGTGAATCTTGGACTGTCAAATCTTCGTCGATAAATTAGATAACAGATCGAACTAGTTCTATGGTCTAGACAGTCGTAAATAATGTGTTGCTGGTTTCTAACAAGCCAAGAATTCGGAAATGGTAATGACGTTATATCTATTATGGACACAATTCAATTGACGCATAATATAGTGTATGTATTGTGAAAGTTATATCTACTCCAAATCAATATAATCTTTAGACGTGAAAATATCATTTGTAAACAATAAATTTTACTTTCAAAATCCTTCTTAGATTAATTACATTCTTTTAATTTCTGTTCCAGACTATTATTATTTTTAAGAGCTGTAACAACTTTACGCAAAGATGATGCGCCGTGAAACTACTAATCTGTGGCGACAGAAGGCATCCAAGCCTCTGCTGTCACAAGGCCGAGTGAAGACCGGGAAGTACTACCTGCGTACACAACCAGGTCCTTCACCACTGGATACAGAGGATGGACCAATCTTCATGATGAAGAGAAAACGAAAAACATCCCTCATCTGGTTTGATGTGTTCATTGTCATTCTGGAGATGTTACAGATCTTGGCTCTGATCCAGGCGATGTCACTTCGGTGGGTGTGGCCCAAGACATGGATTAACTACGCCTATTTTCTATTTATCTTCAACCTTGACATCTGGGAGCTGGTTAAGGTTTCAAGTGGAGCATTCTATGGAGTGCAGGACTATTTCACACCAAGTTCCTTCCTACCATTCAGCTATAACTACATTGTTTTGGGATGGGTCCTTCTCTTGTTGTGTTTGATTGGAGGATTTGTAGGAACTTATGCCATCCTTCGATACAGGAAGCGACCATACCTGTTGGTCCATGTTGCCAGGATGGAGAGAGCTGGAATCATCATCGCACAGGTCATAGCCATTCCAATTGGAATAGCCATTGCCAAGCTATTTCAGTGCACAAGCATATTTTCCAGGGTTGACCCTTTGAATGACCTTACCTGCTTCACTGATTTACACTGGGCATATGTAACACTGGCGATATTTGTCATCATTGGGTTCTACTTCCTAGTTCCTGCTTGGATGATCTATAGAACCCGGCAGGAAATCCTGGCAGCGACACCTCAACACCATGAGTCCTACCTCCAGCTCAAAGAAATGGAGTACATGTCTGGCCTTGATGTCCTCTGGATTGTAAAGGGGTTTCACATATTTTCATCCTTTAGACTGAGATCAGCTTACTTCAGACCTTTCCTACACTTCTTTAAGTTTGCCTTGCTGTGCATATATGCGGCTGCAGTCCAGGACATATTTGCTCAGGCTTTAGCCACAACTGGAACCCTGTTAATTCTGTTGCTCGCTGTCGCCATCATCAGGCCGTTCCGAATTACCAGCTTCAATGTGTTCCTGATATTTGGTTACCTGTGCCTGTTGGGAGATTGCATCATGGGAAGCTGCGTGGCTAGTGTGCCCCCGTCTGAAGTCCTGTCTCCCTGGCTGGTGCAGCCGTACTCCACATGGATCCTGGTGGGGGTCAATGGCGCCTTGTTCCTGGGTATGCTTGTGTTCCTGGTGCACCTGCTGGTGTATAACTTCTACTGGCACCGGCAGAAGGGACACTCACCACTCTGGCCAGACATGGCCAACCATGGAGCGGAGAGAGTCAGCATGGAGACCAAGAAGTACATGGTGTCTGTGCTCAAGGCTAGAGCTATACTTGGTGAGTTAATACATAGAATGTTTACAGAAGATAAGTTCTTGGCGAGTTAATATTTAGACTGAACAATGTTTACAGTAGCTATGTTCCAATGTATGATTATTGCCCATTATGACTGGTTCCCTTTTCTGCTGCAATGATCAGTTTGGAGAAAATGCTATTTTCTATCAAACTTTTATTCAAGATGTTGGACCCTTCCTTTGATCTGTATATGATTACACAGAAAAATATTCATTATGAATACACAGACAATCAAGTATTTTAATTATTGAAAATGATTCTAAGATCATGGCAAAAGAAATACAGAAATCTATTATTATTATTATGACTGGTTGGAACAAACCTATTATGAACAATGACTGATGATAAAATCCCACTTGATGCCCAAAAATGGTTTACAAAACTGATATTGTTTAGATCATCCAGTATTTACTATTGTCCACCCATGACTTACTTCTTTGTGTGCATCTGTTACGTGATGAAACAATGCATGGTCATTACTATGTTTGTTTTGTTTCAAATACCACAAATTTCACAAATGAAATTCTCAGAGCAAAACACCCTTGGGGTATTGTCAACATACAAACTGGTTTGAGGTAGCAGCAGAAAGATAATTTCTCTCTATCATTATTTGAATACTATCTCTGCCATTGCAAAATATTTCTGACGGACTTTGTTTGATTGCGTTGCTGTAGAGAAGTGCCGCAGCACCACCCCCATGTTTGCCCCGGTTCATGAGCTGTCCCAGCATATCCAGGTGATCAATGCCTACTTCCGGGAGGCGGAGAAACTGGGAGACGGTCTCCATGACACTCTGTGGGATCTCCTGGATGAGATGATTCAGCTACACGAGAAGCTTGAGCCGAAGTCACTTTTCGGAGGTGAGGTTTATGCAGATATATGCTGTTAATAATAATAATACAGTAATAACAATAATAAGTTGTCTGACTCCCAATGATCTCGGTGCCTTAGGTTTGGTACCTCCCAGTCTGTTGACTGACTGTGGGAGAGTACCTGGGTTTGCTACCAGGAATACAGCCCTTCTGACAATCTGGGTAATGCAGAAGGCTGCAGTGTTGGGGAGTATTTACATTCTCTGAAAAGTTCTGGGTGGGTTTGACTAGGCAGCGCTACCTGGGAGAAGTCCCATTCGCTGTCTAGGCTGCGTGTAGAGGGGGCAAGGGCCCTGAGCTGATGATGAGCCTAATCAGCCTGACTGTGCCAGGATCAACCAAACCCTCTTTGGTGCATTTTTTATTTTAATCTGTACATAATCATAATAAGGCTATTTCAATAGTGCAACATTTTACCTCACTTAGGGACATGCTCAATGTGCAAACACAGCATATGTACATATATATATACAACAGAGAGGGGGCAGTAAGATAAGAAAAATATATACATTCAGTTGCAGTGTTCAAAAAGGTACATTTTGAGTCCAGACTGAAACACAGTGATCACAATGAGGCAAAGAATGTTGAATAATGATGCGTCAGAAAGCTCTGTCATAGCTTCCAGGGTCACCTCTTCTAAGCTTTGTGTGTTGAATTCATGGGTGATCTCTTGTGTGTGCTGTCCATCAGTTGCTTGTCGTAAGAGGCGACTAGCAGGATCAAGTGGTCAGGCTCGCTGACTTGGTTGATGCATGAAATTGTATCACAATTGCGTGGATCGATGCTCACAATATCAATCACTGGATTGTCCAGTCCAGACTCAATTATTTACAGGAATATTGCTGAGTGCGGTATAAAACAACAGACAAACAAACAAATTTATTGATATAGTGACATTTCCTCTCCCAGAAAATACTTTTCTGAGAGAAGAAATCACACATATCTTGTGCCAATAAGATCTCTGTGTCATTGATGTTAATAGAACTGTGGTTTTTATACTTGTAGAAATAAATAACAGTTTATCCCACAACAGTCTCTATTTGTATATAGATAGCGTGAAGGACTCAATCCGTGAGACAGCAGAGGAGTTGATGAAGCTGATGCCGATGTTCACACGTCGACTTGCTCAGAGAGACTACGACTTGATCCTCGTCTCTCCGCTCAAACGTAGGATGTTGCTGAAGATGACCGTCATGGGTAGGTTCATCAGGCGGTGCTTCATTCTTGAAGCATTCATGGTCGGGTAGCCTAGTGGTTAAAGTCGGGTTCGATTCCCGACATGGGTACAATGTGTGAAGTATATGTCTGGTGTCCCCTGCCGTGATGTTGCTGGAATATTGCTAAAAGTGGCGTAAAACCATACTCACTCACTCACTCACTGAATCCAAGGGGAAAAGAAATTAATTCAAAACATTAACATCGTCGCATGCCTCTGTTCAATACACTATCAATGCTTTATGCCCAATGGATGTGTTCATTAATTGTTTGTTTTTCATCATAAACAGGCTTTTTACTAAATGGACGATCAAGTGGTGTTGCTAAGAAACAGATAACTGGACCAGAGATGACGAGAATCTGGCCTGAGTCAGAGACCAACCCTCGAGTTGAAGGTCAGTTTTGGTGAAGCAATGGAACACTGTTACTTACAACATGCTACAATGTATGTACAGGTGGAACACTGTTACTTACAACATGCTACAATGTACATACAGGTGGAACACTGTTACTTACAACATGCTACAATGTATGTACAGGTGGAACACTGTTACTAACAACATGCTACAATGTACATACAGGTGGAACACTGTTACTTACAACATGCTACAATGTACATACAGGTGGAACACTGTTACTTACAACATGCTACAATGTATGTAAAGGTGGAACACTGTTACTTACAACATGCTACAATGTACATACAGGTGGAACACTGTTACTTACAACATGCTACAATGTACATACAGGTGGAACACTGTTACTTACAACATGCTACAATGTATGTACAGGTGGAACACTGTTACTTACAACATGCTACAATGTACATACAGGTGGAACACTGTTACTTACAACATGCTACAATGTATGTACAGGTGGAACACTGTTACTTACAACATGCTACAATGTATGTACAGGTGGAACACTGTTACTTACAACATGCTACAATGTATGTACAGGTGGAACACTGTTACTTACAACATGCTACAATGTATGTACAGGTGGAACACTGTTACTTACAACATGCTACAATGTATGTACAGGTGGAACACTGTTACTTACAACATGCTACAATGTATGTACAGGTGGAACACTGTTACTAACAACATGCTACAATGTACATACAGGTGGAACACTGTTACTTACAACATGCTACAATGTATGTACAGGTGGAACACTGTTACTTACAACATGCTACAATGTATGTACAGGTGGAACACTGTTACTTACAACATGCTACAATGTATGTACAGGTGGAACACTGTTACTAACAACATGCTACAATGTACATACAGGTGGAACACTGTTACTTACAACATGCTACAATGTATGTACAGGTGGAACACTGTTACTTACAACATGCTACAATGTACATACAGGTGGAACACTGTTACTTACAACATGCTACAATGTATGTACAGGTGGAACACTGTTACTAACAACATGCTACAATGTACATACAGGTGGAACACTGTTACTTACAACATGCTACAATGTACATACAGGTGGAACACTGTTACTTACAACATGCTACAATGTATGTAAAGGTGGAACACTGTTACTTACAACATGCTACAATGTACATACCGGTGGAACACTGTTACTTACAACATGCTACAATGTACATACAGGTGGAACACTGTTACTTACAACATGCTACAATGTATGTACAGGTGGAACACTGTTACTTACAACATGCTACAATGTACATACAGGTGGAACACTGTTACTTACAACATGCTACAATGTATGTACAGGTGGAACACTGTTACTTACAACATGCTACAATGTATGTACAGGTGGAACACTGTTACTTACAACATGCTACAATGTATGTACAGGTGGAACACTGTTACTTACAACATGCTACAATGTATGTACAGGTGGAACACTGTTACTAACAACATGCTACAATGTACATACAGGTGGAACACTGTTACTTACAACATGCTACAATGTATGTACAGGTGGAACACTGTTACTTACAACATGCTACAATGTATGTACAGGTGGAACACTGTTACTTACAACATGCTACAATGTATGTACAGGTGGAACACTGTTACTTACAACATGCTACAATGTATGTACAGGTGGAACACTGTTACTTACAACATGCTACAATGTATGTACAGGTGGAACACTGTTACTTACAACATGCTACAATGTATGTACAGGTGGAACACTGTTACTTACAACATGCTACAATGTATGTACAGGTGGAACACTGTTACTAACAACATGCTACAATGTACATACAGGTGGAACACTGTTACTTACAACATGCTACAATGTATGTACAGGTGGAACACTGTTACTTACAACATGCTACAATGTATGTACAGTTGGAACACTGTTACTTACAACATGCTACAATGTATGTACAGGTGGAACACTGTTACTAACAACATGCTACAATGTACATACAGGTGGAACACTGTTACTTACAACATGCTACAATGTATGTACAGGTGGAACACTGTTACATACAACATGCTACAATGTACATACAGGTGGAACACTGTTACTTACAACATGCTACAATGTACATACAGGTGGAACACTGTTACATACAACATGCTACAATGTATGTACAGGTGGAACACTGTTACTTACAACATGCTACAATGTATGTACAGGTGGAACACTGTTACATACAACATGCTACAATGTACATACAGGTGGAACACTGTTACTTACAACATGCTACAATGTACATACAGGTGGAACACTGTTACATACAACATGCTACAATGTATGTACAGGTGGAACACTGTTACTTACAACATGCTCTAATGTACATACAGGTGGAACACTGTTACTAACAACATGCTACAATGTACATACAGGTGGAACACTGTTACTTACAACATGCTACAATGTACATACAGGTGGAACACTGTTACTTACAACATGCTACAATGTATGTACAGGTGGAACACTGTTACTTACAACATGCTACAATGTATGTACAGGTGGAACACTGTTACTAACAACATGCTACAATGTACATACAGGTGGAACACTGTTACTTACAACATGCTACAATGTACATACAGGTGGAACACTGTTACTTACAACATGCTACAATGTACATACAGGTGGAACACTGTTACTTACAACATAATTCAATGTACATACAGGTGGAACACTGTTACTTACAACATGCTACAATGTATGTACAGGTGGAACACTGTTACTTACAACATGCTACAATGTACATACAGGTGGAACACTGTTACTTACAACATGCTACAATGTACATACCGGTGGAACACTGTTACTTACAACATGCTACAATGTATGTACAGGTGGAACACTGTTACTTACAACATGCTACAATGTATGTACAGGTGGAACACTGTTACTTACAACATGCTACAATGTACATACAGGTGGAACACTGTTACTTACAACATGCTACAATGTACATACCGGTGGAACACTGTTACTTACAACATGCTACAATGTATGTACAGGTGGAACACTGTTACTTACAACATGCTACAATGTACATACAAGTGGAACACTGTTACATACAACATGCTACAATGTATGTACAGGTGGAACACTGTTACTTACAACATGCTACAATGTACATACAGGTGGAACACTGTTACATACAACATGCTACAATGTATGTCCGGTGGAACACTGTTACTTACAACATGCTACAATGTATGTACAGGTGGAACACTGTTACTTACAACATGCTTCAATGTACATACAGGTGGAACACTGTTACTTACAACATGCTTCAATGTACATACAGGTGGAACACTGTTACTTACAACATGCTACAATGTATGTACAGGTGGAACACTGTTACTTACAACATGCTACAATGTATGTACAGGTGGAACACTGTTACTTACAACATGCTACAATGTATGTACAGGTGGAACACTGTTACTTACAACATGCTTCAATGTACATACAGGTGGAACACTGTTACTTACAACATGCTTCAATGTACATACAGGTGGAACACTGTTACTAACAACATGCTTCAATGTACATACAGGTGGAACACTGTTACTTACAACATGCTTCAATGTACATACAGGTGGAACAATGCTACAATGTATATATTTGTGTCCCCAGACAAGATGGAGTATTACGAGGACCTGATGCCCTCCCCACCCCAGGGCCCAGAGCAGGAGCAGATGTACCTGTCTGAGTCTCTCTGCTTCCCACTTCAACTGGTCGATATTGATGAGGTACTATTGATAACAGTTCTCAAGAGTTCATGTTTCCTGGTGTAAAAAGTTCCCCAGCAACCTATGCTTGTCATTAGACAATACGTGCAGTATCTGGTGGTCAGGCTCTGACCTGGCTGATTGTGGGACCAAGTACCCTGATGGCACACAACGCTGCTCATATTATCAACCATTGGTTTGTCTGGTCCAGACCTGATTATTTACAAGCTGTTGTGCTATTGCTGGAAAATTGCCGATTGTGGCAACAAGCTATAATATGTTATCTGGCTTATCATATGTCACTGTGTCCTGTTTGACTGGCAGGTGCTCATGCTGTCGACCATTGGTTGTCTGGTCCAGACATGGTGTATAACACAGTGTCATGATATAACTGTTATATTGCTGACTGAAGCCATACACAATAGAAACATTAGGTCTTGGTGTATAACACAGTGTCATGATATAACTGTTATACTGCTGACTGAAGCCATACACAATAGAAACATTAGGTCTTGGTGTATAACACAGTGTCATGATATAACTGTTATACTGCTGACTGAAGCCATACACAATAGAAACATTAGGTCTTGGTATGCCTGTCAGTATTGTCCCTGTGTACAACAACTGTAGTCTTTGAGAACATCTTCCATTGGCACCTTTGACCTCATTGCTCCCAAGATGCCTAGATGTTACATCTGTCAGTTCCTCTGAATCAGATGCACCTTGACTGTGACTTCAATATGTTTTTTTGTGTGTTTATGGACATATAAATGTGAAACCGGTGTGTCTGCTTGGCATAAATCCACAACATCTGTGTTTTAGGATGAGAAGAGTGTGTCCTCCATTTTGAAGGGAGCTCCTGAGATTCAGCTCTTGTCCCCACCGCCCTCCAGGTTCGGCTCAGTGCATGTCTCGCTGTATCATCTGTTTCTGCCGGGAGTCCATTATTGACCACATAAAAAGTTCAATTTGTTACTTATCCTGCATTTCTCCTTAATGCATTCACTGCTTACCTTGAGACAAAAAAAACTGGGACAGCTACCGGCGATGGTCCTGGGTGAAGATAAATATACTGTTCCTGAGTCCCACTGTTATACCACACTTTCGCCGTCCCTGTGACCTCACGTGACCTAGGTCACCTCTTCACATCACTGCCTGTTGTGCTTCAGCTAGGGCGTGTACCAGCGGAGCTCTCGTTTTGGATTTATTTAGACCTTCAGGTTTTGTCTACTATTCTAAAATTCATCTGTGATGGGTGATGTATTCCTTTCATATTACTTTCAACATGTTGTGAAGTTGTATATGATTTATTTAGGCGTAAAAAGACTTTGTCTTTTTTTCCCTCCATATGCTATCTGTTCCCCGCCATTTTGAATTGTGTTACAATTGTTTGCCTTCCAGGGTAGTCAATGTGATTACAATTCTCAGCTATGTATGTATAACATATTTTATGTGTGTTTCAATACTACTAGCTTTGGCGGTTCTTCACCCGGGTCCGTTTTGAGCATGGGACGCACGGAGCGGTGCATCTCGGGTTGTGCTGGGATTTCATTGCTAAGAATCAATTACCAGGCCAACCCGATCGTTCCTTCACCATTCCACCAATATCAACCATTGTGGGTAGTGAAGATGAGGGTGAACTTCTATTATGTCCTGTACGGGCACTGTGAATTTTCATCCGCCGTTCCAAGACTAGGCATGGTTCGAGGAACCAGTTATTTATACCCGTATCTACTACGTCCACGACTGAAGTCAGTCGCAACACCATATCTCTTTGGTTACGCACAGTCATCCTTCAGGCCTATTCGATTGCCGATTTGGATCCGCCAAGAGTGAATAATCCTCATGAGATCAGGGCACTAGCCTCTACCATGGCCTTACACAGCAATTGTACTATTAAGACATTCATGGAAGGATGTTTTTGGAGGTCCGAAACAGTTTTCGCTAGTCATTATCGTCGTGGTGTGACTCGAGGACGTCGAAGGTGTATTGAGTTTTGGGCTGTTGGTTGTAGCTCAGCAAGTTACCAACCCTCGATGCAAATAATGAACTCACAGAGCCGTTCTCTTTCCGGTGCAGTCGATCAAATTTCGCCAATGGAAGAATATTAGACAAGCAATTGTCCACAGGGCTCCATTTTTCTAGTAAGTAAAGATTTGGCTGATGAGCTATTTGTCTTTATTACTATAGCTGTATAGGGAACTACTCTTTAATTCCGATGTTCAATGTTTTTTTCACATTGATAGAACCCTACTGTAACAGCATTTTTCTGAACTTTTCCGCTTCACGGTTTATCGACCAATCAGTGTCGTACTTTCAGGGTGTGAATTATTGAGGTTTCTGTATTCTGAAGGTTTACCCACCTCCAAACCGTCCGATACAGATGCATTAAGGAGTAATGCAGGATAAGTAAACAATTTAGTAAAATCTAAATATTTTTTACATTTGTATACTTATCCTGCATTACTACGTTTAAGCCCCACCCGTCCCCACTTTGGCTTCAGAAACCTCAAAAGTATGTTTTTTAAGCTCTGGCGACAGGCAGTGATGTGAGGAGGTGGGACGTGGATGGAGTGGTATAAAAGTGGGACTCAGGAACAGTATATTTATCTTCACCCAGGACCATCGCCAGTACGCTGTCCCAGTTTTTTTGTCTCAAGGTAAGCAGTGAATGCATTAAGGAGTAATGCAGGATAAGTATACAAATGGAAAAAAAATTACATTTTACTAAATAATTGCATGACTGCATGCTGTAAAAATATGTGACATATGTAAAACACTGACATAGTTTATCTCTGTTCATTATCTACAAGCTATTACATTAAATATTGATTTGAAATGTACATGGAGGCTTGTATTCATTTTCAACAATGTGATTTACTGAATTATTGAATTGAGTAATTATGATCAATATTTGTTTGAATTAACACGTCAGGCCAAGTTTGAGTCTGTCCCGCCACAGCCGAGTGACTTTGAGAGGAGAGGACAATCCAGGCTTTGAAGGTGACTCTGGAGGTCAGACTGACACGGTCGTGGATCTGGAGGACTACAATCCAGGGGAGACAACCACGGAGGACTTGATTCAGCTGCACACCAGTAAACAAGGTTTGGCTGACATCCCCAACATCTGTTCAATTAAAATGATGATGTAGGTCTTTGTTGTATTGCTGCTGAGAAGTAGGCCAACATTCCTACAAATATCACGTTTTTAAAGAATTTCTTCAAAGAACCAGATAGAGATTTTTGGGTGTTTTTTAGACCATTGAATCATGAAATATTTTGATCTTGAACTTAATTCAAGGTAAATGAGCCCCAAGCACAAAATATCTATGTGAATTATAAATACACCTTAATAGATACATATAAAAAAGCATGATTCTGATACATTTTCCTTTTACCATAAACCAAACTAACTTGATGATGGAGGTATATATATTTCTACCTTCCAATTCAAGTGTTTACTAATTATTCTAATTTGGTAATGTTTTTCATGTTGTGTGATATAATTACATTAAGTAATACGTTACCACTGTTATACCGAGGCTGTTGTCTCCCACAACTGCTGCTATAGCGAAATCTACCACAGAGATCTCAATTACCTCATGCAGCACGTGCGTAGCCACCTAGCTGCCATGTGACACCCTTCACTCTTGTCTCCTTCGTCTGCTTAGCAAGACGTGTTTTCTCCTGCTGAAGCGCTCCTTGAAGATTTGTTGATATGTATTATAGTTCATTCTCTAATAAACTGTGCTTTTATGGGGCGTTGCGGTAGCTACGCTTGGTTATAATTTTCCCGCCAAACGGAAAATTTTTCCGCCCTTTTTTCTATATACTTGCGGGGTTCGCGTATGCACGTTGTGTTTTACGTTTCCCCTGTTCTTGTATGTTTTGGGGGTTAACATCACTTATTTCTTTAATAAAAGTTATATGTGTATGTTATATGTTCACATTGCTCGTTTATTTTCTTGTGAAAATGTTCGTTTGTGAATCATTGTGGTGCGTGCGTTGTAACCATGTTTTGTTCTTTGTTTATAGCAAACAATCAATGTCTGACATGGATATGTCCCCAGTATCCACCCCCTCTACCCCTGCTCCTCGGAGTTGTGGGGTGTGCAGAAAGTTTTTGTCGTCCCGGGATCCCCACGATCGTTGCCCGCGGTGCAGGGTTCCTTGCGGGGACACCCGGTGCATCCTGTGCGAAGGTCTGGGGCCTGCGGAGTTTGAGCGGTACCGGCTGTACGTACAGTCCGTCTCCACCCCTGTGGTGGCCGGTTCGTCCGGTCGGGGTCCCCGTGCGGGTACCACCTCCTCGGCTGCGGCGGATCCCCTTGCGGCCCTCGGGCTGTCTGGGGATTCCGTCGCCGCATTGTTGTCGAAACTTGTGGTCTCCAAGCTGGAGGCCTTATCGCAAGATAGGCCGCTGGCTGTTCCGTCCCCGGCCTCTTCGGTGGCCGCGGGGTCGGACGCGGGGTCCACCGGTAAAGCGGCGGATCTCTTGGCGGCCCGTGTGCTGTCCGGGGATTCCGTCGCTGCATTACTTGCATAACTTGTGGACTCCAAGCTGGCGGCCTTATCTCAGGATAGGCCGCTGGCTGTTCCGTCCCCGGCCACTTCGGTGGCCGCGGGGTCGGACGCGGGGTCCACCGGTACGGCGGCGGCTCCCGTGGTCACCGGTCCTTCCCCCGAACCGTTGCTCCCGCTATCGGTTTAGGACCGCGTGGCCATGGTTTATGACCTCTTTGAGGACATGCCCCGGCCGGTACCGCGGGGAATCCACGACTGTGGGTTCCTCCGAGGTATACGATGAGTCTTCCGACACGGCTTTCCCCGCATCAACCTTGCTGCGCGGTTTCAAGCCTTCCTTGGAGAACGCCTTCGCGGCGGCCTCCGGTCGGGGTCTCCCGTTGCCTCCGACGTCGTGGAGAAAGGGTTTCTTCCCGGTACATGACCTTGCCTTTCCCGAGGCTGGTCCTACCGCGGAGGCCCATGTTGAGCGGTTGGGTGTCCGTGCCCCACCGGCTGCTACGGTAACGCAAGCTACCTTGCACCAGCTGGACGCCCTCGCTCGGCACTCCATGTCTCACGGAGACACTTACTTGGCTGAAGCGGCCCGTCTGGTCGAAGGTTCTCCCACGGACCGTGACCAGCGCATTTACAACTGCCTGCTCAGTTTAAATGCTTCCCTGGAGTACGTTGCCGAGGACTCTCGGCACACACTTGCTCTTGTTGGGTCCCTGCATAGGCGCCTGGGTGCCGCTCCTAACCGGAGCGCGCCCCAGGCTGCTGCGGCCGGTAGGTCTAAGGGGTCGGGTTCTTCTTCCTCTGGGAAGTAGCCCCGCCCTGAGGGCTCCGGTATGGGCAATCAGCTGCCCTTTCGCGGGAAGACGGGGAACTGGGGGAAGCCCAAGTCGTCGACGGACGGCAAGGGCCCCTCCAGGTGACTCTCATTGGAGGGGTTCGTATGCCGACAGCGCCAACTTCGGTTGGCCCTTAGGCGAACCCGAGTCACTTGGCCCTGGACAGTTGTGCCTGCCGCAACCTGTCAGGGCCCCCTCTCCTTCCCCAGTGGGAGCCAGACTCCAGACTTACTGGGAGAATTGGGAACAAGTGTTCGACGACCCGTGGGTGGTCAACACGATTCGGTACGGCTATCGGCTTGATCTCAAAGCGAATCCGCCGCTCACCGTTGCCCCGTTGGCAGGTTTCGATTCGGAAACCGATCTTCCCATCCTCGCCGATGCCATCGGCAGGTTGGTGGAGAAGGGGCAGTACGGGAGTTAGCTCTACCAGAAATAACACCGGGGTTTTACTCCAGGATATTTCTCGTTCCCAAGTAGGACAGTGCCGAACTCAGAATGATTCACACGTCCGCTCCCTGGCTGTTCACCCGGTTAACCACCCCCATAGTGGGGTTCCTCCACAGGAGGGGTGTCCGGTACCTCGCGTACCTGGACGACTCGCTAGTAGCAAATCGAATGACGGACACCCTGTCACGCCATCTCGATTTCGCACGTCGGCTCTTGGAGCAATTTGGGTGGATTATCAATCTCCCCAAGAGCGAGTTAACCCCTTCTCAGAACTTGCTGTTCATCGGAGGTCGGTTCAACACGGTGTCCCATCGCCTCTTTGTCCCCCCAGACCGGTGGCACAAAATTCAGGCGATGATTGCCAAAGTCTTAGCGGTGTAACAGACTGTTCACTTTTGGGAACAGCTGTTAGGGCTACTTGTATCAGCCCAGGACTGCACCGCACGGGGTCGTCTCCAACTCCGCCCGCTGCAACGGTTTTTAATCCAGTTGTTAGCAACGGAGGTGAACAGTGCGACCGTCGCCCTCCCGGATCGGCTCCGACCGCATCTGGAGTGGTGGACGGTCCCTTACTTTGTCTTATCAGGAGTCTCTATGCGGCCCTACCGGGCCACGTTGACCCTGTATACAGACGCCTCTCTAGTGGGCTGGGGCGCCCATCTAAAGGGGGAGGTGAGCTCGGGGCTGTGGTGCGTAGACGAACTAGGTCTTCACATCACTTGGCTCGAGTTCAAGGCAGTGATCAACGCAGTCAATCACTGGAAGCATCGTCTCGTCGACGCCCGGCTCATGCTGGCAACCGACAACACGACGGTAGTGTCCTATGTGAACAAACTGGGGGGAACCCACAGTCACTCGCTACTCGATCTCACGTTCGAGTTTTACGCTCTGGTGGACAGTGTCCCGTGCCAGATACGCGCCCGTCACATCCCAGGTGTGCGGAACGTACTGGCCGATGCTCTATCGAGGCCTCAGGATCCAAGCCCCACAGAGTGGATGCTGAACCCAGTAGTGTTTCAGTGGCTGTGCGAACGTTTGGGTCGTCCGATGGTCAACCTGTTCGCAACGCGGTTCAACAATCAACTCCCGTTGTTTGTATCACCAGTCCCGGACCCGAGGGCCATCGATCACGATGCTCTCGCGTTAGACTGGACGGGCTTGGTCGCTTATGCTTACCCGCCGACAGCGTTGATACCACACATTCTAAGCCGGCTCCGAGGAGTTCGCTGTCGAATGTTACTGATCGCGCCCATGTGGCCGAACAGATCGTGGTACCCCGACTTGCTGACCCAGGTCACGCAGTCGCCACTTCCACTGCCTGTGAGACCGGATCTCTTGATCCACCCTCACACCCGTCAGCTTCATCCAAACGCAGGGCAGTTCAATCTGCACGCGTGGATGTTGTCACCGAGCGTCTGAGGAGTAAAGGTTTTTCTCGCCGGGCGTCTCGGGCATACGTTAGTATGCATCGTGATTCTACCCAGAAGGTGTATAATGCACGTTGGGTTATTTTCACGAAGTGGTGTTGTAAACATCACATTCATTCGCCAGATAAGGTATCTGTGCAGGATATTGCTCGTTTCATGTCTCACTTGCGAGAGACCCGGAAACTCTCCGGGGGTTCCATTGCCAACTATGTCTCGTCCGTTGCTACGGTACGGGACGTTGCTATGGGTACCAGTCTCTCCAAAGAGCCGGTGATACGGGGTATTATCAAGGGTTTCAAACAGCACGATCTTAAGAAGGGCCGCCTTCGGGCACCGGCCTGGGATCTTTCCCTAGTGTTGCAATCACTTACGGAAGCTCTGTATGAACCCTTGCATAGTGCTTCATTCCGGCATGTGACTTGGAAAACAGCATTTCTCCTCTCCTTTGCCACGGCGGCACGTGTATCCGAAATTCATGCACTCGATGTCGCCACGGTACGATTCGATAGGGGTGACGAAGGAGCGGTCCGCCTGGGCCTGCTCATGGGCTTCGTCGCCAAGAATCAGAGAGTCGGGCAAACGGAGAGAGAATTCACTGTAAGATCACTCAAAGAAATCTTACATCCTGCTGATACTGAGGACAGAGCGCTGTGTCCGGTTAGGGCCCTTAAGTATTATCTTAAGGCTTCAAATGAACGTAGACAAGGGCGTGACCGTCTGTTCATATCGTGTAACCCTAATCGCACGGTTGACATAACTCGCAACTCGATTGCGTTGTGGCTTCGTTCTGTCATCAATCTGGCGTACCGGTCTCGGGGGTTACCGGTAGCGGGGTCAAACCCGCACGAGATCAGGGCGCTAGTGGCAACATTTGCCCTACACTCGAATATCTCTGTTCGCAGAATATTACGAGGTTGTTACTGGCGTTCTGACTCGGTTTTTGCCAATCATTACCTCAAACAGGTCGCTGATGCCGTCGTGGAGCGTGTGCACCGTCTTGGCCCGCGGATCGCGGCGCAAGCGGGCACCTAAGGGGTGTGCCCAGCGCAATTCCGAACTCCTCAGGCGTCTGACCTTGCACGGTGGTCAATCTGGGTCGACTCCAATGTTCCCACTGCCGTGGGTACAGGAGTTGGGGTCCCGCAAACCAGCGCACTCACACCACAGGTGAGGGCGGCTTTTTGTGTGCTTTGTCCTTATTTGTATTTTGACAATTATGTCTTTAATTGTCTGTCGTGTATCCCAACCTTGTGATGCATGCTTACAAATACTGGAATTAGGTCACGCGCCTAATGCATACTTTAAGTAGGCTTGCTCTGGGATATACGGTCTGAATGAAATTAATTTCCCTCTTTTCGACTGTTTAACCTGATCTAAGATTAAGCTCACGCGGATACAGTGTTCTCATCCGCTGCGGCGATGAAATACCTATCCAGTGGGGCCGTTTGGAGTCACCAATCGTTTTGGCAATGACGATTGAGCCTTACGGTATGCGCTTGACAGTGCTTTGGTATTCCTATAGGGTAACGCCTAGCTAGGTGCATGCGCATCGAGTGCTTCCGCCTTGGTGTTTACTTCCGCTGGTCAGAAGGAACGCTAGCAGTCAGGATTCGGGTTGTAGGTGCTCCCCACCACCTACTGTGGTAGTCAGCCTCGGTATAACAGTGGTAACGTATAACTTAATGTAATTTGTAGAATTTTCCTATTCGGAATATTCTATAAGTAATACGTTACCACTGGGCTGCTGCCCGCCCGTCCGTCCCCCGAGCACTTGCTCTCGCAGGAGACAAGAGTGAAGGGTGTCACATGGCAGCTAGGTGGCTACGCACGTGCTGCATGAGGTAATTGAGATCTCTGTGGTAGATTTCGCTATAGCAGCAGTTGTGGGAGACAACAGCCTCGGTATAACAGTGGTAACGTATTACTTATAGAATATTCCGAATAGGAAAATTCTACAAATATGTCTCATTGGTTAAAACAGATCCTGGTGAACACAGCCGAGATTCAAGCCCATCTAAGGCCAGTGGCACAACTATATCTGATGACCTGGACAAAGCCACACGGGACAAGGACATGTCTGAACAGAAGGGGCACCTGAAGAGAACAGTTAGCACAACGCATATTACTGGTGAGTGCCTCACAGTGTCTAGTTGGGGTAGGGGGAGGGGAACGGCATGACACACATTACTGGTGAGTGACTCACAGTGTCTAGTTGGGGGTGGGAATGGCATGTCACATTACTGGTGGTAGGGTGGGGTGGAGGGGAACGGCATGACACACATTACTGGTGAGTGACTCACAGTGTCTAGTTGGGGGTGGGAATGGCATGTCACATTACTGGTGGTAGGGTGGGGTGGAGGGGAACGGCATAACCCACATTACTGGTGAGTGCCTCACAGTGTCTAGTTGGGGGTGGGAATGGCATGTCACATTACTGGTGGTGGGGTGGGGTGGAATGGAACGGCATGACACACATTACTGGTGAGTGCCTCATAGTGTCTAGTTGGGGTGGGAATGGCATGTCACATTACTGGTGGTCGGGTGGGGTGGAGGGGAACGGCATGAAACACATTACTGGTGAGTGCCTCATAGTGTCTAGTTGGGGGTGGGAATGGCATGTCACATTACTGGTGGTGGGGTGGGGTGGAGGGGAACGGCATGACACACATTACTGGTGAGTGACTCACAGTGTCTAGTTGGGGGTGGGAGGGATGGGGGAAAAGCTTGACACACATTACTGGTGAGTGACTCACAGTGTCTAGTTAGGATGGGGGAACAGCATGACACACCTTATTGGTGAGTGCCTCACAGTGTCTAGTTAGGATGGGGGAACAGCATGACACACATTACTGGTGAGTGCCTCACAGTGTCTAGTTAGGATGGGGGAACAGCATGCCACACATTACTGGTGAGTGCCTCACAGTGTCTAGTTGGGGGTGGGAGGGATGGGGGAAAAGCATGACACACATAACTGGTGAGTGCCTCACAGTGTCTAGTTGGGGGTGGGAGGGATGGGGGAAAAGCATGACACACATTACTGGTGAGTGCCTCACAGTGTCTAGTTGGGGGTGGGAGGGATGGAGGAAAAGCATGACACACATTACTGGTGAGTGCCTCACAGTGTCTAGTTGGGGGTGGGAGGGATGGGGGAAAAGCATGACACACATTACTGGTGAGTGCCTCACAGTGTCTAGTTGGGGGTGGGAGGGATGGGGGAAAAGCATGACACACATTACTGGTGAGTGCCTCACAGTGTCTAGTTGGGGGTGGGAGGGATGGGGGAAAAGCATGACACACATTACTGGTGAGTGCCTCACAGTGTCTAGTTGGGGGTGGGAGGGATGGGGGAAAAGCATGACACACATTACTGGTGAGTGCCTCACAGTGTCTAGTTGGGGGTGGGAGGGATGGGGGAAAAGCATGACACACATAACTGGTGAGTGCCTCACAGTGTCTAGTTGGGGGTGGGAGGGATGGGGGAAAAGCATGACACACATTACTGGTGAGTGCCTCACAGTGTCTAGTTGGGGGTGGGAGGGATGGGGGAAAAGCATGACACACATTACTGGTGAGTGCCTCACAGTGTCTAGTTGGGGGTGGGAGGGATGGGGGAAAAGCATGACACACATTACTGGTGAGTGCCTCACAGTGTCTAGTTGGGGGTGGGAGGGATGGGGGAAAAGCATGACACACATAACTGGTGAGTGCCTCACAGTGTCTAGTTGGGGGTGGGAGGGATGGGGGAACAGCATGACACACATTACTGGTGTGTTCCTTCCTGTGTCTAGTCAGACAGATTGCATGTGATTAACATAGACGATGAGAGTGTTTATAACCTTTTTCTTCAACCATCTTCAAGGTTTCTACATCTGTGTTTCTTTCTGTAGACTCAGCAGGACCTGAATCTGAGGACAACACATACACAACCAGTCAGTCCCAGTTACAGCCTGTCTCCACCAGTTTACCAGTGGTCACAACCAGTCCGGACCAGAAGCTGCCAGTAAAGGAGAAAAAACTGAAGAAGAAGAAGAAGTTGTCGAGGAAGAAGTGGAGCACGGAAGACCCAGGCGACAGTACCGACTACTAGACACCTCGTCTCTTGGTGTTATTATTGTTGACAATCCGTCCATCTAACGAGCATCCAATAAGATCCAGTTTATTTAGAAGTGCAAATGTCAACATTAAACAAATGGAACATTAGCTTCTACTTCATGTCTCAAACAGCGGAAGCTTGTTGCTTATGAAATCAAAATCAAAATCAAAACTTTATTGGTAACTTTTACATTACAGATCAAAATATAAATGGTTTACCTTCCTCCCAGGAGTGGAAACACTTCGACGTCTGGCTCATTAGCAATGATTAGTAGCCGTGTTAGATGCACACACAAGTAGGAAACAGTCCAGCTATACACATACTAGAGGCAGTGGGTTTTTTATGTAGACGGATGCAGCTGTGATGCTATTGTTTCCATGCAGTATTTTCATCTTTCATTTGGTTACAAGGGATTGTCTTTGTACATTTTGTCATATTAGCTTATTTAAGATCGGTTGTGTATGTATATCTTAACACTGACAATGACATCCTTCAACTTAATCGTGTATGCATGTTCTGAACTTAATGTAGAATATAAAGAAACAAACATTTATATATTCTGGCATTGTACTTGAAATAGTTTTCATGATGTTTTATGAAAGTTGATCAAGTTAAATGTTGTATCTGATCACCCAGTGTGTGAAATTATCAGGTAAAACTGTGGACGTTTGATTCAGTCGGTGTGACAAAAACTCTGATAGCTATAGCAATAGAGCAGGCCTAATCGTGATAATGGGGTTCACTCATGATAGGGTAGGTAGGAGGTCTTTTGTTTCTTCCTCTTGTGCCATTCTTCTTTAAATGTCTCCGACTCTCTACTCACGGATGTTGATTGTTTTACCGTGTCAGCTGGATTGAGGCGAGGGTCGTTTCAACTTTATTTGCAGAAAATATTCAACTTTATTCAAGGAAAACAGATACAAATCATGTTTATGTATGGAAATAGTTATTGGAACAGTTATTTAGGACGAAATGCGAAGCTTTATTGTCGAATGCTGGGCTGGCTATCGAACGCCGGTTGACATCGCCAGTGGAAGCTGAACTAAAGTGAAACAACTGGGAAAAAAATGTGAGATCTTCGACTCCGTGTATAAGACGACCCCCCTTCTTAACCTCCTCATTCTAGGTACGAAAAACTCGCCTTATGCACAGCGATATACGGCACCTTAATGTTCTGCTGTTTTTGGTGCCATTGTGCCATGTGTTCTCTGTGGTTTTGTCATTTAGTGCCACTGGACAGTTACGGTCTGCACCTTCAAGTTAGGTTGGTCGGGTAGTCATGACAACTGGAACACATCATTTCTGGAGGGCTGATATTTCATTTGTTAATTTTAAGTCATAACTGCAGCTTGGTTGTGGTTTGTGAGACCTGCAAGGATGGATGCCAGACAAAGCAGAACATGTTTGCAGGATTTTCTTGGCAATATTATAATGTTAAGATTAATTCAGAACCAGAGATGTTTGCCTACGGTGGTGACTCGGTAATGCGTTGTTGATTGAAGGTTCTAATGTTTACTTTGATGGTGTAGTATTCCTAATTAAACACATTAATCAAAAATAGATTAATATTCCTTTATGTCATGTTACATTATGTAGCGTACATAGCGGTTAAAACAAGCGGTTATATCAGACAAAGACATCGACAAAGTCACATGACCTTGGGCCTGGATATTCTGAGGGAATGTTTCCCTGTCCGGATAAACATCTCCAGTTTCACACACAGTTCCAGGTGAATGAAGACAGGTTAGTCAGACAGAGGTTCCCATCTTTGGTATACCAGGGACATCTAAAGTTGACGTGCAGTAGAACAAGGAATGGTTGTGGTTTCAGTCGAAGCAGGATCTTCACTTTGTTTCACACTTGTTTTAAATGTATGTTTAGTGTTTTGTTTTTTGTTACTTTGGGAAAACTGGTTTTCTTCCACAGGCTTAAGTCATTCACCCTTTTTATCATTAATATTTTTTATGCTTTGAATATATGCAATTTATACGACTTTTACAAGACAGCATTTCATACTTATGTGATAATTGGCATTTATGCAATTGATGTAATTTGTACCAAGGTTTTGTATTTGTCCAAAGTTTTCCACTGGAAAGTTTCATAACCCCAAGAGTCGTCGTGCACAAGACTGTTGTCAGTGTGGGCGCCGGCCTCAGACAGGGCTCCAGACATTGGTCTGTTTCTTTGCTGCCCCAAGTGTGTCACAAGTCATAGAAACTTACAACAGGGAACAACATGTGTAATTAACTTTAAGCTAGACGTAGCAATTTTGTTTTGCATTATGCAGTAGAGTTGCTATGGGTGACACCTGCATTGAGGGAGTAAATAATAATGTAAATAATCAGTAGTAATGTAAGTTAAGTTCACAAATATAAACATTATCTGGGGATTTTACTAGATCTGTAAAGAAATACTGAAAAGGCTATACTGAATAATTCAATATATATAATACAGTTTTTTTTACACTATTGGCTTTTTCTAAATTTTCATTGTGCAATCAGCTCAAAAGTAATTGGGTAATGGTGGTATATTTTGTGTGTTTTACACAAATGTACAGCCTACCTGGAGCTCTGGCAGAGTCTGGCTTCATACTTGCTACAGGAGCAGTCACAGGCACATGGTACATGTTACATCTAGTATTCCAAGATCAGTTGATCAGCTGGATCATTCACAAAATTATCAGCATGTGAAATAAAATTTATACATCTTTTACACTCATGTAACTGTGTTTTGTTTTATTTTATTTGGGATTGTTACGAAAGGTTTAAACAACTTAAGTCACATCTGCGTCTTGTTGGAGGGCCATGTTGGGATTCCAGGGCGGAATACGTCCTCAGTACATCATTCTTGTTAGGAGGGCCGTGTTGGGATTCCAGGGCGGAATACATCCTCAGTACATCATTCTTGTTAGGAGGGCCGTGTTGGGATTCCAGGGCGGAATACGTCCTCAGTACATCATTCTTGTAAGGAGGGATATGTTGGGATTCCAGGGCGGAATACATCCTCAGTACATCATTCTTGTTAGGAGGGCCGAGTTGGGATTCCAGGGCGGAATACGTCCTCAGTACATCATTCTTGTTAGGAGGGCCGAGTTGGGATTCCAGGGCATAATACGTCCTGAGTACTTCTTGTTGTTGTGGAAGCTTACTAAAATGAGGATCTGCGTGAGTCTTGACTGATTTTGAGGGAGATTAATCATGTTATCAAACACTGGTTTGCCTGGACCGGACTTGATTCACAGGCCCAGTGATATAGCTGGACTGTTGTTGACTACCGTAAACAAGAGACCCACATATTGGAGGAAAGTCCACAGTGCACAATGACATTGACATATACCAGCACAGTGATTGGCATTAGCCGGTACTTGACCACTACACTACCCCATTGTCCCTAATGCCACCAGTAGATTTTCCAGAGTGCATAATGTGATGTCTCGGCTTCAACTACAAAATTCTAATACCATGTTTTTTCAGGTGAACAATTGTCTTGCCTTTCCATGTGTTTGTGACAGCTCACCTTTTCACGACACCTGGTGTCATCACTATTTGATAATGATTCATAAACACATGCTTATAACAGTCGGAATTGTTCAATGGACTCTCCTTTTATTTAATGATGGAGCAAGACTAGCCTTGTAAAGTTAGTCCGTGCCAACTACGAGAGATAATGTCGACAAGTAGTACATGGGATTTCATGTATCATTTCAGATTCCTCCAAATTTCCGCTTATCTGTCTGAAACTATTAATGATATATGGTGTCTCTAAAAGTTCTACCAGAATTCCAATGCAATATTAAACATGTCAAATGTCATTTTGACAACAACGCTGCCATAGAAGATCTTTAGAACAGATGACCTTCACCTTGAACATCTTTTGTGCCATGTGTGCCATATAGAGCCTGGATCAATGTCAATGATGTGTGCCAATTATGAAGAAATAATTTCAATCTGTTGATTATTTATATGATATATAAATATACATCTTATATCACTATTGCAGGGTTTTTTTCGCACGTTTTTTAGGGGGATTTTTTTATCCAGTTACAACCTTTGACTTTCACTTCCCCCCTTTGTGCTGGTGTTACTGGACTTATGAAGAGGAAACTGTAAGAAGTGGCCATATTAAGAAACCTGTTAAGGGCTATTAATCTGACATTTTTCTTCAAAATGTATTGAAATTTGGTATAGGTGTAGTTAGTAGTGGAGCCTAACATGGTTGTTCCATTTTATGAAGAAGTTTTACCTTTACAGCATAATAGCTTGTCAACAAAGCTAAATGCTGTCATGGGCAATAAACATCAACGTTGGTGCAAAATTGGAAAAAACGTAGCTACCATATTTCATCAAATTATCTGCACACATGTGTGCATAGGGGAACAATGTCAAAAGTAGTTTTTCGCATATGGTTGCCATGGAAACCAAATTTGACTTCGAAATATCCTGTGATCCCTGGAAACCCTGACACTGACCTCTTCAGTGGAAAGACCTTTGACCTTTAGCAATTTCTAAATATCTTTTCCCCGAAACCAATTGAGTAATGAAGCTTATATTTGGCGTGCAGCCTTCTTAGGATGGTATCTTATCTTGTTCAAATCAGTGATTCTTTTTGTTTTCTTTTCTAAATATTGAAAAAATGACATTGCACAAAAAGGTTTAAAAATCGTTATCTTTAGAACCACTTGGCCCAGGGCTCAAACTTTGTGTGAATGTAATGACCGTCAGATCAAAGTTTGTTTATAGCATCACTATGTGTACTCAACATCGAAACAAAACATTTTTGTTCTTTTTCCCAGGAAGGGTGGTTGGATAGCCTAGTGGTTAAAGCATTCACCCATCACGCCAATGACCCTGGTTTGATTCCCCACATGGGTACAATGTGTGAAGCCAAATCTGGTGTCCCCTGCCGTGATATTGCTGAAATATTGCTAAAAGCAGCATAAAACCATACTCACTCACTCACTTTTTCTAAGAATCTATATATCTGTACCAAAATGAGGTTGAATTGTCATCAAATTATTACTTCATAAGTCAGGTGAGCCACTAAGCATTGTGGCCGTGTTTTATTTTGTAAACTGCAGAATTTCTGTCAGCCATCTGCTTCATCTTCCAGGTTTGATTGTGTGGGTGACTAAATATATCCTACCTCTAGGGGTACTGGTGATATGTCTGTTGGTGCCACATCCAAATACATGCTTTTACCGAGACAGATGTTTTTCTTTTACATTTCTGTTTTTGATTTTGTCATGTGGACTTTTTTTGGGCGAAATTCATGCTCAAATACAAGGAAACTTCATCCCATCTATTACTGAGAGTAGAAAGACGAGAATGTTCTATTTTTCCTTTAATTATCTGAATTATATATATTCATAAGCTGCATGGCAAACTCCTGAACCTGAACAATCTGGTTTGGGAATACAATAATTTTCGCAAACTCTCCAGCAATAAATCTGAATGAAAAGTTCAACAACCTCACCCAGTTGGGGTTTGGTGCCAGTCAGGATGACATTCCACAGGTGTGGGATGCACAAATTCCATCGGAACATTATCATGTTTACGTTTGACACAGCTGCACTGCTTGGGTCGAGCGATAGCCTCACGATCCCAGTCAACCAATCAAATTGCCTGTTATGGTGTAAGTTGGAATGTACCACACTTTCTCAAGTGTCAACAAAGGCTATTGATCACAAGAGTAGGCGGGACCACTAACAAGTGCAGGTAAGTGTGATGTACGCAAACATTAAAAACTATTTTCCTAGAATATCGGCCATAAATTCTGCAATGTCTACCTTGTGACAGGTGGTGTGGACAATAGCATGTTGACAATAACAGCCACTGACAGGTTGCTGCATACATTGATTTCCTCACGATCACATAATGAGAATGCGTGTGAAGGAATTCAAGATACATATATAATTTGGTTTTGGTTATATTTGTTTATGTATATCTGACATAAACATGAGCAATATTATTTCTGTTCTTTAGTGTTTGAATATTAAATTTCTATGAATTTCTGGACATAGATTCTGAATAAAAAATTAGGGTGATGAAATAGGCCTATGGTTGATGCTCCTGTTGGTCAAATCCCATCATCAACTAATAGACTATAACCCAAGTGTTCCCAGTTAGGATATAGCTGTGATGTTAAAAGTTGGGTCACTCAGGCTAAAATATCTTGAAAATGTATATTTTTATTTAAAGCAATAGTCATGACTGATTGACTACAAAATTTGATAACCAGGGACTTAATACAAGAAAGATCTTAGCATGAAGTATATTGTAGTCTGTGTTAGAGTATGTATGACAAAGCAGTAAGTTCATGTCAAGTTACTAGTAGACCTTTTAGCGATCTACTCATGTCAATGTTTCCACAATCCACATACCCCGGGAACCTGTGGGTATCCCAGGTTACAACAGGGCCCCGTTTCACAAAGCGAGTGTACCGTTAAGACTGTTGTAAAGGCAACGCTAAGCTATGGGAGTTACGATAGTCGAAGCCCTATGATTGCTTTGAGAAATGGGGCCCTGGTCACGAGCAACCTGTGCTTGTCGTAAGAGGTGTCTGAATGGATTGGTTGGACAGGCTCAGTGACTTGGTTGATAGCGTGGCGTCATACCCCAAAGGCATGGGATATTGCACAAATATCAATCACTGGTCTGTCCCGACATCCCCCTGTTCTATACAAGGATTATTGCTGACTGTGGCATTCAACAACAAACTTTTCAAGGTGGTAAAAGATAACAGCAAAAGTAGTTGATGTTAATGACTTTATTTGTACTTGCAGCTATAACTGACAGTGGACAGTTGCTACCGTGGAGTTACTAGACTAGCTTCATCAGGGAGAGACCAACAGATGATACAAGATGAAGACTGTGATACTGTGGGGGGGGAGTACTTCCATGCGATGACTAGTCTACTAGTCCCCGAGGTCCCCCCTCCACAGGATCCTGTCCAGTGTAGCCATCACATCACCCATCATACCCAGAGGATCGCATGTGTTCCTAGGAACGCCAAGCATGATGGTTATGTAGGTATAATATGAGAGAAAATGCTTAAAATGTTTAGGTTACTCACGCCAGTAAGTAAACGTGTTTAAACCTTCCTATGTTCACATGAAACTCTGGGTATTTTCTGTTAAATAGCTCCTAACTTAATTTTTCATACCAGTCTTGGACATTCAACATTAATCTCATGAAAAGCATTTTCCAGCATGGTTCTTGAAATGTAAACAATTCAAACAAATCTCATCAAAATCACTTTTTGTGGAATACCCTTTTTCGCTGCTCGATTGTCATGACAACACTGGGTGATGTGACGCTGTAGGTGTTGAATACATGATGCAATGAGCCTGCAATGCCAACATGCAGTGGCTACTGTAGAACGAGGGCATTATTGCTGGCAATGACTGAAGGAGAGCTAGACAAGTCTAGAGTGGTTCTTGTATCATACACATGTACAGAAATCATTATGATACTACAGGACAAATAAAAGTCTACAGATTTTAACAATTAACAAGAAAATCACAGCATATATGTTTGTCTCTCACAAAAAGCTTATTATTACAAGGGTAAAACAAGTATTATGATTGTAGGGAACCCACATGTACATCAACCAACTGTTAGACTCCAGTACTGCATGCCGAGAAGAACCTAGCACTGAGCAGAGATACACAGCTAACTCAACACAGCAGGAAATTGCACATGTTGGGGGCGGTCAAGCTCCTTGAGATATTAAGTCAGAATGATTGCACATCAAAGTGATTGTTAATACACAAATCTTGCACTTTAACAACCATTCCACACATTGGGGCAAAGCAGCAATATTGTTTGGTAAATGTTCACTCTTGATATATCTGTTATAGTTCCTCCATCAAAAGCCAAATTACCTTTAATCGAATTAGAGGAAACTAAATATATGTGTGTGTATTTGGAGAAGTTTAAAGCCTCAAAACTTACTGCATTTTGAATCCTAGATTCTGTGGTTTCAAAGGGTAAGTTGGTTGTGTATGCCTTCAGTAGGTCTGTTAACACCGTACTTTGGTCAAATGAGTGTGTTGCCGCTTTGTCTCAAACTGTGGGAATTATCATCACTACACTGTCTACTCATCGTAAACTAAACAGACAGGTAATCAGACTCATTCAGGCAGTGGGACACACTGTACATCCAGCAACAATAAGCTAGAGCTATGTACAGATAAAATGCTCTCAGAAACAACAGCCTACTCTCTCACCAAGGCAACAGTTGCCATGAGATACAGTAGGCTGCCATGGTGATAGAGTTGGTAATGGCATGCTGATGACTAGGTATATCAACAATGTGCTCTCCAACATTTCTAACAGATGTATATTCAAGTAATTTTTACAACAACAAGAGTTAATGTCTCACAAATTTTCTACACTATACACAAATTTATCAAGATAGACTTAGAAACTGGGTGTTAATGGTGAGTAATGCAATGAAAGGGACAAGAGAGTTGCCGTTTTAGTAAACTGTGATACTTGCTCTGTCAACCAGGTTGACAAACTGTTACAATTTAGAAACCCTTACAGAAATGATTGAAACGACAATTACCAAGAACCTCTTTTTTTCTAGTATACCAGAGTACTCTTTGGGCAGTGAATCAGAAACTTGACAGTTTTATGTGAACAGAAACCACTTCAAGAGTGATGATACATTTTTCGTAACTGTATGTAGAAGAATTGGTCCTAGCTAAACCTTACATCTGAGAAATCCTTACACACAACACTACACAAGGTTTGGTTACCATGGCAACTCACCATTCATAACAACAAGGTGTTAACATGCTTAACTCCTCATGTTGCATATTACAGTTATACGCCAGATCATTGTGGTTGATACATATCACATGTCAAGATCTTCTACAATGAAAGTCATCCCATTTCACCCCAGATTACAGAAACCAGAAATGGAATGTCCGAGAACTGAATGAATGTACATGCTGTTGATGACAGACTGGAATGTGCTAGACTGTTGAAACTAAAGACAGATGAGACAGAAGGAGATCATTCAATGTCATTCCATTCGTATGTTGATATTAAGAATCCTCCAGAGAAGAACAAAATGAACAAATAACAAAATGTCAAATATTACCGAAACCAAATATAAATATTGGCAGATATGCCAAAGTAGAAATAAATATCTTCAATATAAAAAGGAACAGGAAGGTTAACCACACAAAAGTCATAAAATGTAAGTGGATTTCTATTTGAAGTACACTCCTCTAGATAACAATCGGCAAGAAAAACGGTACGGGATCATCCTGCCACAGAAAACTTGAGCTGGCTTTATATACATACAGCTAAATAGGAATTAGCAGAATGTGCTGTCAAGCAATAACATGTTAACGGATCACAACAGCATAAAAGCATGAAACAATGTTACGTTCACGCTATTTTGGCATGATGTTACATCCCTGACGTCGTCTTTCTTGCTGACTGTTCCTGAGATTCTAAGCTAGATCAATCTAATATGGCTGCCACTCTGGCTACTTCCAGACAAACTGATTACAAGTGATGTTTTCATCGTCACTGTTAATACTTGCTTGTCTGAACAGTGGGCGTGAGCTGGACCTGCCGCAAGAATCCCCACTTCGTTTGTCTATACAATGTTTTCCTAACCACTAAGTATGAGCAATAAACACTCGGACAGTCCTGGTCAGAATACTTGGTCCCATATCCAGCTATGTTAACAATGAAAACAGAAGATGCCCTACTTGAGCTGTCTAAATACATGGAATTGCAGATGTTAAAGTATTGATCAACAGACATTCTCTACAGGACTGAATAGTTTAGTGAATATCTTGAATCCTCATTCCTGGACTTGTCATTAATGACAGACTGACCCAAGTATGTTAATTGTCGGGCAAGTTGGTTCGCATACCAAATAACTGTATCAAAGGGGAAAAAGTGAATATTGAGTCTCTACTCCCAATGAGGTCAAAATGGAATAGAAAACATTAAGCTGAAGTATGCCCAAACCGACATAAATCCTCAAAGGAGGTATAGATTTCCAACCATTCCCTGTACATACAAAATCCAAAGACATTCTTGTCCTTTTCATTTGGATTTAAATATCTCCCATAATAGTCACAGAATTTATAGAAAGATGAATGCATCAATCAGCAGTCTAAAACCACTACAAGCCAGATGTGAGACTTGAGTTATTCCCCTTGATACAACCATTTGTTGGTAGGTGTCGCTGATCAGCACTGGCAGCCACTGCCTTGTGGGTTTGTGTTCTCCGTCAGCCTGGTGGCCTTTGTCTGGCTGTTGGCGAGAGTGGGATCAGAATCGAGGCTCTCCGACATCTTGTCACAGATAATGTCAACCAGGCGCTCGAATACAGCTTTCACATTGATGTTTTCTTTTGCTGATGTCTCGAAAAATTCCAAACCTGAAACAAACAAGTAGGGTACCGATAACAGGAAAAGTGGCTAGTTGACATGAAACATTCTATTGACATGGATTGAAACATTTTGCCTACCAAACGGTTTCAATTGAAACTTTGTTATCATATTTCTACTCAAATAGAAAAAAACCAGAAAAGCAAACATAAAAGAAAGTTACATGATATGCCTTCCAAAACAATTTTGGTCATAAATTCTTAATGTGAGTGATAGAATTAATTTATTACTGGTATCATGCCTACATCCTCTTCTTGTATTGGAAAGAAACTAAATATTTTTATGGACTATTCTCAACAGAGCAAGACTATATAAGATGGAATACAGCAACGATCAAAGGTTAACAATATATTGGCAAAACTGAGGAAATGCTAAAGGGCAAAGCTTTGTCAAATTATGTTGATGTTGAAGTTTAACAACAGTCCCCTTGATCTGACCAACCTTGTAAGACTCTCCACAACCCAAGATGTTCAATCATGAGGTATAATGGTGTTACAGAGACTACAAAACCTAAACTTATTGACCTTGCTAACAGAGCACCGCTGCCACACATAATGTGCGTGTGTGTGCCTGTGTGTGTGTGACTGTAGTTAACACTGTATATGTTTTTTCCAAATCATATCTATACTGGAAAATACAAACAGTTTTCTACCAGATGGGTGATATGGTATGAGTTTGAAATATTTTGGGACTCATACACATGGAACTGATGAGTGCTTTGATGATTTCCTCAGTAAATGTAAGTCGCACACACTGTCCTGTTTCTAAGGAGAAAAAATCCTAAATGTTTTAAACAGGGGCATATCCCTTGAGTTATTTCCAGTTGTTGATCTGATTAATGGGACAGGAGTGAAGCTTTCCCTACTGAATAAAACAAGTGTCATAATCCACAAACATACAAGTGACAAATTTCATTGCTCCTATAACTAGCCACAATAATGTGTTTTGTGTCTGGCTGGGAAAGGGTGATCTACTGAAACTTTTATAAACAGGTCTCCAATGTAATACTATTCTCGCAACATGCAATAAATCCCAATAACATTTCACTGAAATCCTTTTTTGGACACGCTGAGAAAGACAATCCTCTTAAGTTTTTCTACCATTTCATCAATATATTTCCACAGTAAGTTACAAGAGCTTCTGAGTTTGATGTGCTAGCACTAACACTAATGGCAACAGCAATGATTTCACATGTTAAAACAACTTTCAATGATAGGACAGCTTGTGGCTTAATGTGTTGTTAAAATGGAGTCTCCACTGCGAGATGTCCTTATCCACTTGAAGGTCACATTAGCTCTGACATTACCGTTGAAACCTAAGCACTTAACTCACACACATGAATCTGACTGGTAAAGTCAGGTGACATGCAAATGGCATGGATATTTAATGTGGTCATCTGAAGATGTGGATATTTGCTTTTATTACATGATAACATATTCAGCACACTGGATAAGGTCAGCATGAACTCTCCTTAATGGCACTGCAACCATGGTTGGAAATACAATACATATTCCATCTATTTCTCTCTATTAAAACATTATTTCCTGGCATTAATGCATTGTGATTCATTACAAATATCTGACACTGTTAAATTGTTTTAGGCACATGTACAACAAAATAATGTCCTGATTTACTGCAAAACATGAGTATGATTTATTCTGGCATCAAGATGTTACCATTTTAGTTAATACCCAGCAATTTTACTTTTAGTTTTACTCATTTGAAAAGAAATATCTGTCACATAGAAATAAAAAATTTACATTCATAATGTATCACATCTGTAATAACATGTGCTGAAAACCTGGAACAGAAGGCAATAAATGTTGCATCAATGCAGTATGTTGCAAGCTGGGTGGAAATTACACATCACAATGGTAATAGGATAAATCACAGGAGGGAGACACGATGTTAGTAGGAACATGAGTTAGTACACAGGCTGTGACAAGGAACACTGGGACTAGCAAGCAGATATATAGGCAACATACAGCTGGTTAGTACTGTGCATAATACATTACAGTAATACATAAATATAACATTATAATTGTGTTGCAGGACATCCCTGTGCAGATGTCCACCATCCACTCAATAATAGTCTCCACCAGACTGCTTCACAAAACAACAACCATGGCTGTACCTCTATCTCACGTAGCTATCATACAGTGAAACAAACACACTCCAATGTGTGCAAAACTCATAGCCCAGTCACTCCAATGTGAGGTATAAGAACACTATCCACACACTAGTTTAATGTTGTACTTTCGTTGATCTTGTTTACAATCATGTATGTGATTGGGCCCCTCCCCTAAATAGTAACATTACCCATATAGCAATAGTGAGGTTATTACAATGATTGACTAGTTCACTACAACTGAATTATCAATTATCTGCATTCAAGAAGTAATGTTCCCAAGGCGTCAGACTTTTGGCATTAACTCACTAGGGACAGGCAGTCCATATCTCCCCCATAGCATGTAGGTTATTGTCCACATGTTTCAAATATCCAAACTGATCCATCTTTTAACTTGCAAACCAAATTTGTTATCTTGAAGTTGAGTTGGGAAAGAATGGGAATCCATCATTTAAGATGAACAGTTTATTTTTATTTATTTCATAAAGATCCTTCCTCCAAATCCATCCTTGTCAAGGGCATATAAAACAGTTATTGTATAGCCTCATACTTAGAGACAGGAAAATACTAGAGAAGAGCTTAAGCTCTGACTGTGGTATGCCCTAAGTACGTTAGCCTTGTCTGTCATCCACAGTTAGCTTGATTGTCATGAACTCTACACATATCATCCCACGTACATATACACACAGCTAATTACCTCCTGGCAAATACATGGCTAATCAGGAAAAGAGCCATTGGTCACTAATCTATGTACAGACTGCACACTGCATGTAGTAGCTTTGGAAATGCAGGTTAGGGAACAGAAAAATAAAAATGTTCATAATTGATGCTTGAAACAGAGTTGGGTAAACTGTCAAAAGCTAACGACAGCCATTTGCCTATTTTCTCCAGTGCAAAATGTCTCTTGACACCAAAGTACTGAGCTGTACTAACAACCTTGGTCCCTCTGCATGAAGGGCCAGGCAGGATGTTATATACTGTAAAAATTCAATAAATGCCCGCCTTAAATAAACACTGTCAATCGACACACCGAAGGAAACAAATGCCTGCCTCACATAAATGAAAGGCATTAAGTTTTAATGTGGGCGGGGCGAAATGACTAAAAGGATTTACGTTTTATTGAAAAAAAAACCCCAAAAACTTTTGATCTGCCCCTTTGACACTTGCAAAACATTTAGAAGATTCATTGGAAACAACTGAAAAAACCTGCATGCTTAAAAATACATGGGTCGAATTATCTTCCACAATAAAGAAAATCTGGTGCTTATTGAAGAACCTTGAGTAGTTCAAATATGGTTACAATGCAACTAAAAGGATAATAGGTCAAGATGCTGATGTGTCTCACAATGCATTAATTTGTTGCATGTCCTAGTGTGACAGTAAGACATTATATGATAAATGTGGACAAAATTCATATGCCCTTTTTCTTTTCAGCATTATCATAGGTCTGATAATTTGTAATGTTGTGAGATTAACAAATAAGTGTTAGGCTGAACAGCTGGTCATTAAGTTAAGGTGTTTTGTAGTTCGTCTTTTGTTTTACTGCACATTCAAAACTTCATTGTGAACCTTGATCAGTTCCCATTAAGAATATGGCTAATGACTATTATCCACACAACTAATTAGGGTCAGCTGATGCTAGAGGAGGACTTCTGTTGGAATTTTTATGGCATGATGACATCCAAAATACAGGATTAAGGCAATCATGTAATAGAGGTACGGTATTCACTCATGTAATTAAGGTATGGTATTCACTCATGACAAAAGGTTTTGGATTAATCTATTCATCCACTGTAAGGCCTTGACACTGGCTACCTTGCATTCCAAGAGGAAATACTGGCTTCGTCTAGTGATTAATGTGCAGTGTCATACATACAGTGCTTATATGGTAGACTTGACTGAATGTTATTAGATTATTTTAGTCAGTCAATTTTGCATGCCACAATCAGCAATATTTACATCGGCCTGTAAATAAACATGTCTGGTCCAGACTCGATTGTTTACAGGCTGCCATGAATATGGCAGATCACTGACTGTGGCATTAAACAACATTCACTCACTCACTCCCAAGTGGTAGATAGGATACGATGACACACAAACAGCTAGGAATGACATGACCACCCAATCTTCATTTCCCAGCAACTCTTATGAAACATTGGGTACAAATGTCAATTATCCCAACAATGTGCAAGTTACACTGTCTACATACCGGAGACAAATACAAGGACATGCTTGTTTAGCGTGAGAACGAATAAACACTATATCAGGAATCTAGACTACAACACACAGTTTGATTAAGTAACATATAATTTCACTAAACAGAGTTACATCATGGACAGGGTGCAGTCACAATCTTGCTACACGAGTTACTCTACACACAAAGTGTCAGGCCTTCAGGCACTGATGACGGCAACATGGAGTGATGAAACACTACAAGTCATGCTCTGGGTACCTAATTGGTCTGCTAGCTGTTTTCCCCTCTCAGTTGAAACCACCCGTTCATCCTCCAAGTCACACTTGTTGCCAACTAAAACAACCTGAGCATTGTCCCAGGAATATGTCTTGATCTGGGTGCACCTGGAAGAAAGCAAGAAATGTGTCTGCGTTAAAACATACCTAGGTTATCTGCTAGCTGCTGGCCTCTCTGCTCGGAGACAACACGCTGGTCCTCTTGGTCACATTTGTTACCAACTAAAATTACCTGACTGTTATCCCAAGAGTACATCTTGATTTGAGTACACCTGGAAAATGGGGGAGATATTGAGTTATGATGCCATGGTGACACAAAGAGCAGTGTCAGCATTTGGGCACCAGGACGGTACCTACCTCACCCAGAATATACACAAGGCAGGGAGGAAGTAACATCTCATGTACCATCAAAGGCTCGACGTACTTAGGAACGTGCAGTCTTTAGTTGTAGCCAACAGGCACGATTAACCATGATGATCCATGTTGACGTGATATTTACATTTTTGATTTCTTTCCCAGGTTCACTGATCAACTTTGCCTCCTGGCAGGAAATACAGGTTTTCTAATGTGCTCCAGATGAGTGTCAACTTAACAATCTCTGGGACAAGTGGATTCAGGGTGGACCATATGATTGGTTCAGAAGAAGATCAATGCCCTTGACCTTTTGAGTTACAGAGATGCTGCTTCAGGGTCTGGCTATATCTGAACATGACATTGCTGCACTGCCAAACGTCACGTTCAGAAATTAGTGAAACAAAGGAAAGCAAACAAAACAAAAACAGAACACAAACCCAAACCCAAACCCAGCAGTCAGGCGATAGGAATTGAGTCCTACCTAGGTCTTTGGACAAGTCCTCCCCTTCCTTACTATCGACAACCCGGGACTCCTCGAGGTCACATTTGTTACCTACTAGTAATACACAAGCATTACTCCACGCGTGTGTCTTGATTTGTGTGCACCTGTGAATTGAGACAGACCAGGCATGCAGGAAACGGAAAGGAGAACTAAACATAGTGGAAGTATAGAGTCAGCTGAAGAAATAGCCATGTTAATTACACCTATAGCCCCTGTTATACAAAATGTTTGTGTTGATTACTTGCTGATAATCAAATCAAGTTTTTCCATCAAACCCATTATCCCATTAGAAGCTGCATGGGTTGCATCCAGACAGTTGCAGAAAAACAAGTCCAGTAACATTTTTTACCATTCTACCTATCTTAACTTCAACATATTTTTCAACTGGTATATCCCAAACCAATAGGAAAGTCAAATTGTCCTTTAAATATATATGAAATAATTTCTTCAGCTGACAAGATTATGATGGAAAGACAATAAAACAAAACAAAAATCTACAAGATCAACTGAATCATACAACTAGAGGAATATATATGATGAAAGTGTAGCATGTATTATGACATAGATATTGACATTATACAATAGTAACCAGAATAATGGGGTCACATGGTGATGAAAAGCATGTTTACTTTAGACTCTCACTACATCAACATGTAAATACAACACATACATTAGAGATTCTAGGCTACATCTGTTTTATCTAGAATGGTGAACTTTTTTCCAGACATATTATACTTGTATGTGTCCGGTACATAAAGAACAAACCAATTCTCAAAATCCACACCTTGTCTCATTAAATGAAATATCATACTTGAATTACTTAGATGAATGAGACCAGTATTGTACCACACAATCAAAATGTTAAATACAATTACAAGTAATTAGTACTGTTCTGGCAAGAATGTGCACAATAATCAGAAATGGATATCATTTGTCATTGATATGATCATAATGAAGGCAATTTTCTCCATTCCTATTTGAGCTAATGGAAGATGGACCAGGTTTTTAGTTAGTATTTATCCTGATCTGTTACTCAACACAGATGTTCATGCCACGGCTGGCTGCAATAGACTGTCATACTGTACTGCACATGGTCATACTGTACTGCGCATGGTCATACTGTACTGCGCATGGCTATACTGTACTGCACATGGTCATACTGTACTGCGCATGGTCATACTGTACTGCGCATGGTCATACTGTACTGCGCATGGTCATACTGTACTGCGCATGGTCATACTATACTGCACATGGTCATACTGTACTGCACATGGTCATACTGTACTGCGCATGGTCATACTGTACTGCGCATGGTCATACTGTACTGCGCATGGTCATACTGTACTGTGCATGGTCATACTGTACTGCACATGGTCATACTGTACTGCACATGGTCATACTGTACTGCACATGGTCATACTGTACTGCGCATGGTCATACTGTACTGCGCATGGTCATACTATACTGTACTGCGCATGGTCATACTGTACTGCGCATGGTCATACTGTACTGCGCATGGTCATACTGTACTGCGCATGGTCATACTGTACTGCACATGGTCATACTGTACTGCGCATGGTCATACTGTACTGCACATGGTCATACTGTACTGCGCATGGTCATACTGTACTGCGCATGGTCATACTGTACTGCACATGGTCATACTGTACTGCACATGGTCATACTGTACTGCGCATGGTCATACTGTACTGCGCATGGTCATACTGTACTGCACATGGTCATACTGTACTGCGCATGGTCATACTGTACTGCGCATGGTCATACTGTACTGCGCATGGTCATACTGTACTGCGCATGGTCATACTGTACTGCGCATGGTCATACTGTACTGCACATGGTCATACTGTACTGCGCATGGTCATACTGTACTGCGCATGGTCATACTGTACTGCGCATGGTCATACTGTACTGCACATGGTCATACTGTACTGCGCATGGTCATACTGTACTGCGCATGGTCATACTGTACTGCGCATGGTCATACTTGTGCTGTGGTCCATGCAGGTTCACAAGCTCCCACCATAGTTCAACATTGTTTACATCCAGGTCAGTTTTACTGAAGAATTGTTCATAATCAAACATGAGTTTACTTGCCAAAGTGTAAGAATCTACACGGAAACATTGCTAAATGCAATTATCCATAATAATGCATTTTTATTATTGGTTGTTTTGTTGTTGTTTTTTCTTTTATTGTTTATGAAAAGAAGTACCTGTTACATAAAATGGGCTTCTGCCCAGGGTAGCAGAAAGCCCATGACATATAGCACAACAGAAGTTGTTATTCATAAAGTTGCACGTCTTCTTGTGAGCCAACTTGCCAAAGTGTCTGGAAGATTGGACCGAATTTATTTCATTCAGAGAGATTTTTCTGTGTACTACTACTTGATAGCATCAACAACAAATGATACCATTTCAACCATAATATCCAAGAGAAGATTCATTTTATTTCCATTTTGTATCGATTTTGAGGGAAATAGATCTGTAGTACAGACGTTTTGTTAAGAACATCCCAATGATTTAGAAGCCGAACATGATTGTAATTATGTAACTGACCATTGGGGATTTGAGTCTTGGTTTGACTGTGATATTGATCAACGTGGATCGCTGGAACACAATTACACCGTCTGGTATGATATAGCTGCTATATACATTATAGTCTGTATCCAACATATCAGTAACAGTCTGCAACACTGGACAGCTAAGTCTGAGTCAAGTACGATCAGCTAATAATTATCCATATTTATGATTTAAATCTACCAATGATAATGTCAGCCTCATAGGCCTTAAGGTTCTGGCACAGACTGCATAGGTGGCATGACATGTACATCATCAGTACAGTGTAAGTACTCACCAATCTTGTACTGCATTGAAGGACTCTTCATTGGTGACATCATACATGAGTATAAATCCCATAGCACCACGGTAATAAGCTGTTGTTATTGTTCTATATCTCTCCTGACCTGCTGTGTCCTGGAATACAAAGAATGTATGTTAAAAACAATGAAATATATATATAACAAATGGTTAAAATTTGCCAGTGATCAGGTCACTAACTCTGTGGCAGCTACAAAGTATAGGACATATCTACCCTGTATATTCATATCTGTCAATGTGGGCACACTTGAGAAACAGTTATTAACATTCAAATGCTAAATTTTAAACAATTTATAAAAGTTTTAAAAACATTGCTTCTTTCAATATTTTCCTTTGGGAACCGGATGCAGAAAGACCCCAATCCTTGACACAAGTGCCAACTAAACTGTCTGAGCTGGCTGACTGTGTATCATCGAAACCTGGTGGCGTTGATCTCTCCCTGTCCCAGACTTGATCATATACAGTTTTGCTTGTTTGTTGTTTAACGCCACACTCAGCAATATTCCAGCTACATGACAGTGGACTGTAAATAACTGAGTCTGAACCATCAAGTCTATGCAATTGGGATACGATGACATACATCAACCAAGTCAGTGAGTCTTATCACCCTATTCCCTTAGTTGTCTCATAAGACCATCTTGGGTTGCTGAAGAACAATGCTAACCCAGATCTTTTCTGGAGGATCGTATACCCGGTACAAGCTACCATAATATAGCTGCAACAATGCTGACTATGAGTATGACATTAAGAAACAGTCGGTCCTAAAACGTTTATTACCAACATGTCTTAAGTAGTTTCTGCATTCAAACCAATAAAAGGTTTTGTCAATGTATTGTGCTGTATAAGCTGACACGTAAATATCAACACTTCAGTCAGTTTTCCAAGTTTCAGCACCATAGTCAGCATGTGCTGACTTTGTACAAACACCTTTCCACTTAATACAGGACAGCACACTCAACAATTACAGGCAAGAATCGATTCTATTCTCAGTGGTAAACAATTCTATTAGACCATGGACAAAACTAATGTGTCTTGTAGCATTGTCAAAACTGCAAGTGTGAAATATTTTGACTTCTTTCGGTGTCTTGCAAGAACCTAATGGTGTAAAAAATGGCTCATGAAGAAAGCAAACTGTTTGTTTGGCTGAAAGAAAATAGCTGACAATTTCTTATGTCCTAACAAGGGGCAGCTCAAACTAGCACTTCACTCACACTCCACTTAAAAGATCTGAGTTGAAATTGATTTTCTGGTCTTCCATTACTATTTCCTGTTTAATATTACCAGAAATTCAATCACCATCTCCAAGACCACTAGAAACATTAACAAATGCTTTAGATGATCTGTATCATCATTTCATATCGGAAGAGAGTAAACACACGAGTTAAAAACTTCATAAATGATAAATGAGTCACTCACTCGCCTGAATAGTATAATCATTCTCAAACTACATGAAGCAATATATCATAATTTTACAATTCAGAATCTGAAACATATATCATCACATTCATGGATTTGGGATGGATTAATCATTTGAATTCCAAACCTCCACTACTAGGTCACTGATGGTTACCAATAATGTGTTGTTAGTAAAAGCCAGTTAGAAATATTCCAGCAATATCCCATCAGCCTGTAAAGAATCATGTCTAGACCAGAAAACCAGTGACTGACATTAGAAGTAATGTGTTATAACGACCAACCCACTGAACTTGACCACCCGATACATTTTACAACAAGCACAGGCTACTCGGAATCAATTCTAGCCTGTAATGCCCGCTGGATTGGTAATCAATACTCATCTCTGACAGTATAGAAGAGCATATACATAAATATTCAGTTACACAGTCACACGTACAAAAATTGTGCTGTGTCAGCAGTTTCTAGTTTCTTTGGATTATTTGACTGAAGAGTATTGAGTTGTAGTTTCAGAAAGTCAGCTAAGTTCCTGCTTAACCTGCTCTTTAAGATGGCTGTTCAAATCTCCAATCAACCTTTGGATTACAAACTTGAAAATTAGGATGAAACATCATTGTGCTTTATATATAATTATCTATTTGCATAATTAAGAATGTGGCATTGCGCTGATGCACTATATGTCAGAGAATTTTCCCAGATTTCTTCAGTACCAAGATGGATCATCCCTGCACACTGATTAATTTCATACAGGAACATAACACATCCGGATTCTTGTACAAAACACTGGCTAGCAATTGTTATGGAATCCCCACTAGGATCAGAGAGAATCATTTATACCTCTAATAGCATCACAGGAATGCTTAGCTCCATGTGTGAAATATTAAACAGACAATGATACATCCACAGCTTTCAAGATAGATAGCAATGCATGAGACATTAATCTGTTTGCATGAGGCGAACTTTCTTCCAATCTATATTACCTAAATGTATGTACATATGTGCTAAGGCCACTACAAACTGATTACTTGCTTATCATAATTTGTTTGTTTGTTGTCAATACCACACTCAGCTCAATGCAAGCTATATGACGTTGATCTGTATATAATCAAGTCTGGACGATGGCACACAGGCACAGAGCTTGACCAACTAATCCATTAAGTTGCCCCTAACAGCATGCATAGGTTGCTGGGCAACAAGTTTACCCAGAATCTCCTCGGGATGTTGTTATTATTATCAGAAGTACCAGGCTTCTTAACAGAAAGAGGACCAGATGTTATATTTTGTTTGTTTGTTGTTTAACACTGCACTCAGCAATATTCCAGCTATATGATGGCGGTCTGTAAATAATTGAGCCTGGACCAGACAATCCAGTGATTGACATCACGAGCATCGATCCACGCAATTGGGATACGATGACATGCATCAACCAAGTCAGCGAGCCTGACCACCCGATCCCGTTTTTCGCTTTTTACACCAAGCATGGGTTGCGGAAGACCTATTTTATCCCTGATCTTCACGGGTCCCAGATGTTATAAATGACTGGTGAGAATAGCACCAATTAACATTACCAAAAATGTCTAGATAACAATGACTTGGCTCTATCATACTACTGTCATACTTATAAAATGTATTGGATGTGGTATTGGGGACAGTCCACTTATACCAGTATATGTCATGCTGACTTTATGCAAACAATCAAGGTTGTATTTATTCAAAGAAATATAGACCCCATGATATTCCAAAAAAGAAGTGAGCTCCAGCTGCCTATGCTTTAAAGAGGGACTAAAACAGACAATGGGAGGGGACAATGATGGGGATATTGATAATACCTGTCCAGCTCTTCATTTGGAAGGAATCAGACATATCCATTTGTAGCGTATGATGAAAAAGTAACATAATTCATCTGGCATCTGGAAAATTCAAACAGCAATTCTATACCACGTCTTCCAAATGGCAGTTTGTGTAAAGCACTGTGTCATGTAAATAAATATTTCACTGGATAGTCAACAATTTCCACAATTTTTATTCCAGGTGATATTTTACATGTGCTCTCATCTCTCCCCTGCATAATCGGCATCCAAAGACAGATTATTGCAGCAATGCGTGCAAGTGAGATCTCATCGACTTGTAATCTGTACTGGTGTCATCATTTGTTTTATCAGTCTGCTTGACTGACTTTCTGGACTGACAACACCTTCAGTCCTTCTCACATACCGGTAACCTTTGCCTTATTTACACGGACATCAACGTGTCATCTACATCAATGCAAGACGCTTACTGGGTATTAGATAGTGATTTGGACACAGACAGGGTGCAATTTCCTGAAATGGCTACCTTTAACCTTTTGCCGCATATTGTCAGCAGACAAGCAGCATTGTGAAAGAATTCTGCAATTTATTACTTCACGATGTTAATGAATAACCATAGCAAAACTTTATACCAGAAATATGAAATGAATTCCATTTTGTTCTGCATACAAAAATGCACAATTCCTATTATTGATTCAAAGAGATGGTATTATTGAGCATGGAATGCCATGCTACAGTTGGGATTTCCCCCAGAAAACTTCCTTGCTTGATGGAAACACTAACCTAAATCTGACCCCATTACAGATAACACATGATGATAATGGAAGAAATTATCTCTTCAATCAAAATGGAAAAGTCTGTCGGAAGTTCACATTTGTAGGAATTGATACTAGGTCGGCCAATGGTATTGCTTCTGTCACATTATCAGTACACAAAATCATAACTTTAAGACATTATCACCCGATACAACCATGTAAAAAATTGAAATTCCAGAGAATGCCCTAGCTTCTTCGACAAGGAACTACAGATGATATTGAAGTGTTGCCTGGAGGAGACATGGCACAGACAAAAGAAGGTCAATCTAATACTTTGTCTGTCTGTATCCATCACTCAACACCTCAGATGAGTCTGTTAGCAGAAAGGCTGGGAGGCTAGACTAATTGACTTCTGGACACTCTGCACAGTTGGTGGTCAATATCAGGCTGAGGGTCAATGCCGGCCCTGTGGACCTTGGACTAGGATGGCATCCAAAGCAGAATCAAGCCACAGATTTCCTATGTTGTGGAGGGATGCCAATAAGGCATTCTCATGGTGCAAGTGATGCCAGTTAGGCATTCTCATGGTGCAAGTGATGCCAATTAGGCATTCTCATGGTGCAAGTGATGCCAGTTAGGCATTCTTATGGTGCAAGTGATGCACAGTTGCAACAGGGTCACTCAAGAAATTACATGAACATTTGCAAATAATAGTAACTTAAAGGTCAATTTATTTCCTAATACATTACATAGTTGAATTAACTTGCAAACAGTTATCTTTGAAAAAGTATAAACTAAGGACTCAATATAATGAAATTATTAATTTGGTTCATGCTAATTCTTCTTGTAACACTTCCAGTACAACAGAATAGCTGATTTTGAGTCTACTGTGTCTTAATTATTGATCAGATTATTTATTCATGTAAACAAACTATAACACTGCAGCATCTATTTCGAAATGTTTTAAAACGATTTGCATTAAACTAGCAGCAACCAAGTGAGCAACTGTCTTTGCTTATCAAAAGAATACAACTCAAACCTCATTTTGTCCTTAAAGCTTTAACTGAGTTTATTTGGGTTGAAGATTGGCCATATAGACATTCACAGTCTGTACCAAAAA